TATATGTGTCTGAATAATCTTAGATGAAAACACAATTCTCTTAAAATAATCAGGAAATTATATTTTGGTTGCAGCTAGTGTCAATTCTCTCCAAGGCAATGAAGTAGATCAAAGTAAGACCTTACTCTCTCACTCTCTCTATCTTGTTTCTTTTCTTCTTCTACAATTTGTTGTTTAATATAGTCTATGTGTTGTGTGTGGAATCAGCTGAGACCAGTGGTCAGAAAAACAGTACAAGTAACAACACTATTTCTTTGTCTTTATCTGAAGAACCAGTGGAAACTGTTAAAGAATCTGTTGATACATCAGCTGAGGTTAATTTCTGTTTATGAATTAACTTTATTTGGATTGGATTTTGGTTTAGGATGACTAATCTCTTGTTTATTTTACTTTGGATCTATAGTTAGGAGCTGTTACTGATGAAGCCGATAAACCTTCGAGTATGTTGGACCATATCGAACTTGAGTTCGAAGGTAAGTCAAGACCTTTACTCTGTATTTGCTCTGTTTTCTTAAATGTATAATTGATTATGTGTCTGGAAGAAGCTTGGATCAAAATATTGACATGAAGAGTTTGTTTTGTTTTTTGTTTGTGTCTCTTGATTATAGCACATGTCAATGAACTTAAAGAAGCTGGATCTGATGGTATCAACAAATTTGATGAATCTAAGGAAGATGAAGAAGGTTAAACAATCAAAATTCTTCCTCCTTGATCAGATCCCTTTTGCTTAGAGACTGCTCTTATACTGTCTTTATTGTTTTAGCTGCTAGGAGACATAAAATGTTGGAAGCCATTGAACGAGAGTTTGAAGGTACCTTTCGATGTTTCTGTCTAGCTTGAAGTTTTAAGTTTTTGAAGCCACTTTTGTTGATAGAGTCTTACTTACAAAGAGTTACTTGCAGCTGCTCATGCTGGATTTGAACAACTAAAGACTGATGATTCCACCCAAGGATTAGATGATGAACAATGTAACTAAACACTCTTTTGTCTACTACTTGTTAGGACTCTTTTGTCTACTACTTGTTAGGATCACATTTTGGTTCTTCGTCAATATTCTAAGTCCAAGTTCTCTGTTCTTTTTGTTACAGCTGCAAAGAGACAAAGCATGTTGGATGAGATTGAACGTGACTTTGAAGGTATCTCTACATAATATTTATCTGTTTAATTATGTTGTTGAACCCGAAAAGTTAAAACTGAAAATTTAAGTTGTGTATTATGTTCCATTTCCTACTTGCAGCTGCTACAAAAGGTCTTGAACAACTAAAGGCTGATGATATAACCGGAGTCAACGATGAAGAACACGGTAAATAAACTCTCCCGTTCTTACTTTGTTTGGTGCCTTGTCTTTATTTTAAAGTATTCTTGAGTCAGATTTTGTGTGTTTGGTATAGCTGCAAAGAGACAAAAGATGCTGGAAGAGATCGAAAGAGAGTTTGAAGGTATCTTGAAACGTATAACCAATATGTCTTTAAGGAGATATCTTCTTGAGAACCATCTTAGACTCTGTAATTCCTCTGTTTGCAGAAGCTACAAAAGGTCTTGAAGAACTAAGGCATTCTACCTCAAGCACAGATGATGAAGCACACTGTAATATTTGTTTCCATCTATTTGAATGATATTTTAGTCTCAGTTACAGTAGTCATAACACAAATCTTATGTCTTGTTATAGCTGCAAAGAGACAGAGTATGTTAGATGAGATTGAACGCGAGTTTGAAGGTATTTTGACATATACTCAAAACCTGTCTTAATTGATTCACAATATTTTGTGTACGTTGAAACTTATTAGATTTATGATTATGTTTCATCTTCTACTTGCAGCTGCTACAAGTGGTCTTAAAGAGCTAAAGATTAATGCTTTCACTATCAAAGATGATGTTGCTGATAAAGAACAAGGCTAGTATTGTTTTCTCTACTTTGATAACTTTTTTCCCTCATTTAGTCTTCTGAGATAGCTAGATGTTATGCCTTCTTTACAGATGCCAAAAGACAAAGTATGCTAGATGCAATTGAACGCGAGTTTGAAGGTAAAATCGACATACCAATCATCATATGCAGAGAGAATCTTTAAATCTTTAATGGTTCAAGAAGTTCTAAGAGTTTGTTTTCTCTCTTGCAGCCGTTACTGAGAGTTTTAAACAACTTGAAGATATCGCCGATAACAAAGATGAAGGAGACGACCAATGTAAGAAAAATCTTTCCCTTCAACATTTTTTTGGTTCACTTACCTTTCTTGTAGTGTTATTCTCAGAGAGTTCTTTATGTCTTTGTTATCAGCTGCAAAGAGGCAAAGTATGTTGGATGAGATTGAACGTGAATTTGAAGGTACTTTCGACAGATTATTATCGATGTTAATTAGTTCCTATGGTTCCCAAATGAAATCTTGAATCATTTCCTCTGTTTTATCAAACTACTTTGCAGCTGCTACAAATAGTCTTAAGCAACTAAACCTTGACGATTTCACTGAAGGAGATGATAATGAACAATGTAATAACTTGTCCTCTCTACTTTTTCATAATCACCTTTGCATCTTCCATAGTATTATTTTGAAGAATGTTTTTATGTTTTGTTACAGCTGCAAAGAGACATAGTATGCTTGAAGCTATAGAACGCGAGTTTGAAGGTTACTTCCACATAACATTGAACTTCTTAGCTGAACTGTAAATCCATCAAAACAAGTCAAGTACATAAGTCTCTTCTGTTTTATGTTCTTACTTGCAGCTGCTACAAAAGGTCTTGAAGAGCTAAAGGCTAATGATTCAACCAGCGACAAGGATGATGATGAACACGGTAAATATTCTTCCCTGTATGCCTTTTTTTGTTTTTTTTCTTCTGTTGTATCCTGAGCCAGCTCTGTTTCCATGTTTTGTTACAGTTGCAAGGAGAAAAATTATGCTTGAAGCTATTGAACGCGAGTTTGAAGGTACTTTAACATATATTCTTTAGCCATTGTTGGTGAAAAAAGCCTTGATAATTAGATGAATCCAAATCAATAATCAAAGTATCTTTTTCCTGTTTCAGCCGCGACAAGAGGCCTTGAAGAGTTAAAGAATGAATCAGAACATGGTAGAGAGTCTAATCCTTTTGCTCCTCTCAAAGCCTTCTGAGACAAGTTTTATGACAATTATTATTTTATGTTAACAGCTGAAAACAATAGAAAGAGTATGTTGGAGGCAATCGAACGCGAATTTGAAGGTAACCTCAAGAACCAAACGCAAGAATTCATATAGAAACAAGGACATTATATAATCTGACAGTTCTCTTTGGTCTTCTTGTTCATTTTTCTGACTCGCAGCTGCTACAAATGCAAAGACTAATGGAGAAGACTGTAAGAAAGTGTTTTGATCTTTTCATTCTATGTTCAAGTATCTTTTTTGAGATAGCTCTTAATTACATGTGTTGTCACAACAGCTGCAAAGAATCCATCAACCATAAGTACAGTGCAGAAAACTTCTGGCGGATACAATGGTAATTAATCTTCATGATCAGATTTCTCACAAAGATATTTTTCTAAAAGGAAACAAGTGATCTCAATTCTTCTATGTTCTTTCTTTTACAGCTGGTTTAGAAGGTCTTCTAAAGCCTGCAGGTTAGCTTTGAAGCTTATTCATTCTTGTGAATATTTTTAACCACAAAAGCTCACAAGAGTGCTAATCTTAATTTTCATATCTCTGTTTTTGTTTCTTGCAGATGGTGTATGTGGTTGTTTCAACAAAGACAAAGATGGCCTTCAGGCAGACACGGATTCTTCGATTAACATAGCGGAGATACTCGCTGAAGAATCCAAATTACAGGTTTGTTTTATAGATCTTTCTTGAATAGAAAATGGAAAGCTCTCACATCTAAATCAATCTCAGTTTTGTTTATATCTTTCGATTTGACTTTGGTAGGGCTCAGGGACCTCTCCCCTCACCACATCATTGAACAATCTTGTTGATACTCACAGAAAAGAAACGTCCTCAAAGGTAGGCTCAGTCCTTGGCTCATCTTCATCAGTTACTTCTACCACAAGCGAATCAGCAGCTACATCAGAGAGCATAGAGAGCTTGAAGCAAACACTAAGGAAGCTACGCGGTCTAAGCGCACGTGATCTTGTAAACCACCCGAATTTCGATGCGATTATAGCAGCCGGTACACGTTACGAGGTACTCAGCTCAGCTTCTATTGGTTACATCTCTTTGCTAGCCAAATACAAAACCGTCATTAAAGAAGGACTCGAGGCTTCTCAGAGAGTCCAGATTGCTCAGACCCGAGCGAAACTGCTAAAAGAAACCGCAATGGAGAAGCAGAGAACCGTAGACTCGGTTTTCGCAGCAGCAAAGACCACTGCTCAACGAGGAGACGCGTTGCACATCAGAATCGTGGCGATCAAGAAACTGTTGGCAAAGCTTGAAGCAGAGAAAGTGAACGTTGATTCAAAGTTCACCTCTTTAACAACGAATCTGTCAGAGCTTCTCAAGGAGGCTTCACAGGCTTACGAAGAGTATCACGAGGCGGTGCATAAGGCAAAGGACGAGCAAGCGGCTGAGGAATTTGCGGTGGAGACGACAAAAAGAGCAGAACATATTTGGGTCGAGTTTCTTAGTTCACTTAATTGAACTAATGAGAATCTTGATTGTGGTTAAAGCACATGTTCAATTAGTTGTTGTTCTTGTTTTCTATTTTCTGGTGTTGTTTTGTTTGAGACTTTGTTTGTTGCTTATATTAGGGGAGAGAGGTTGAAAGATCTTGAGAGATAGATAAATGAGAGATTTGTGAACACAAAATAATGTTTTAGTTCATCTTATAATATAATAAAACCTTTTTTTTAATGCTCATTGATTATATACTGCTGCAAAAATGTAAAATCATGAAATTTTTTAAAATATGAATCATGATGATATTCAGTCTAAATTTCTTGTAATTGCAATATATTAGTAAATAAATCACATTAAATAGAGAGATTAGTCCATCTACCGTTTTCTTATAGATCAACTGACGTCAAAAAACGACGTTGTAAGAGCATCTCCAAAGGGAGGTTGTCTCCACTTTTTTGATGAGTTCTCTTGATTTATTTGATCAAAAATAATTCAAAATTGAGTAAACAAGAGAGAAACACCTCTCTTAAGAGAATTTTGAGAATTTTAGAGAGCCGGACACGTGTCCTTCATTGGATGGAATAAGCATTTTAACAAAAGATTTTGGTCGTTTCTATCTCTCGACAAAAACAGAAACACCTCTCTCTCTCTCGCGATTGCGATCAAAGTTTCTGCGAGATTCTATAATGGAGCAGCTTGTTAACTTCATCATTCGACCTCCAAGGTTACGCTTCTCTCTCGTGTATTAGGAATTTGTGCTTTTTGATTTCTCCGATTTGGTTGTCAAATTCTCAATCGTTTAAGAATTGGGTTTTCTCTGAATTATAGTGTTCATGACTTGAATTTTGTTCTTTATGATGATTACTTGTATTCATAATTGTCTTCTGTACTTTCACTTGAGTTTCTGATTAGAAGAATTATCAAATTCTTCTTTTTTTGGCCACCCATGTGATCTCTCTGTGTCATTACTTAAGTTTACTATTCAGATTCTACTATTGAATCTTCAAGGAAGTGTCTATGTATTACTTTGACATGACTCTTTTAAGAGTTAGGATTTGGGACGTTACTAGGTTTGAAGATAAACATCTATAAGAAGATTGTCAATATGTGAATTGACTTGTTTGTGTGCTGCAGAGCTGAGTATGACGCGGAACATGATCTCTTGGAAAAGGGAGTTTATGATGAGAGGTAGATGGTATCAGAGAAAGGATTTAGAGGTAAAAGCTTTCTTTTTTTGTTTTTAGCTTCTAAAATCAATTCTTTGGAACTTTTTCTGTCCTGAATTTTTCTGTATTTACAATAGTAATAAATGGGGTTTGTTTGTAACAATGGAGGTCCTACCGATGTTTGTTCTTGTAAAGTCAATCTATTTATTGAAGTAAGATGTGTGTGCATAGTTTTTGAAACCTATGATGGTAATAATAATAAGCATATGGAAGTAAAAGTTATTTGTTTTATTTTCCTGGCTTGAGTTATATTCGGATATTTTGTTGGCAGGTTAAAAACAGTAGAGGAGATGTCTCCAGTGTAGTCATTATATGCCAGTTGAACGCCCTGAAGGAAAGCCTTTACCATGTGTAATATACTGTCACGGAAACAGGTACCGGAATGTTTGATAAAGATTTTTTGAGCTAGTTAATAGCTTTAAATTATCAGGGATATGATTCGAGTTGTACTACTTAACTTTGTATCTCCTGGGCCTTTCGTTAACTCTCGACCCTCTTGACTCTTAGCATTGCTTAATGGCCCGGCAATTCTGTCATATAGTGGATGTAGAGCGGATGGTAGTGAAGCCGCAATTGTCTTGCTGCCTTCAAACATCACAGTTTTCACCCTTGACTTTTCGGGATCGGGTCTCTCAGGCGGGGAATATGTCACCTTAGGCTGGAACGAAGTATGTTCTCCTTTAATCATTCCCTTTTATCTCTTCTACCCTTCAAAATATATTGTTACATTGGAGTAAATATTTTGTCCAATATGCTCTGTTATTTTCCATTTTATACCCATGTAAACCAATATGATTGTGCTATCTTCTATAGATGTACCCTATTGCAAAAAATCTAGTTCATGATAAGACTGGCGAGTGAAGAAATCATGGAATTCGTGTCGAGTTGTAGTTGTGGTCTTTGACCTTGTCCTCTGTGTATTATTCTCCACTGACAAACCAAACTTCTCAAGTCGATTTAGTGTATTCTACAGAGATGCCTACAAATCTCGGGAATATAATGGGCAGACGAAATCAAGTTCGTGATCGTGAAATGCATCAACAATTGAAAGCTGACTTGGTTGAGCATATCTGGCAAAATTTTGCAACAATCGAGAGTAAAACTAATCGTTATTTTTTTTTTTTGCATATCTTTTCAAAAATGTTTGAAATAATATATGTTTAATATTTTTATGAATTGTAATAATTATTAAGTTTTATGAAATAATTTTTTTAATAATTTTTTTTTTCCTAAGAGAACCTCACTAAAGAATCTACCATTGGAGTATGAAAAATTAAACAAAAATACACAAGTTCTCATCTCAAATTTTTAACAAATCTATAATTAAAAAATTGAGAGAGCTTCATGGAGACAACTCCCCATTGGAGATGCTCTAACCACTTCAATAGATTTTTTTTTGTCGGTTAATTAATTTATATTTAAATTTTAACATTATTTAAGTAATACTCAGTCTGGTCCTTGATGTTTTAGCGAGGAAAATATTCGTTTAAGTGAGAAAACTGTTCTATAATGTTGTATTTTTTTTTCCCTGTTTCTAAAAAATTTAAATTATGTCGTCAGTTAATAATTTAAAATGTGCCCTTAATTTTAGTATTTTACAAATGTGCTTGGAAATTCATACGTAAATTAATAAAACAGAGAATCCCGCACGAGTCGCTTACACGTGTGACCCATCACATACTCCTAAAAAGCAAAACGATCATTATTTTAAATTTAATTTGACGTCAGCAAAACAACGATTAAAAAAAAAAAGGAACAATCGGAAAGAAAAAAAAAATCAATTAGAAAGAATCGAACAAATAAGAATCAGCCACCTCTCTCCGCTCTCTCCTCGTGCACTGCTCTCTGACTCCGTTAACTCCGAGTCTCCGAGCACTCTCTCTCTTTCTCTTTTTCCTTCGCCGCGATTCTGCTTAGCTCTTGGAACGGCGCAATCTTAGATTACCGGAGAAAACTGTATGCAATGCAATGCCTTCTTCTTTTCGTTTCTTTCTAATTTGTCTTCGTCTGCTTCTTCTGCAAGCTTGGGTTGTTACTCATTTCTCTGCATCGACGATTTTCTTCTAGTTTTGGTTTACGAACATTGACTTTAGGTTTTCTTTAGATCGTCGATTTCTCAACATTTCGCCTTAATCTGATTTTGCGTTGCTTTGTTTTTTGTACTTCGAAGCAGCTGCAACATTGGCGCATCGGCGATCCAAGTCGGAAGTTCACTTACCTTCGGAAACGCGAGTCTGACCTATCGGAAACAGTAAGATACTCGCTAAGATCTTGATCTTGATAGTGACATTGATTTCTCTCACGCGGCTTTTTATTTTCCATAACCGACCAACTTTCTTTATTTCGTCAACGCGATTTCATATCACCAAATTGGATTCAAAATCCTTGTGATTGGAGCAGTTAGGTAGTTTCTCCAGATTTTAGCTATGAGGAAACATTTATTTGATATGTATTGCATGCTGATGGTTGATTTCTCTTCCTAAATTGCAGTTTCATTGTGAGCTGAGAATTCATGGAATGAAGTGATGGAGTTTGTCTAATTGCTAGTGGTTTTGTGGCTTATTGAAGTCTGGGGAATAGGATATTGAGGATGCTATTGTAGTAAAGAAAAAACTATGGAAGATCTTCGGCTATCACCGCTGAAACTAGGTAGCTTTAAGTCTTCATTGTCAGGGAAGTCTACTCCAAGGGGTTCACCTACATCTAGGAGAGTGCATTCAGGCAGGACTCCACGTAGAGATGGCAAAGGTAGTGGTGGAGCTGTTCAGTGGTTCAGAAGTAACCGGCTGCTATATTGGTTACTGTTGATTACTCTTTGGACATATCTTGGATTTTATGTTCAGTCCAGATGGGCACATGATGATGATAACAAAGTTGAGTTCTTACGGTTTGGAGGCAAACTGAGAGAAGATGTTTTGCATGTGGAGCAGAATAAACGACTTGATTCAGTTGCTAATGAGAATTCTCATGCTGTAGTAGATACTACCAATATAGTCCATATAGGTGTAAATAAGAGGATGCATGTAACTTTGGCCAAGAAAGAGGATGACACATCTCAAAGAAGCTTGAGCTCCAGGAGGAGGACCAGAAAAGCTAGTCGTAGTTCACGTACTAGGATTCGTAGTAAGCAGAAGGTGAGAAAAGTGATGGAGACTAAGGACTTGGATGAGCAAGATCAAGAACTTCCAAACACAAATGTTACCTACGGTAAGATTTTTGGTCCTTTTGGATCACTGGAGGATAGAGTTCTTGAATGGAGTCCGCAAAAGCGATCAGGGACCTGTGACAGGAAATCAGACTTCAAACGTCTTGTTTGGTCTAGGAGATTCGTCCTACTTTTCCATGAACTATCAATGACTGGTGCTCCAATTTCAATGATGGAGTTGGCTTCCGAGCTTTTGAGCTGTGGTGCAACAGTATATGCAGTAGTCCTGAGCAGAAGGGGTGGATTATTGCAAGAGCTCACAAGGAGAAGGATCAAAGTGGTTGAAGACAAAGGAGAACTCAGCTTCAAAACTGCCATGAAAGCAGATCTTGTCATTGCAGGATCAGCAGTGTGTGCTTCATGGATAGGTAAGGAAACTAGATCTGCTGATTCTTTGACATCACTATTTGCATGAGCACATATTGACTATCATGTTTATAAATGCGTACCATAGATCATTCCTCCTCAGCTATATTCTGGAAGATACATTTTATAATAGAAGTTGTCATATATAGCACGCTCACTTCAGATTGTTTATTAGAGCAATTTTATATATTCTTCATCAAATCAACAGTTAAACATGTTCGATATTCCTTTTCTGCCTCATGTTTGGATACTCATTATGATATTTGTTACAATCTCTGCAGATCAATACATGGATCACCATCCAGCTGGTGGAAGTCAAATCGCTTGGTGGGTGATGGAGAACCGGCGAGAGTACTTTGATCGAGCGAAACCTGTGCTTGACCGAGTGAAACTGCTAATTTTTCTATCTGAAGTTCAGAGCAAACAATGGTTAACATGGTGTGAAGAGGACCATATAAAGCTTAGGTCTCAGCCGGTTATTGTTCCGCTGTCTGTTAATGATGAGTTAGCTTTTGTTGCTGGGATTTACTCTTCACTAAATACTCCGACACTAACCCAAGAGATGATGAAGGAGAAAAGACAAAAGCTACGTGAATCAGTCAGAACGGAGTTCGGTTTGACAGATAAGGATATGCTTGTGATGTCTCTTAGCAGCATAAACCCAGGAAAGGGACAACTTCTTCTCCTTGAATCTGTCGCCTTGGCACTGGAGAGAGAACAAGAACAAGAGCAAGTAGCTAAAAGTAATCAACAGCCCAAAATCAAGAACCTCAATGGCATCAGGAAAGAAAAGATTAGTCTTTCTGTAAAACATCGTTTAAGAGGTTCATTACGGAAGATGAAAATCACGACTCCCGCTACTGACAATTCATCAGTTCTTTCTGCCACCGGTAAAAGAAAGCTGTTGTTTTCTGGAAACGTAACACAGAAACAAGACCTTAAACTTCTTCTAGGATCAGTTGGGTCCAAGAGCAACAAAGTTGCATACGTTAAGGAAATGTTGAGCTTCTTGTCAAACAATGGAAACTTATCGAACTCGGTTCTGTGGACTCCAGCCACCACTCGTGTTGCCTCATTATACTCTGCAGCAGATGTCTACGTCACAAACTCCCAGGTAATCTTTCTCATCTTGATCCTTTTATGGCTGCAGTCAAAAACAAACTATCAATGCTATTTGAAGCGTTCTTCAACTTTTGTTTACCCCTCTTCAACTGTGAAACAGGGAATTGGTGAAACATTCGGGAGGGTAACTATTGAAGCAATGGCTTATGGTCTTCCGGTGAGAAACAAACGATAGATAAACCCATGTGTTCTTATTCGGGAGAGACAAAAATGCAATGTTTCTCATCGTAATCATTGTTTTTGATGGGAACAGGTACTTGGAACAGATGCTGGAGGAACAAAAGAGATAGTGGAGCACAATGTTACAGGGCTACTTCACCCTGTGGGGAGGGCAGGTAACAAAGTTTTAGCTCAGAATCTCTTGTTTCTTCTTAGAAACCCATCTACAAGGCTACAACTAGGTAGCCAAGGACGTGAAATCGTTGAGAAGATGTACATGAAGCAGCACATGTACAAGAGATTTGTGGATGTTCTAGTCAAATGTATGAGACCCTAAGAGTGTGTACTTTCATCGTTTACTTTTGGTTCAGTTCTGGTAAGATCGTGTATTCAAAAGAAAAAACAAATCCCACCCAATTCTTATAAAATTACATGCTATTCTTTGGACTTTCGAAATCGTTACTCTCTTTTTATGTTTTTGTTGGAATCTGTATCCTGAGAAGCTTAATTACTTGGCGAATTTTATTACACGTGAAGGCATCAGGCATTAATTGCTCACTGGGTTGATTATTGTATGGGGCAGAGTGAGTTACTAATAGCTTCCCTGTATGCAGATCAATTATTTTATACTTATTAGACGATCTCATACCTTCTTACAAATATTTTTAAGTATGAGTGTGTATAATATATGATAAACTACCGAGGAAGTGTCGCAAAAGTGATTCTCTCAGCGATCCCCGGATTTTCTTAGGATTTGAAGCAAAAAAAAAGAGCTTCTGCAGATCTTTGAATCAAATGTCTACAACACTCCATTGAGTGTGCCTGCAAGACAACAAAACAAGTTCATGAACCAAACCAATTGGACAAGCAGACTAGAACAGAAAAGTTAGAAATATATCTTACATCCTCTTTCGATATATTATCATCTCCAGCGGAATCTTCATCGTCAGTTCTCGTTAATAAGCATTTGTCCAGCGATCGAATCCTGCTTTCGAGCTCATGCATAAATATCAGCCGAAAAACGACTAATCACACCACTCCACCGTCAGACATGCTATCAGAGCTGCTCCTTGTTGACATTACGCGAGTGTTCAATAGAGGATATAGTAATCGTGACGTACAGAGATACTAACACAAATTGTCTAAGATAGGAAAAAAAGAAAAAAAAAAAGAGAGAGCTCAGACGGCACTTGCTATCGTCACGGATGATCGGGACGACTGTGACGGACCAGGCCGTCACTAAATTAGTTCTATCTTCACAGCTCTTAAAGCCGATCGAACTCGGGTCGCACGAACTCGATTTACATCAACCCGCCCAACCACTAGACGAGAGCGACTTTTTGCTAAGTCACTAATTATCAAACTACATATATATGATAACTTAAACTGAGGAAAGCCAATTGGCTCGGTTGCGCTAAGAACAGAGAGAGCAAATTTGTTTATGATCGAGAGAGGAGAAGAAGAATAATCAAGAGAGTAAAAAGGAAATGAATCTCTACGCGCACGATCTTTCTCTTCTTGATTTCAATTACAACGTCTCCGGTCCCTTCGGCGAGTCGCTATCTCACCGCTTCCTCTCGCCTGGCCCTTTCTTCCAAGGTGAGGACGACGATTATCGCCGTTATACCACCAGCTACAGTCACGACGGAGCTAATGGACGAGAAGCAGATACCGATTCAAGAGTATCTCCGCCGCATCGCCACGACGGAAGGTCTCCGTTACCTCTGGGGATGGATTGGAGTGCTCCTCCTCGTCATTTGGTATCATGTTCTCTCTACAATATTCAAATTCGTTGATTTGTTAGATTCTGTTTGGAATTTGTTTCTAACTGTAAAATTGTCCTAGGAAGGACGGAACACGGTTTGGCCACACGATTCTCGAACTGGTTGGAGTTACTGTGTCACTGTCCCTTCTTGGGTTGACCTTCCCAAGTCAAGCGTTTCAGATCCTGCCGTGGTGTGTATTATCTTATCTTTTACACATAGCTGATTCTGTTGGTATAGTCAGGTTTTTCTTGGTCTTAAGATTTTACTTGTGTCCTTAACAGTTTTATAGAGTGCAAGTGGCGATACAATCTCCTGAGGGAATCACTTCTGCTAGGCTGATACTTAGAAGATTCAATGATTTCTTCGAGTTATATTCCTCAGTGAGTACTTTCTTTCCTCAATACCCTTTTCTTAGTTCTGGCTTTGATAAACAACTATGAGTTGCGTGGATATGATAATTGGGCTATCGCGTTTTCAGATTAAAAAGGAGTTTGTGAAGAAAAGCTTACCTCAGGCACCACCAAAGAAGATTTTGAGGATGAAAAACCAGACACTTTTGGAAGAGGTAGATATCAATTCTCTCAACTCTTTAAGATTAGTGACAGCAAAATTATTCTCAAAATGTTTAGTCTATTGCAGAGGAGGTGTTCTCTAGAAGATTGGATGAATAGACTTTTGTCAGATATTGATATATCTAGAAGCGCTCTGATAGCAACATTTCTTGAGCTTGAAGCTGCTGTCAGGTCTTGTATGTGCTCTTCTTTTCTTTCTGTTTTTTTTTCTCGTGGTAGTGAAAACAATGCAATAGGAAGTGAATTTTTCTGAGCTCTCCAACGTGTGAGAAATTTTATTTTGTATTGTTGTACTGAAAAACCTTGCATGTATTGCCTATGTACTAATTTGCTTCTTAACTCTTTACTCTCTTCAGATTTTAATGATGAATATCAAGAAACTGAAGGTACCTCTGGGGACATTCCGCCACTTCTACCTACCACCAGTTCTGATGTTCCTGGTAGTTCATCAGTTACCGTAGATCATACCAATGATTCTGCTGATGAAACGTCTGATGCCTCAACAGTGAAGCATGATGATGCTAGTCTCAAAAATCTTGTCTCAAGGAATTCAACTTCTGTAGATAATGTGACTGATTGGCATGAGTTGATCTCAGAATATGGACTTCTAGATAAAAGTTCTTTTCAGGAAAAAGTTGAACGTCTTTCTAGTACTAATGGAGCTGCAGCAACTGGTACCGTAACCGGAGAGGGTATTTCCAGTGGAGTTGGAATTCAGAGCTTGGATGGAAGTGATAGAAAGTTTCAAGAAAAGACCATTGAAAGCAATAAAACTCATGTAAGCGATTTTGAGGCGTCAACTCATAGGGAACCTGATTTAGTTAACCAAGGCTCGTTGGATATTCATGGTGAAGCTCATGGAAACATATATGGTGCGGTTGGTGGATATACTGAGACTCATAAGGATCTGGCTATTGTATTTCAGTCTGAGGAGAGACATAAGTTAAAGAGGGTTATTGATACGTTAAAGCAGAGACTGGAAACAGCAAAAGCTGACACGGAAGATCTTATCTCAAGGCTGAATCAGGAGTTAGCTGTTCGACAGTTTTTGTCAACAAAGGTGTGCACAACTATCACATGAGTTTTTACTCCCCTTGTCTTTTTTCCCCCACATTATCTCCAATGTCTTGTTCTGCTTCAAATGATCAGCCATCTTACTCTCTTTGAATATGTTGCTTTGTATGTTTGGCATTGGTCTCGTAGGTAAGAGATTTAGAGGTTGAACTTGAAACAACTCGAGAGAGCTGCAAGCAAGGCATGGAGAAAACAGTTCTTGATGAAAAGGAAAGATTTACTCAAATTCAGTGGGATATGGAGGAACTCCGCAAGCAATGCATGGAAATGGAATCGTTGTTAAACTCTATAAAGGTTTGTATTCTTAGTTTCTTTCACTGTAACATTCATTTGCATTCAACTATAGATGTTTTTCTTTATATTTGGCTTATAGGACGAGAAAACAAATATTGAGACTGCAAATGAGTCACTTGTTCAAGAAAATCAGATGTTGCTGCAGCAGATCAATGATATAAGAGAAAATTTTGAGAATTTTCATAAAGAACATGAAGAGCTGGAAGTAAAATCGAAAGCAGAGCTGAAAGTTCTCGTCAAAGAAGTCAAGTCTCTCCGAACCACTCAATCAGAATTGAGACAAGAGCTTAGTCGCACAATGAAAGAAAAACTGGAGATGGAGGTAAAGTTCTCTTTGCAGGAGATATATTCAAGTCTATTAATTCCGTAAATCTTCTTCTAAGAATTGGAGAATCTGGAAGTTTTAACGCTTAAATCTCATGCAATGTTCAGAGAATTGTTCAACGCGAGAAGGATAGAGAAGAAACTGCAAAAAACGCAGACAAGAAGTTGCTGCATGAGTGTGATGTTCTACAAAATCGGCTTCAAGAGTGCAATGTCAAGTTCCACATTGAAGAGGAGTGTAAATTAATAATGGACTCATCATCTCTCTGTGAAGCCATCGAGCTACTAGCAACATCCGATAACCGAATAGGTCTTCTAATTGCTGAGGTAAGTTCAACCAATTGCTCTTTGATACTGAGTTTACGCATGTTGAGACAAAAAGGTTAAAGCATTCTCGAAAACACAGACGCAGCTTCTCTCAGAGGAAGTGGAAAAGCTGAAGCTATCATCAGGAGGGCATCGTGGAACAGACGATGTAGTGAGGAAGATGCTGACAGAGGTTCTGATTGATAATGCCAGATTAAGGAAGCAGGTTAACTCTGTTCTTCGTTGCTCTTTGTCCGGACATGGAGTATCAGTCAGAGAAGCCGGAACAGAAGAAGAAGTAGAAGAGCAAGAAGGAAGTATTGATCTAGCAAGAACTGTTATGAGCAAGATCCTTGAGAAATGATTTTACCAGGTTTTTAGTGAAACTATGCTAATTACAAATGGTTTTATCTATTTAAACATACTGTAATGAACTTCGACTCCCGTGCGATATCTTCTTACGAATATTAATTTGACTTTTCCTTTGACTTGTCTCCTTCGTATCCAATACAAAGCTCTCTTTCTTTTTCTCAACGCTGCCATCTCTAATTTAGTCCTAAACCCGAATCCTTTTGGCTTTTGGGATTATGTTTTGTAATCTTTTTTCCAAAATATATACATATAGGATTCCGATCTTTTAATCTTCTCCCTCTCTATTTGTTTTTCTGGTAAATATATATCTTTTCCATTTGTTTTGTAAGTTTACATTTGTTTTGTTTACATGTTTTCGTTGCCAAATATATAACCTCATTCACTCTACATCCTGCTTTCAGTAGATAAGAGGTCACTGGCTCACTGCACAATATGATTCTTAAACAATTCTAGATCCCACAATACTGTAATAAACAATTCCTCTTGTACCAAATCCCAAATCACTTTACTTTTTGTATATATAATCTTGTAATACACATTTGTTCCTGTAGTTTGTTATGAAAGTGAGTGAAAACGCAAACGTGGGTTGTGGGGGAGCGCTTGCGTTTGCGTTTGCGTTTGCGTTTGGGGACGCGTTCTAAACTTTCAAGAATCGACGCAAAACGTGAGATGTGTTTTTAGGTAGGCGTCGTGTCGCTCTTATCCTCTGTTCACGCCATTCATAAGCCTGTATGGCCACAAAAAAAAACGACAGATTTAGAGAGAAAAGAGAGAGAGAGATATGTCAGGTTCTGTTTTCGTTCCCGGTATGGCGATTGGAGTTCCGACGCTTTCTCGTTCGAGCTCTGCTCACCGGAGCTTGGAACCCACGAAGAAGATGATAATGACTAATGTCAAATTCGTGACCATTTTTCGAAATCCGTCAAGCTGTTCAGGGACAAAACGGTCATTTCGCGTTACTGCTTCCAATGACCGGTCGGAACAAGCAGATAACGGTCAAGGAGTTCAGGTCAGTTCTGTGGACTAGAGAGCAAAGCTGTTTGTTTGTTTTTATTGTGGAGGGGCTCAAAGAATTCAAAATTATAAAATAGCCCCTATGTTTTGAATTTGTTCCCAAAAAGTCAGATATTTATTTAATTACAAATAAGCCCTCTTCTTTTTTAAAATCCTTTAACAGGAGGACTTAAACTACTTGTTGAAGATCGGAGTTGGTTCAGTGGCAGGCGCAGCTATAATCAAATACGGAAGTGTCTTGTTCCCACAGATCACAAGACCTAATCTCACTCTAGCCCTCTTCATTATCATGGCTCCTGTTGTAATCTCTGTTATCCTTTTGTTCCTATCATCATCATCATCCAAGAAACACAACTGATTGGTAATAAAAAAAGTGTAAATGTAATTCAGCTCATTGTGAAAAGATCGTGTCAACGATGAGAAAGTTTCAGTATAATCCAGAATTAAAAAGTTTCATATCTTTCAAGAATACCAAAAGTATCACAATTGCCTTTTTATGAGCCAATACCACACCTTACAAACTCTAATCTCCAGTAATGATCAAATCAATGTTATGAAATATGAACCAAGAAACACACCAAAAAAATAAGCACGACCTCCGGATAATGATCCAGTGATAGAGAAAAACTAGCCAAATATGGACAGATGATCATAAAAAATAATCTGAGCAAACGAATTCCTGTGCCTAACCATTCCTATTCATGTTGTTGTTGATCTTTCTCTTCTGAGATCACATCTGAGCTTACCTCTGTAACATGCTCTCTATTGTTTTCGTTGTTGCTATATGGATTCTTGAAGAGCGGATTGGCTTCAAGTTCAGACATTTTCTCCTTTGATTCATTCACCAGCATCTCCACGACCTCAGACATTGTTGGTCTCTTGTCTGGATCTGTCTGAGCACACATAAGCCCCACCAAGACTACTTTCTTCAGCTTCTCTTCCACATGCTCCTCGCTCAGCCTCTTATCAACGATTTCACCAAATTTTCTTTCGTAAACAAGTGGTAAAACCCACTCGGTTATACCTCGCGTTGTTGTTGGATTTAGCCTTTCGAGTGGTCTCTTGCCACTAACCAGTACCAGCAAAAGGATACCGAAACTGTACACATCGCTAGTTTCTGATTCTTTTCCTGATGTAACATATTCTGGTGAGATATATCCATTATTACTTTTGGCTCTGGTAGCTCCATCTCCAGTATCATCTGGCATCAGCTTACCATATCCAAAATCTGTAACCCGAGCTTCAAATTCAGAATCTAGTAACACATTGCTAGCTCTCACATCTCCATGGACTATATGTGGGGTTGCGTGGTCGTGTAGGTAGCTGAGCAAAGAACAAATATGTCAGAAACTATGACATATTAAACTTTTCATGAATGGTTGTAGATTCTAAGACTCACGCAATAGCCTGAGCAGAACTTATGGCGATCTTCATTCGCTTGGTCCAATCTAAAAGGCATTCAGCTGAATGCTGGCCATGAAGATGCGAAACCAAGCTCAAATTAGGCATGTACTCGTACACAAGAAGACGTTCTTGGCCTTCTGCACAGTAGCCACGAACACTCAACAAATTCTTGTGACGAATACGAGCAAGAATCTCGACTTCCACAGCAAAATCAATCTCCTCTCTGTTACTCCATGCCTTCAATCTCTTGACTGCAATCTGTAAAAAGACAAAATTATCAACCTCACAAGATCAAGTTTGAACAAGAAGCAAGTCCTAGATAACAATTTAGATCAAAAGAGAAACATGTTGAGGTCAAATTACTTGTGATCCATCCCATAGCTGACCCCAGTAGACACTACCGAATCGGCCTTCACCGAGTTTGTTATCATAATTGAAACTGTTAGTGGCCGCATGAAGTTCCTTCAATGAAAATACCCTCCAAGATGGCTCTTCCTTTTCTTTCTTCTTCCTGTGTAAACTTAAAACCAATCACATTGCTACTAATGATGAAACTTTCAAGGAACAATCAGGTCATATATAGTGATGATGATAGAAAAAGGAACAACCTTTACATTAAAAACATTAGAGATAAAGGAAAGGCAAAGAGAATTGAACAAAAATAAGCTCAAAATTTCAAACATCCAAAATTGATATAGAATCTTTAAACCCTAATCAAGAAGAACAACCATAGCAGATTTAACCAATAAACACATTTTTGCAGCAACCCACACAAAGTAAAAAGACAGACAAAATCCATTAAAAAGAAAGAGGAAGATAAACAATCATCGAGTCAATGAATGAAACATACCCATCAAATCCTTTACCACAACAGCTATGAAAAAGTTGCATCTTTCGCACAAAATTAATCAGCTAGCTCTGTCTCCTAGATTCTTCCTCGTACGGACAAACAATAAAAAGGTAACGCTTTTTCTGGAGAAGGTAACAGTGTAATAGAACAAGTCTGAGTAGCTCTAATTTCGTCTCGATGTGAGATTTTGATAAACAGAGAGAGAGAGAGAGAGAAGTAGAAGACTATTTATTTTGTTTTTTTTTTAATTTATTTTTTTGTACACTTTTAATTTTTCTTCTCGCAAACAAATTTTAAATATAACCAAATGAAGCTGGTATGGAAAAAGTATAAACAATAAATAAAATTTTAACCAGAATAATTAAAATTGAACGTTAGTATCCGTTGTACAAAGTGTATATTTTAATATCCAACTGTATTTTTAATAATATATGTATATATTGCTTCCGTTTTATTATAAATGTCGTCTAAAATTTTTTTTACGTGTATTAGAAAAATATTTAATTTTTATTATTTCATTGATTAATATTTAAAAATAAATAGCTAAAACTGAAGATCTTAGAACGTATTTATATTAACATACAAAACGATATTTTTTTAAGATAAAATTTAAATTTAAAACGATATTTAATGGAAAACTGAAAGAGTATGTTGTTGAAGATATTTGATGTTTTAAAATTTGAAGTTGTTGTTGTCATTGTTAAGGGTCGGCTGATGAGTCAGGACAACTCATTGAAACCATTTATATTCGATGTTCCAAATATTAAACAAAGAAACAGAAGATTCTACTATCTTCTTCAAAATATATTAAACAAAAGAACCAAGTCTTGGCTAGCTCTAGTTATAAAATTTGAATTAAAGCTATGAAAATCACTTTACGTTTAGTAAATTAAAAAATAATCAGAGTGATCAGAAAAGGAATGTTTGCTCTCATCTTGAAATTCTATTTGAGGTGTGAATGCTTCTTCACTAACATGGGCTTAAGGACTCATTTGCTAATTAATTGCAATCATTGATAATTTTGTAGGTGTCATTTGTCATCAAAGTGGTTGTTCAAGGAAAACATGATTGGGGAGAAATTGAAAGCCTTAATATCAATTGGGCCAGTCAATTTCCCCAATAATCTAAATCTAAAAGCCCAAACCAATGTAAGACTATTGTAGAATATTTGTAAGAAGATTGGATATAGCTCCTACACTCCTACTATAAAGCATAAAGTGGACTTTTGAAGTGGCATAGAATTATTTATAGCCAAAATATCCAGGGAAGATAATAGATTATAGATTCTTAAGAAAATTTGCAGCAATAAATAAAAATTGTGAACAAGCCATGTATTTTCTTAAATGCAGTTTGTAACTATTGGTGGTTGATAATTTAACATATTTTTACACTATCCTAACAAATTAGCATAATCTATTTATAGAAAATTAGAAATACGTTACAAACCGTATTAGAGAATAAAACTCCACTTTTCTGTGGATTACTATGACAAAAATAGAAGAATATGTACACATATATAAAATTCACTTATTTGTTACCAGATTTTATTTATATTTTCCAAAAGTAAATAATCCAGAAAAACCTTCAATTTGTTTTTGACATTTTCCAAAAGTAAAAAATCCAAAAAACCTTTAATTTGTTTTTGACAATAAAAGATAAAGAAAAGGAAATTTAATTAATTTCGTACTACACAACTGGAAACTATAATATCACATCTGATTTACTGATATTCTTCTCAAAGTTGAAAACTTCAAATCCATAACTTAAATAATTATTCATAAAAATATTATATATATTAATTGACGGTTAGTTGATGTCATAAAAAACATTTTATAAATTGTAAACAGAAACAGAAATAAACCAATTAGTATCATATACTCTACTTTAATGTATAGTTTGAAAGAAAAGAAAAAAATCCCTAGAGCTAGGTTCAAACCTAACGAGAGAGCATTAAATTAGACAGCAGTGATGTACTAGATTCGTAAAAACATTAATATGTCACTCAAAATTAAAAAAAATATGAACAAAAAAAAAAAGTAATTAAAACGATACTTACTTATTATGGTAGGGTGTGAAGTAGATTAACAAATTAATACTCCCTCCGTTCCTTGAAGTTTGATGTTCTAGTGTTTTGAGTTTGTTCCACAAAGATTGATTTTCTAGATTTTTTTTTATTTTTAATTAATTAATTTTAGTAAATCGTAGATTTCAAGGCGTAATGATTAACTGTTTCAGATTACTATTGGTTCATAGTTTATTAAAAAATATTTAATAAAAGTAAATAATTAAACAATGATTATTTCTTAAGAAATGTGAAATGTCTAGAAAATCAATCTTACTCAAAGCTTTTTGAGTAAATTCCTATCTACAAAATACACGCTTCTATTAAAAAAATAGACGCCCAACGACCACACAAACAAAAAACAATTTAATTAAATCATAAAAAATGAAAAAGCAATAAATCCAAAAAAAAAGGAAACTCCGAAAACGAGACAGCATCAGAAAATAATCACCATAAATAGCCCCCACGTCTCTCTCTCTCTTCTCCGAAGTCTTCTTCTTCTTCTTCCTTCTCTCTGCTTCGTCGTCTCTCTCCTTCTTCAAAGTCAAAATTCAACAGGTATAATTATAAAATAAAAAAACTTTCCTTTTTTCTTTATTCTTTCTTCTCGGGAGCCTCTCTCTCTCGTATATTCTCGCACGTGCACATCTCGTGCCACCTAAGGGATTCGTCTTTCGAATTCGATCGATTTCGTTTTTTTTTAGATCTGTTTTCCTTTTTTGGGGTGTGAAGATGTTTGTATTATAAACCCTAATTCTCTCTTGAATGTTTTTTTGTGTTGAAAGTTGTTTCATGAGTGGTATTGTGATCGATTTGGAGAGCAGCAATAAGAAGAACAAGAGAGGATATGTCGTCACTCAGCAGAGAACTCGTGTTTTTGATACTTCAGTTTCTCGATGAAGAGAAATTCAAAGACACTGTTCACAGGTTTAATTAACCCCTTTTCAATTTTTATTCCTGTAATATATAGAATTGTTTAATTGCGGTCCCTCTTTGTTTGATTGTCGGGATTAGAGTAGAATTAATTTATCATCTGTTGTGAATCAATGTGTGTTGTCAAGTTTTGATTTTTCTCTCAAAAGATGGGTTCTTTTGAATGTAGTAATTTAGAGGCAGTACAATTTTGGTTTTTTTTTTATATGCATGACTAATTTGCTTGTGTGTGATTTCTCTACTAGGTTGGAGAAGGAGTCTGGTTTTTTCTTCAATATGAGGTACTTTGAAGATAGTGTAACAGCTGGTGAATGGGATGATGTAGAGAAGTACCTTTCTGGATTCACTAAAGTTGATGATAATAGATACTCCATGAAGATATTTTTCGAGATTCGGAAGCAGAAATACCTTGAAGCACTTGACAAGTAAGTTTCTTTCGTTTCTATATTAATGAGGAAAGTTCCTCAGTTGTGTTGTTGAGTTATTATTGACTTGAAGTGAGAAGAGAAGTGGATTTGAGTATTCATATATTTTCCCATCTGTTTCTTCTTTTGTTTTTCTAGGAAAGATCATGCCAAAGCGGTTGAAATTCTTGTTAAGGAGTTAAAAGTGTTCTCCACATTCAACGAAGAGCTTTTTAAGGAGATTACCATGCTTTTAACTTTAACAAACTTCAGGTAGATTCTTTACTTTCTGAGCCCTTGTAGTTTGGTTTCATTGACCACTGGATTATTCAAAACCATGCGCTTCTCATGTTGATGTTTCATTTACTGCAAATATTCAAGGGAAAATGAGCAGCTTTCCAAGTATGGAGATACTAAGTCCGCAAGAGGTATCATGCTGGGGGAACTTAAAAAACTGATTGAGGCAAATCCTCTCTTCCGAGACAAACTTCAGTTTCCCAGTTTGAAGAATTCAAGATTGAGAACCTTAATTAATCAAAGGTAAAAGCTTTATTTTTTATTGCTTCTCTCCCGTTTTTCTATTGGGGGAACAACTAACTGACCATTACTTCTGCTAAATCGTAGTTTGAACTGGCAGCATCAGCTTTGCAAGAACCCAAGGCCTAACCCGGATATTAAAACACTCTTTGTTGACCATACGTGTGGGCATCCAAATGGTGCACACACTCCCCCTACAACTAATCATTTAATGGGTTCAGTCCCTAAAGTTGGAGGCTTCCCACCATTAGGTGCTCATGGCGTAAGTTGTTCTAAGATTACAGCTTCTGTTGGATTAGTTTTTAGTACATGAATTTAACTTTGCTAGTCTATATGCTCTTTGTTCAGCCATTTCAGCCAACACCAGCTCCTCTTACAACATCTCTTGCAGGATGGATGCCTAATCCATCGGTACCACACCCTACTGTTTCCGCTGGGCCTATCGGCTTAGGTGCCCCCAACAGTGCTGGTAATGTTGTCCGACTAATTTTATTTTCTGATTTGTATGTGTTGGAGATTTAGTTTACTATTAGCTATATGGTTATGTAAGGTACCATCCCTTGTTTAGATCACCATTAGTTTGATGGTTATCTGTGCTTCTTGGACTGACTGAACTGCCTGAAATGATATAAAGTGATTTAGTGAGTCACATTTTTCAAAGCTGTAGTGGTAAACTGCTCTCTTTTCTTTTTACGGACTAAAATATTTTTTAGTGGTAAACTGTCTCTATGGTGGATAAGAGAGAGAAACATATGCTCATATGTGCCGTTTTGGTTAATTTCACAATACTCTTGTTTATAGATAATAGATAGAGAAGCAAACTTTTAATTTAATGTCAGATAACCTTGAAGTGCTGTCTTATGTCTGAAATTTTTATTTATTGCCAGTTTTTTAGTCCTTACCGTGGAGATCTGTTTGGATGTGTACCAATTACATAGCTTATCATAATCTATATTCATCATTTCTTCCTTGCAGTGTCTATGTTAAAGCGTGAGCGTCCCAGGAGTCCTCCAACTAATAGCCTATCAATGGATTATCAGACGGCAGATTCTGAAAGTGTGTTGAAGAGACCCAGACCTTTTGGTATATCAGATGGGGTATTAACGGCTGCTTGTTCGTTTTTCAGCTTAAGTTCTCATCTTTAATTTCTTAGAAGTCACATTATTCTTTGAACATTTTGCAGGTTAATAATCTTCCAGTCAATGTCTTGCCAGTCACATATCCAGGGCAAAGCCATTCTCATGCAACTTATTCTACTGATGACTTGCCCAAAAATGTTAGCAGGATTTTGAGTCAGGGTTCTGCCATTAAGAGCATGGATTTTCATCCAGTACAGCAAACTATGCTCCTTGGTTGGTTTTCTCATCTGAAGCACACATCATTCTTCTTATTTATTTTGGTTTATGCCAGAGAAACCTGCAAAACTTGTATCAGACAGCATAATTTTCATCTTCTCAGTACAATCTGCTTACTTTATATTTGATTTACATTTGTTTCCTAGTTGGCACCAATCTTGGTGATATCGCAATATGGGAGGTGAGTAGCAGGGAGAAGCTCGTGTCTAGAAGCTTTAAAGTTTGGGATCTTGCTACTTGCACTGTGAATCTTCAGGTATATTTCCTCTTTTTATTGATCTACTGTAACAGTTAAAAGAGAAATTGAGTGGGAGATGTGTTCTTAGTTAGTTAAAACTATACAGAAGATTTTCTTCTCTTTCTAGTGAGGAACATATCAAGGTTAATAGCTAGTTATCTGAGATAGATAACTCATAAAAGCTTTCAATATTGCCATGTAAAATATCAAGGACATCTTTTCCTTTTGCTGACCTTGTCTGATTTTGACCACTCTCCCTTTTCCATTTTCTCTTGTTCATTAGGCTTCACTTGCTAGCGAGTATACTGCAGCAGTAAACCGAGTTGTTTGGAGTCCTGATGGAGGGCTACTGGGTAAGCCTTTCTATGATCTTGTGGTCGTATTGTTAGTCAAGTATTTGTGTCCCTCATGGGCTGAGGCTGGTCGTCGTATAAATTTTATGGCAAATCAAGTGTCGTAACGTCTACTTCGTATTTCAGGTGTCGCATATTCCAAGCATATTGTGCATATATATTCATATCATGGTGGCGAAGATTTGCGGAATCATCTAGAGGTTTGTCTCTTAGTCACGACCTTATATTTGATACGGGGTTTCACCAACTTCTGTCTCTTTTCCTATTAGGTTATCATTCCGCTTATGTTTTTTTATTGTGATATTCATTGTTATATGTGGATATAGGCATGGAATCTGTTCAATGGAACAATTTATATTAAAAAAATATATATTTTCTGTAGGATTCTGATAGTATTGTTTTTTTCCGTTTGGGTCCCTATTTGTTTTAATCACCGAGCAGCATTCTTGGATCTTTGAATATATGTTTTTATCACCATTCAGCATTCTTAAATCTTTGAAACAGCTGGGTTCCCAACACGCTGATGTTTGTTTTTTGTTTACCATTACAGATTGATGCTCATGCTGGTAATGTCAATGATCTTGCTTTCTCCCAACCAAACCAGCAATTATGTGTTGTGACTTGTGGAGAAGACAAGACAATCAAGGTTTGCATCTTTCCGTATGTTAATACATTTGTATAATTAGACCATCCTGCTTATATAATTACTCTCTATACAGGTTTGGGATGCTGTTACCGGAAATAAACTGCACACTTTTGAAGGTCATGAGGCACCTGTTTATTCTGTGTGCCCACACCAGAAAGAGAATATTCAGGTAGAGTAGAATGCATAAAGTGTCTCTTGTTCTTTATTCTAAGGCATTCCATAAGATGAAATCTCGTATTACCAAGTGTCTATTTGGTGTTCTCTGCTCAATTAGAATTCATAATCTCTCGCACTTCCATCTTTTGCCAAGTTTATGTTATATACAGAGATACAAATAACATGAACTGATGCTAATAGAAGCATCTGCAGCACATTCTCTCTGTCTTCAAAATTTAAGCTTGAAACTCGTTTCTTATGATATTTCAAGTGTATTGCTATATATGATGTGAGCAGTTTTATGTTTCTTGCTCTACATTTATAGTCTGTGCAAGCTTTTTCACTTTTGCTCTCTTTGGTCATTGAGATAGTTATAATTGGGGATTTTTTCTTTCTGTCAGTTCATATTCTCAACTGCTGTTGATGGGAAAATAAAGGCTTGGTTATATGACAACATGGGTTCTAGAGTAGATTATGATGCCCCCGGTCGATCTTGCACGGCAATGGCATATTGTGCTGACGGGACTAGGTAAATGATTCTCATGCTGTAATATTATATTCTTGTTATGCTATACTTATCCTTCCTTTTGTTCATATCTTTTTTATCTTCTCGTTTGTTGTAGATTATTCTCTTGTGGTACTAGTAAGGAGGGGGAATCATTCATTGTTGAATGGAATGAAAGTGAAGGAGCTGTGAAGCGGACTTATCTTGGACTTGGGAAACGTTCTGCGGGGGTTGTCCAGTTCGATACCATGAAGAATAAATTTTTGGTAGCTGGTGATGAGTTCCAAGTCAAATTTTGGGATATGGATAGTGTTGATCTCTTGAGTTCAACGGCTGCAGAAGGGGGTTTGCCGGTAAGGGTCTATTTCTCTCTCAATTACTGTTTCTCTAGTTGACATTTGAAAGAATTGGTTGCTAACTTAATATCAATAGTCTTCCCCTTGCTTAAGGATCAATAAAGAAGGAACTCTGCTGGCTGTCTCAACTACTGATAATGGAATTAAGATACTAGCGAATGCTGAAGGTTCCAGAATTTTGCACTCCATGGCAAACCGTCGACTTGACAGTTCTAGAGCTCCTCCTGGGTCAGTTGCTAAGGTAAACCACTTGTCATCATATCTTACTTATTCTGCTCTCTCTGGGTGCTATTTCAGAAAAAACAAATTTGAATGCATGATTTTGTTTTTAGGGTCCTATTGTTGGCACATTTGGCACTTCAAGTTCAAGCACTGGAATGAGTCTATCAATGGCTGAAAGAAGTGGACCAGTGGCATCTGTTACTGGATTGGTAATCCCACCTGTTAAATGTTTTAAGATATTTTTGTTTGGTTAGATATCCTCATAATATGTCACCGTAGAAAATGTCCACTTCGTTTCTTTAGCGAAGCTGACTGAGATCAAAGCATAACTGTTCAGTTCATTCAAACGCTTCAAAGGCAAACACTGGCGCTTTACTGAATTCCTGCTAAGTTTATTCATAATTTTTTGGTTTTAGAATGGAGATAATCGCAGTCTGCCAGATGTCAAACCACGAATCGCTGATGAGGCAGAGAAATCAAAGACTTGGAAGCTGACAGAGATCAGCGAACGTTCCCAGCTTCGTACTCTGCGGCTTCCAGACACCCTGCTACCAGCAAGAGTATGTATCCAATCTATTTCAAACATGTTGTCATTTTGTTCCAGCTAGGATGCGTTGCAGACCTTTCCTTAAAAGAATGATAGCCGATCCCGTCCCACCCATTAGAGCTAAAATACTCCCTGTTATTATATTTGGAATTCTATGATTAAATAGAAAGTTTTCATTACTGGTAGTTCAAATGAAAATTATCTAATATTTTGGATATTCTGAATATCTAATATTTAGTTTCCTTTGCGTAATAAAACTTATTTCTGGAGGCCTTCGTTTGACTCTCTTCTTATCTTGGTCATGATGTCATCTTATTTCTCGATGCAGGTTGTTAAGTTGATATATACAAATTCTGGAGGTGCTGTATTAGCATTAGCAGAAAATGCTGCACATAAACTATGGAAATGGCAAAAGAGTGAGCGGAATCTTTTGGGAAAGGTACACAGTAACCGTTGATACAACATCTAATGGTGTTTTTGAAACTCAATTGTTATAGCTTCTTATATGGTTTTTGTTTGTTTAGGCAAATAGCAATGTCCCACCACAGCTTTGGCAGCCATCTAGTGGAGTATTAATGACAAATGACACACGCGAGGGAAACAAAGAGGATGTAGTTCCATGTTTTGCACTCTCAAAAAATGATTCTTATGTCATGTCAGCCTCAGGAGGAAAAATTTCCTTGTTCAACATGATGACTTTTAAGGTCCCTCCATGTCCTACTCACGTCTATTCATCTGCTTGGCTTCAAACTCTTGTTTGCTCACTTTTTTTTTTTCAGACGATGACGACATTCATGGCGCCTCCTCCAGCAGCGACTTCCCTTGCCTTCCATCCTCAAGACAATAATATTATTGCTATCGGAATGGATGACTCGTCTATTCAAATCTACAATGTCAGAGTCGATGAGGTATCCCAGCTCAACTGAAAGTGTCAAAAAGACTTGTTAGTTTTTCATAGAAACAAATATTCAAAACAGCTTTTGGATGGTAATGAATTATGCAGGTTAAAAGTAAATTGAAAGGTCATCAGAAGAGAGTGACTGGATTAGCATTCTCAAACGTTCTAAATGTTCTTGTTTCCTCTGGTGCTGATTCTCAGGTATGCTTATATGCTGCATTGGCTGTGATATATTCTCGCTCCAATAATGTTCAAAAAAAAGATCTTGCCACTGCTTTCATCTGCGGTGTTATCAGTTTCCTAATGTAAATGGTTTTATCTGTATAGCTTTGTGTATGGAGCATGGATGGATGGGAAAAGCAAGCTAGCAAACAGATACAAATCCCAAGCGGGCATTCGCCAAACCCACTTGCTCATACACGCGTTCAGTTCCATCAGGACCAGACACATGTGCTTGTTGTCCATGCCAGCCAGTTAGCCATATACGAGGCTCCTAAATTAGAGAGCATGAAGCAGGTCTGCTGCTAAAATGTCTTATAGAGCATTACATTAAATGTTTTGTCTTTGTCCTTGAATGCCTGATCTATCAATGTCCTGATCTGTTTCTTCCTCTCTTTGTTCAGTGGATACCGAAGGAGTCAAGTGGTTCAGTCACAGATGCTGTATATTCATGTGATAGCCAGTCAATATATGCAGCCTTTGATGATGGAAGTGTGAGTATCTTGACGGCAACAACATTGCAACTGAAGTGCCGCATTGGTCCCAATTCATATTTGCCTTCAAACCCGAGGTAATAACCCTCTGCTATATTTCAACGTTTGCCAGTTTTAAGACCAACACAAGTAACATCTTTTCTTTTTGAACAGCTCGAGAGTATATCCAGCCACAATCGCAGCACATCCATCTGAACCAAACCAATTTGCAGTTGGGCTAACCGATGGTGGGGTCCACGTGATCGAACCGCCAGGTCCAGAGGGGAAGTGGGGAATGTCCCCACCACCAGAAAACGGCGCAGGGCCAAGCGTCTCCTCAGCACCCGGGTCAGATCAACAACAGAGGTGAGGTCTGGTCTGTTCACCCAGCTCGCACCATGCAGCCTCCCAAGTTATTAGTGTACTCTTTGAGAGGAGAGCTCTGAGATTGTAGGTTTTTATATTCTTACTCAATTCATAGTAGGTGAAAGGTGAAGCAGCAGTTTCTTCCATTAATTCTAGTGTTTTACTAAATGGTTTCATTTGAGATTCCCTTACTACTACCATTATAGAGTTCCCCTCCCTACAGTTTATTTTTATCTAGATTTCAAGGTTTGTAGATAAAAGATTGATTAGCCAATTCAGATAATGTTTAGAAAGTCTTTGTGTTTCTAAAGGCACACCCATCACAGAGCTCTGTTTACTTAAGAATTAGGGATTCCTGGAGAGAAATATTGAAGGTCTTGAACAAAAATAGAGGCAAGGATTTAAGGACAGCCCAAAGCCATTCTCTTCTTTTCAGATTCGGTGGGTAACTTAACGTTAGTGGCCAAACCAAAAGCTTCAAGAAATCTAATGAGTGCCAAGTTATGTCGAGCTGCCACCACGGATCATCCTTGTGAGCGACAGTTAAGTAGAAACTTAAGATATTAGGGAACGAAACGACAATCTGAATTACCACATAATCAGAAAGTAATCAGAAAGTAAAATTTCCTCAAGATAGAATGCAATAAGATTTACAAACAAAGCATAGGAAAAGTTTTGTGAGTTGCAATAGATGTTAAAATTCAGTCCAAATCAAAATTAAAATGGACTATATAACCTTGAAACGAAGAAGAGATCATCATAGGAATGAACTTCAATAAATAGCCACAATTCCTCAATTTTGTAGCAATCCATTTCTAGAGAAATAACAACATCATGGAACTAGAAGCTATGAATGAGATGTGATTAATATACCAGCTAATTTCAACTTTCAAGTGCTAGCTACTTTCTTGAAATTGTATATCAACTACAGAGTTGAAATGTTATGTAGAAGATACATATAGTTTACATGCAATTCAGATAATGTTAAGAAAGTCTTGGTATTCTTGAAAATGACGAATCTCTAGTGACTGGAAAGAAATAGGGATGTGGAGATGCAGGAGGAGCAGAGTTTGAGAATACTATTAAAGGAAAAGTAAAGATCAGACCAAAGCCATTCTCTTTTTCTGAGATTCAGTAGGTAACTTTACGTTGGTGGCCAAACCAATAGCTTCAAGAAACCTAATGAGATACCAAGTAACGTCGAGCTGCCACCACTCGAGTCCATGCCTGGCCGAGAACTCGAACGCATGATGATTGTTATGCCATCCCTCGCCATGTGTTATCATGGCTACCCACCTAATTCATCACCAATTTATAACTATTTGGTCAGATTACAAATATATAGATATATATATATGCACAGTACCAATTGTTTTTGGAGAAGTCAGGGGTGTTCCAAGCTCGTGTTCCCCATACATGGCAAACTGAGTTCACTAGAAAAGTCGTGTGGAATCGAACCACAGTTGCAACACCCTGCCATCGCCAATATTCTCTCATAATTATACTTTTACCTTAATTTGTTTTCTTTTGCTATGATAAATGCCATTTTTATTTGAAATATCTACTGTGGTCCGACTTGAACCATGACACTAGTCTAAAAAATATTATCGTGGAATAGAATATAATGTATAGCATAAAAATTTCAATGAAATGAAGACAAGGGATGGTATGCGTCCTTACAATTCCCCAGACAAGGAAGGGCATGCCTCCACAAAAATAGAAGAGAAGGGCATAAGCCATCATATGCAAAAGGACCGTTCGTTGAAGGAACCTATAGAAGGGCTGCCTCACAAGGTCATCTACATTCTCATGTCCACCACACTGCAATCGGATGGTTTATTCAGGGTTAGGTCTGTCCCGCTCATACAGGACCATTCCTATCAGGGCCACAAGGACTGCTGGTGCCGGACTTCCGGACCAGTCCACTACATCTTAATTCATGCCTATTTGAACTTTTCCGACAATATCAAGTTCTGATCTATGAGTTCGTTCCTCATAGAATTACAGTTACTGATCAATAAGAAATAAATTGGGTATTTAACAACTGAAAATTCTATTACCTTCTTGAGGATAGAACTGGTATCAAAGATCCAAGTAATATGACTAAACCAAAACCCTTGAGTAGGGCTGTGTGGGTCACGTTGTGTGTCACAATGCTTATGATGGTACCGATGGTTGCTCACCCACTCTATTGGATCTCCCTGCGCACACAATTTAGAAGTTACGAATAAAATATATATACATACTCCTCTGAACATATATTCATATCAAACAATCATATCGTGTTAATACATATAAAGCCAAACCTGAAAAGCCATAAGGCCACCATAAGCGAAGATATACTCAAGCCATTTTGGCAGATCGAAACTTCGGTGAGAAAGGTTTCTATGATAAGACAAGGTGATGCAGATTCCATTGATGTAAAAGAGCCAAGGTAAAACCCGAAAAGCCTCCCAACTGAAGTAAAATGGAGCCAAGAGGCTCAGCAAATGAGCCCCACCGACAAAGACTAACTTTCCCACGTCCCAAGAAGTCCAACTCCGATCCTTTCCCAAAATGCCCTCTTCTTTCTCATGATCACCACCTCAACCTCCGACAAGGGTATTCTCCAGGAGCTCTTGACCTGATCCGGTGCATCATGAGCTGCCACGAACGTGTTTTTCCTGTGAGCCACGGATCCTCCTCGTTTGGACAAAAAAGAGTTTGTAGAGTTATGTGTGAACAAGGCATTGCCATTACTGGGGTTATGCTGTTTAACAGATGGTGATAAAAGAGATAGCGGTTTGAGAGTTGTTGATAGAGACAACATGGCTTTAGGTTGTTAAAGTTGATGCCTTTGCATGCATATTATTATATAATATATAGCAGTTTATTAACATGTGTGGTCCAATTGTTTTTTTTTTTCACAAAGATTGGATTAAATATAACATTAATAGGTGATTTGCTTAATTATGAGATTTTTTTCTTTCATTCCTCTCAAAACTGAAAATTGAACTACTTAGACCATGTACATAGCTGATATATTTAGAGTATCAGAATCCCATAAATAAATTTTTATTAGATGAGATAATACATTGGGGTCTGATCAGTATCAGTGCAGTGATACTTCTGATACCCAGTATCGGATGATGTGGCGGTTCCTGATTCGTGCTGGGAAACGCGTTTTTCCCTGAAAAAAAAAAAATCATTCTCGTTTTCCCGATTCTTCCGGATTATTTTTATCATCATGTTTTTTTATATATTTTTTTTGAATTTTATGTTTTTTTGCTTAAGTATATTCTACGTTTTTTTTAATTGTAATATTACCTTTTGTAATTCTATGTTTTTATATATTTATTTTCGATTTTTGCAGATAATTCTTTTTTTTATAATACTTAAACCGGTCTTACCAATGAAAATATATTTAGTATGAGTATCATAAAAAATCTCAAAGAATAAACAAATATTATAAATAATACTAAAAATTGTTAATGATACTTTATGAGTATCACTTATGTGCATGCTCTTACTTTCAAAACAAAACATCTCTTTACCATACCAGAGATTAGAGAATGATTAGCATATCCATGTAGTTTTGGCTTTTTGCCATAACTTTTCATATTCCATTCATCACTAATTGTACTATTTTTTGGTGTTTTTGCAAAACCATTTGCAGCAAAGGAAAAACAGATTAGTTGTGGTGACTGATGGCAGCTGAGCTTCAAGATTCAATAATGACCAAAATCCAAAAATGTATAGTACAAACTAGCACGTAGTGTTTCTGGCTGCCAAAATACACAAATACGAACCAATAAGAGATCGACACAAAACCATTTGAAGCAAAGGAAAAACAGATTAGTTGTGGTGACTGATGGCAGCTGAGCTTCAAGATTCAATAATGACCAAAATTCAAAAATGTATAGTACAAACTAGCACGTAGTGTTTCTGGCTGCCAAAATACACAAATACGAACCAATAAGAGATCGACACAAAACCATTTGAAGCAAAGGAAAACCAGATTAGTTGTGGTGACTGATGGCAGCTGAGCTTCAAGTACATTCAATAATGACCATAATCCAAAAATGTATAGTACAAACTTGCACGTAGTGTTTCTGGCTGCCAAAATACACAAATACGAACCAATAAGAGATCGACACAACACAAGCGTCAAGTACCAGTAGTTAGTTCCGTAGTCAGGCAAATATTAATGGTGGAGAGCGGGTAACCGAAAAAGAATTCAACTATCAACTAAAAATTGGCGATAACGTAAATGGTTTTGATAATTACACCTCCCTTTGAATCCATGCCACTCAAAATAAAACCGAAATTTAAAACTACTATCATCCATGTCAATATACTTGTGTTTTTGTCGTTTGATAACAAAGTTTCTTAGACCCAAACCACATTATAACGGATTTATGCAAACTCCTAAGTTTAAATTTTATTTGTTATCGTTACATGATATATGGAGAAAAACATTTCTATTCTCATAATTTTATACTACTTTCTTACAAATAATAGAAGTGACCGGAAAATCATAGGAGACTTCTTCTTATTAATTAAAAGAAATGATTGGAAAATTCAGGACCACTTTTTAACGAATACGTATAAAAGTTACCGGAAATAGGTTTTAACGTTATTACCCAAAAAAGTGATCGAAAAGTGGTTGAGAATCTCGTCAGATGAGAGGTTGCATGCTACTCAAGTGCATGTATCGCTGAGAACTTTGAATCGTATAACACGATTATTTGTTAGCTTATCTCCCATTATTATTAGAATATTAAAATCTTTTACATCGAGAATTTGAAACATTTGATTCTTAATTAGTATATACAAGGTTTATAATCCTTTCTACTAATCATCAGTTGGTTTTGAATTGAAAAATCTATAGTTCCTACTTCCTAATATAGTATTTAAGTCCAAAGTTGATTCCACATACATTTTCTCACAAAATAGTTTTCCACATACTAAGTGATCCGTCTTGTTTTAATATTTTCGTTATGATTGTATTTTTAGTTTCCGTTCTTATTCTGAAGAGACCTATTAAAATGTTCTAAATGTCTCGCATCGAAAATTGATTAGCGTTCTCTTCTATTTTCCGGTCAATCCGACGATTTAGTATTAGCAAAAAAAAAAAAAAAATGGTAATCAACCCTAAATTCCAAATCGAGAGGTGACGTGAAGGACTACGTAGTGATATTAAGCATAGAAATACGACCGAAGCAGGCGACACATGTGGGACAGTGGGAGAAAGTAATGGTGAGACTAGTCATGAACTGAGTCTGGGCCGAGACTACTCAATAAATAGGCCCACAAACAAATTTTGAACCGACTGATAAAAATGTGACAGCTTAAACAATGGCAATTTTGTTAGGTTAGCAAAAATTAAATCTTTCATTTTTAGCATATGTAACCATTTGTTTGTTTGTGGCAGAATAAAAACCGTTAGTTAGTTTGCTTTCATTTGAGAAAATAAAAGAAAATTTTAACAGCTTCTGTTTCAAGTAAGCTATGATACTTAACATATATTTATGAGAGAGGAAAAAACACGAACGATCGAGAACACATACATAACAACAACAAAAAGATGGATCTTAACAACAACAACAGCAACATTTTCAAAACCCTAGCTCGGTGGTGTCTTCTTCTACAAGCCTTCATGATCTCGTCCAAGACCGTGGCTCTGAAGGAACCTGACTACGTAAACATGAACATAACAATCCGTAACGCAATGACAGGATTACTCCGACCGGAAATTGTTTACCGATGCCAGTCTAAACACAAAGACTATGGTTGGCATCGATCTACAAAGCCAGGAATCCAATTTTCATTCCCAATCATCCTCATAAAAGGCGAAAACAAAATACCGGCGATTCACATCTGCGAATTCCGGTCCGTCTTAGGAACGGCTACACTCGTGATCCAAAACACCCATCTGGACGCCGAGATGTGCCCTAGATCGTCGTGTGCTCACGAGGCAACCCCGAAAGGAATTGTGTTTAGAGGCCTTGAATGGGATTTCAGAACCGTATTTCCTAAACTCAAACCAGTTGAGTATCTAGAATTGCCGTGGACACCTTGGCCAAACAGAACATGAATTTTTTGTCATCATTTTTTTCCTTTTGTATTGAATGTAATTATAGATATTTAAAATCCATAATCAGTTTGTCACATACAATCTCTTGCACAGATATATACCTTTATGTAAACACAAAAAAAAAGCAGCACAAAATCCTTTTTAAAACCTTCATAGCTTCAATCGTAGCGACAGTTGCGATTTGGTCATAACCACCTACTTTTCAAGATCAGTCGCTGGTCAATGCCATTCTTTGTTTCTGAGCTTCCGATGGGAGCTTCACATCGGTTGCTAAACCGATGGCTTGAAGAAACCTAACGACGTACCAAGTCATATCAAGTTGCCACCATTCTAAGCCGTGTCGAGCTGAGAACTCAAAAGCATGATGATTGTTGTGCCATCCTTCCCCGAATGCTAGAGCTGCTACCCACCTGAAAAGTTATAAATTCAGAGTTTCTTTTAGTACAATTATATCTTAAGATGGATCGAGTGATTAATGAGTGATCGATGAAGAGTTTTACCAGTTGTTCTTAGACAAATCGCCGGTGTTCCATGCTTGTTTTCCCCATACATGACAAGCTGAGTTCACTAGCCAAGTTATATGATATACCCATACTATTCTTACACCCTGCAAAACCCAAAAAAAAAAGGATTAGAGACGCTACGAAAATCAGAAACTGTGGCTCTATGGAAGTGTTAGAGTAATTAAAATCAAGTTTCTTCTGCCTTTTTTTCTTCCTTTCGTTCCGTTTACAAATTTGCTAAAAAAAATCAATGTAGTTTCACTTTTAGCATGCAAATGTTGTTTATATCAAAATACAAGCAAATAGAATTTAGTCCATTCACGAGAAGAGCATGAGCCACAAATTTTTCTTACAAGAAAGATAAGATATTTACTTGTGGTTCTGTTTTGTTTAACAAACACAACTTGTGTGCCTAAGGTCAATAATCTAAGTTGCACTAAATTACAAGAAAACGCAAGAGGGAAATCAAGTGAGAAGATTTGGCCCAGCAAATTGATAGCTACACAAAAAAAAACTGGTGGATTTATCTTGTTTTGGCCGAGCTAAAACAAATCATAATCCTAGCTAGTTCTGAAAATTAACAGTGATAGATTCAAAATGCAAGACTAGCCACAGAACATACCATTCCCCAAACGATGAATGGAAAGCCGCCCATTGCGTATAAAGCAACCGCTAGAGCCACCGGATGCAAAATGTAGGTTGTTCGAAGGAATCGATAGAATGGTTGCTTCTCCAAATCCCCAACATTATTAGGCTCTCCACACTTTAAACATCAAACACAAAACAGAGTTTTAAATCACTATAAACAATAAAGAATACACTTTTTCAGACAAATCTTAATATGAACAAAAAAAAGAAGAAGCAAATCGTTACCCTTTGGGTGATTGTATTGGTATCAAACATCCAATTCATATGACTGAACCAAAACCCATCAAGTGGGCTATGAGGATCTCTGTCAGAATCACAAAACTGATGATGATACCTATGTGTACTCACCCAATCAATTGGGTTTCCCTGAAGAAAACAACACACAAACATCAATTACACAATTTGGTAAAACTACACATTCAACAAAAACTACATTATCATCAAATCACCTGAAGAGCTTGAGCTCCACAATAAGCAAATAAGTACTCAAGCCATTTGGGAAGCTTGAAAGCTTTATGAGAAAGATTCCTATGGAAAGACAGAGTAATACCCAAAAGACCTGTGACAATATAAAGCCCAAAAGCAACCGAAACAGCTCTCCAATTGAACTGAAACGGAGCCAAAAGACTAAGCAAATGCATTGACAAAACCACAGCAACAGCTCCAAAATCCATCGCTTTCCATTCTCTCTCCCACCAAACTACTTTTTCCTTCTTCTTCACCAACACATCCGATAGCATTATCCTTCTGTAATCTCCCTCCGTCGCAGCAGCAGCTGTGATGACATCTCTCTTCAAACCCTTTTCAGAGAATGCAACAACGAGACTCGGAGGCTTGAAAGGAGCAAGCTTTTGGTGGTGGGTGAATGAAATTCTGGCGAAACTCAATGACGGTGTTGATGTGTTCAAAGTTCGTGGAGATAACGATGGTGAACAGAGGAAAAGGGGTTTGGGTTTTGTTAAAAGAGAAGCCATTATCGATGTGATGGCTAAGAGAAGCCAAGAGAAGAGACTTAAACCCTTACTTATATATATACTACTATATATGTTAATATGTGTGCGTGTATAAATCAGGGTCGGTCCTTTTTGTATGCTTCACAAGTCATAACAAGTAGTAGTTGTGATGACAGAGACGTGCAAGATCTCATCTTTTTTGTGGTTCACGGTCTACATTGCGGCTAGATTGAGAAAGAGAGGATAAGATGGTTCTTTAGGGATTTGGATTGCCAATTTGGGGCAGTTATCTTAAACCCGGATCTTCCCTTCAAAATGTCGAGTTTGTTTGCTGAAGAGCCCTTGTTTTTCTTGGAAATTTAACAAATCACCCCAATGTTTTTTTTTTTCAAACAATTGGGCTTAGGTTGTTCTCCTAAAATGGGCTTATTTTGGTTTTGGCCCATCTTTTTATCCATTAAAGAAAATTCCCAAGAGTGAAAAGGAAATGTTCCATAGACCATAACAATTCAAATTTGATATTTGTCTCTATGATACTTGAGTCTTTGTTTTTATGTGTAAGAAAAAAAATCTATAGTAGATATTTGTATTTGTGGTGTGAAAAAATCCTTATCTTGAAGCCATATATCAATTACTCCCATCTTTTTTTCTCCTTCATCTCCAAAAAAGCTTCTCATCAGAACGGTTCCCATGGCTGCTGCCGCTAATACCGCCGCCATTTTCGCTTCTCCTTCCCAGCCTTTATCCTCTAAACGCAGTTTTTGTAAGTCTTTTCACTCAAATTCTTAATTCTTTTATGTTAATCTATAATACTAGATATATGCTTTATAACGAGTTAAAACTGAAGCTTTTGAATAATACAGTGTACAGTTCAACGATTGGTCCAATACTTAGGAGATTTCCAAGGAAGAAACTTGTTCTCCAAGTTAAAGCTGTTGCCACAACTCTTGCACCCCTCGAAGAGATCAAAGAGTCTGTCTTTATTATAGTTCGTCTTGTTGCTTTGGTCTATATAAATATATGAATATTAATAACTAACATATATCATGATTGATTATTTTGGTAGATATAAGCTCCCTTCATGGGCAATGTTTGAGATGGGGACTGCTCCAGTGTACTGGAAAACCATGAATGGTCTTCCTCCAACCGCAGTAAGTTTCTCTAGCCATTTTCAAATCCTAAGATTGTTAAGACTTTTTAACTCAAATTAACTTCTTAAGAAACTTTTTTGGATTAGGGTGAAAAGTTGAAACTTTTCTATAATCCAGCTGCAAGCAAACTCACTCTTAACGACGACTATGGGGTTGCTTTCAACGGTAAGTTTCTTAGAAAACATCTAATTAACTTATATTCCAAGTTTGTCCCAATGAGTTGCCGCAGTTAAAAATTGTTAATGGACTTACCACATATGTAATTGTTTTTCGTACAAATTTACAGCTAGCAGTCTAATCGTGGGTTTGGTCGAGTAATTATTTCTAAGTGTGGCTAGCAAGTAATATCTTGTCATTTCCAAATCAAATTAGTCGAAAGCTACATAGACCAGTCTCATGGACTACAAAAAAAAATGAAAAGAAATATTCAATTGGTTACTAATGGTGCAGGAGGGTTTAACCAACCAATCATGTGTGGTGGGGAGCCAAGAGCAATGCTTAAAAAAGATCGAGGCAAAGCTGATTCTCCGATTTACACTATGCAGATTTGCATTCCTAAGCATGGTTCGTTTTCTATTATAATCAAAAGCCAAAGCGTTTTTTTTTTTATTTGACACTTTCATCTTTCCTATGAATCATTATCAGCTGTGAATTTGATATTCTCATTCACCAACGGTGTCGATTGGGACGGTCCATACAAACTTCAGTTTCAAGTCCCCAAGCGATGGCAAAACAAACCTATTGAGTTCTTCAATGTGGTAAATAGTGAATTTCTTTTGAATTTGCACAACTTATCACCTTTATATGCAATATGCACGACTTATCATTTATTAATTGGTGCAAAAAGGGTCTAGCGAACGAGTTGAGCCAAGATGGAGCCTGCGAAAGAGCAATATTTCCTGACTCGAACGTTGTTGCAACTCGTTGCACAATGATCGCCAACTTGACGGTCGAAGGAGTAAGTTCTCACCAAACTATATATTACAAAATCATTATTATAAAAGTTTGAATACACAGTAATTAACTTGAAATAAATTTCAGGGAGATAGATGCAATTTGGATCTAGTTCCTGGGTGCATGGATACAAATTCAGAACATTTCAACCCATATGCTAATGTTGATGATGGCTCTTGTCCCCTCGAGTTATCCGATTCTGATGAATAGAACTAGATTTTATTTATGTAAATATATAAACACATATGTTAATATCAGTGTTTGAATACAAAAAATGTTACTCGTTAATTTTTAATATAATTAGATAAGAGCTTTACAATTAAAAGTTCTGGGAGTTTCTTAGCCACCGAATCTTATAAATGTTCACATCTTGTTCTATTTATTAGTTGAACTAACAAATTAATTTAAAGGCTACTATATTGGAGAACTTTTCAACAAAGAAACCAAAATAAATTAATAATTATATGTTGGATAAACTCACCTTAGGTGTGCCACCTACAAGTTCTTCCATTGGATTGCATAAATTAGTTATACGAAGAGCTAATATATGTACACAAATACCATTTCAAAAAAACTCCATGCGGCAGCTTCACAATCACGTACACATTTAGTCAGGTTCAACTAATGGTATTCAATTAGAACCATTTAATAGAAACTAAAATAAAACCATTAGACTTCGACTAAATGTGTTTCTAAACGTTTTAAGAAGAAATAGATTTAGTTTAATATACAATTATTTTGCCGGAAAAAATAGATTTAATTGACTAGAGAGTCTTTCGAGATCAAACTACAACGAGTAGTTCTTAAGTGTCTCTTGCTCATCTCTTCGTACTTCCCGGCTAATGAGTCAAAGAGAATCCCAGCGCCAACTCCAACCGCAATATCAATGGTGTAATGCCCTCTCGTACCAAGCAGCCTGATCGATTGCAAGACATTGAGGATGTCAAAAACCATCGCCAGCCTAAACCTCTGCATTCTCTTCATGTCCAACGATGCGATCATCGAGCCGGCGACGTGACCTGAGTAGAAGAGGAAGAACGAGACGTTTCCGACCGGATAATCTACTCCTGATCCTAAAAATTCCTGTAAAAAGGGTCAAATAAGTATCTTAAATCCTTCTTCTTTTTCTTCTTTTCTTTTATATTGAACGTGTTAATGTAGACAAGACAAACATGAACCCATGTAACCGCACAAAAAGAAAAATAAATGAGACGACATATATGTTAAAACCAAGGGAGTACAAATGAACCGCCCTTTGAGAACATTCTTTTGCGTATAATTAAGAGTCCAGAATATTATCAAATTATTTGGAGACACTATTATAAACCGCTTTTTAATACGGTAGTGGCCAAGGGAAATCACACGTCCAAAATGTTTGAAATTCTGATATCGATCAATCAGTATTAAAACAGAGAGATGTATATGTGGAATTGAACCTGAGGGCGAGGGAGCTGAGTAGAGTAGCCGAGAATGCCGCGACAAGTGAACATGAATAGAGCCGCGATGGTCGCTCGTGGTCGTCCTTCCACTGCCCATGTACATCCAATATACGTTGTTTGCATCCCTACCAAAATCTGTCCCACCCCACCAAATTTTTTAATTTAACCAGTCTCTCTTTGTTGCATGTGAATATCATATGGCGAGGGAGGCATGAGGAATTTGAGGATAGTCATTAAATATGTGCTTACCGTGTTTAGAGCGGCTAAAACGGTGTTAAGATTCGGTGAAGATGCCAAGATGCTATGCAAAGAGCGTGTGGCCACAAATCCTAGATCAAACGGCTGAGAACTCGCAGGAGTCATCTGGAATGTGTACTCCACAACCGTAAAAAACAGAACTCCGGCCGCAAATAAACATGGTATCCAATGGTGTCTCGCCACGTAAACAATGTCATGCATCGTCCACGTCATAAACGACGCTTTGCTTGTCCATTCTGCTTCTTCTCCTCCGCCGTCGTCAGTTTTCTTAGCAATGTTCTCCATTTGACTATTTATTGCGATTTGGCGATTGTGGTCGTCGAGGGTTCCGTCAATGGTCACGCCGTTTGTGTGTTTTCCGTTAATAGGGTTAGATTTGCGACGGAGAGGGGCGACGGTTTTGGTTACAGCGTCTGACATGACCGTTAGAATTAACGGAGAGTGGCATTTCGGAATTTAGAGAGACGGGTTATATAAAGAGATTACATTTCGAAGGAAACTTGTTGGAGCTAAAAAAATTCATACGAAAACGATGAATATGAGATTAGAGAGCGACAATTACGCTTAATTTACGCAAGTATGAAATTCTCGACGACAGGAAAAGAGAGAAGAGTATGAGATTCTCATTACTTTAATAACTAGTTTATCACGTAAAAAAACACGTTAGAGCACTTCTAATGGTAATGTCTCCATGAGACATTCTTAATAAAAATAAATCAAAAATAAATAAAAAATATTTTTTTAATCAAAAGAGGTGAGACACGTTTCTCATTTGAGACATTGTGAGAAACTGTCTCTCTCATACACATGTCACTCCTAGATTGGTTTAGCAATTTCCTTTTAAATTTAATTATTCTAAGATTTATAATATCAATTAAATAGTTTATAAGTTTTTATTTTTTATTTTTTATTTTTCTATAATTCATAAAATAAAATTATCTATATATCAAGCTCCATTATACAAAAGTTTAAATTTTTATTATTATTATTTTTAATTGATATTAGTTAAGGTTAATATATATATAAATTAATATTTTTAGTTAATAAAATACTATAATATTAGAAAATAAATATGAGATGAATAATCTGATATTTTGTCAATATTTTGATATTTTGATAAATAATGTGTTATCTTTTGTCATTATTTACAAAATGTCCAATATAATTAAAATCTATTTGATAAAATGATGTGTAATTTTAATCATATTGTTTTACAAAATTTCAAATATAATTAAATGATATGTTTAAAATTTTTTATAAATTTTTTATTAAAATATTAATTTTATGTACAAGACTATCCTTTTTGGTTTTTAGTTTTTGTTTTCTTGAATTTTCTGTTGTTTAAAACTGCTCTCAATTCAATAACTCTTCTCATGTTACACGTGATATCAGAATTGCTATTACAAAATCTGCAATAAAGTCCAACTAAAACCCTACAATTGACTTCAAAGCATTTATTGACATAACCTGCAATAAACCTGCAATAAAACACCTCTACACATAGACTTCATTTCTCATAACCTCCGTTACATCTTATACATCTTACATCTTACATCTTGTAATTTTGTGTTTAATTTATATATCTTTATTATGGTTTTATATGTTGTTTAAAATTCAATTTATGTTTAATTGTGGTTTTAAAAATATATTATTAATAATAAATAGTACTATTAATTAATGTTTTTAAAATTATTAATATTCATTATATTATTTACTTCTACAGAAAATATAATTATTTAGTTTGAATGACTATATTTAACATATAATTTGATATGTTTAAAAATATTATTGAAAAATAAATTTAATATAAAAATATAAATATTATATTGATGAGACATCCATAAAGATGTCTCACCAATGGAAGTAGAATTTTAGTGTGAGTTTCTCTAAATAAATTATACATAAAAATATTAATATTATATTTGTGAGACACTTCATGGGTGTCTACCATTGGAGATGCTCTTAATTGTGTATGTATGAATAATGTGTATATAACTCCAATTCAAGATTATCAAAGATTTTGTGCCTCGTTGAATAAACCTATTAATATAACTAGTTCATTAATGTTAAATTACTCCCTCATATGTATAGTGAGTCCGAACGTAAGACAGTTCTAAGACCATCATTAACGGGGGTTTCTTAGCCAAATCTTAACAATAATATTGAATTAAATTAAATGAGAAAGCTTGATTTATACTAAGAAACAAATCTTTACGTTTCTTAGTTAAGAAACAAAATCAAAGTTAAGAGACGTCCACGTGTTCTTTCTCTTCTCTCTCTCTCTCAAATCACGAAAACGGAGAAACCTTCGCGATTTCGAGAAATCGACTGTGAATGAACTCCGGCCGTCGTTCTTCCGTTAGCCCATCATCTCCATCGACTCCGTTTGTCGTCGGCGTCTTCGGTTGTTGTATTCGGAGAGGTTGGGTTGCGAAATCGGCGAGGAGTTCTAGAGATCGTCAAGTTCGGTGTCTACGCCGCTGTTCCCATCGTCCCTATGTATACATTCGCCAACAGTACCAATATCAAGAAATTCATGGGCAATGTACAAAATCTTCCCTCTCTCTCTCGTCTTAGAAACTGATTGGCTTAGATTTATGGGTTTTGCTTCAAAAATTAGGAATGGTAATAACACAGAGTAGGATCTCAGAAACATGCTTCATTTGCAGCATTTTAGACTATGAGTAATATTTCTAATTGAAGCTCTTTTAAGATCGGTTTGTGGATTAGGTGATGGGGTTTTCAATTAGGGATTTTGATGCCTGATTATGAATTAACCTTGTTAAGTTGTTGTACTCTGTTAGGAACATAGATTGATTGGTTAGCCGAATAATTAGGAATGGTAACGCATTATTGCTTTAAATCATTGAAACACCGAGTAATTACGACGATCCTAGCAACATTCAAGATATGGTTCAATCCCCATGAATTGTGAATGATTCATTTGCTTCCTTCAATAGTACTGTCGGGTTTTTCGGGTTCAACATATAGTGAACACTCTGCAATGATGGTTTTATGGTGCACCGGAAGGCATTTTACTAACCCATGTTGTGTGTATCGCCTCAAGGTTTTTGTTCAAATGGGTACACTCATTGTCACTTGATTGTATCAAATTGTCTGCTGTGCTTTAAGTCACTGATAATGCAGCTGGTGAGTCCAAGAGCTTGGTTATCAGATATGTGCAAAGAGAGATATGAAGTGAAGAACCGTCGAAGAAAAATAACTTAAAGAAATATTCAAGATTTTGGTGAGGGGTAGAAAGGATGTTTTTCGCTTTTTCATTACATTTTGAGATGCCTCTCTTCATTACTACAGGTTAACAATGAGGCACTTGTATTTTTGATGATGTTTTTGCTTTCAAAGCTAATCTATCTTCTTAATCTGTCTCTTTTCTCACCTTTTGCTTGTTTTACTTGTTGATCTGCATATAGACAAATCATGTACACAACAACGATTCATGATGAGGAGTTCTAGAATCTCCATTTAGACATGGATGAGCGAGTGTAATGAGAACTCCCAGATTAAGAGATAGAGAGACAGCAAAGAGAACGAGAGAGAAAGAGAGTGCTTATATATTAGAGTGGTATGCATCAACAATTGAAGAATTTGGTCGAGCATATATGGACAAAAAATTTCAAAAATCAAGTTTAAAACAATTGTGTTTTATGTTATTTACTAGATTTTAACCCGCGGTACACCGCGGGGCTATATTTTCTTAAAAAAATCAAAATATAATTGGTTTGATAGATTATTTTGATTGTTAATTTTAGGATTTCACCCGTGGTATACTATCTTTTATAAATATCAACCCAAACCCGTCCCATCATATTACCCGTCCCGTGAAATTAAACATCATTTAGTTATTTTTCTTTTTAATAATACTTTTATTTAAAAGCTATATAATTCAAGTCAATTTAAAAATTTCTTTTAAATGGTTCCCATAAGATATATATACATATATATTAAATTTGTATAGAGTTGAAATAATATTAATATTACAAACTTTTTATATAATTTAAATATTATAAATATTTTTAAAAATATGCAATATATATTTTTTGTTATTGAATAAGAGGATATTATGTGTAAGAAATGTAGAAAATAAGAGTTTAATATTTTTATTATGGAGTCGCAAGAAAAATCTTTTATTTCTATACATGTTATTCGTTTATTAATAATAAAAGAAAACAAATCCTTTAAATTAGATATTAACTAAAATAAACGCACCATAATTACTTATTAAGTAACAACCAATAAATTTCACCAAAAAATAGGTAACAACCAATAAATTCTAAACGCAGTAATTAAAGAATGAGATATTAAAAAAAAATATCAAATAAGATATAAGAATCTTAAAATAATTGAATATCTAAATAATTTAATTGTTAGTGTTGATTTTAATGCCTTCATTAATGTGGATTTTTTTTTTTACAGAGAAATATTTCCTAAAGATTATCACATTAATGACTCAGAAAATTAAGGAAGATATGAATTTATGATTCTCGAAATCGTGTTGGTAATATCTTTAATTAATATTTTTCAAATTTAAATAATTAATGCCAATGGCATTCTTCCGTAAATATATTCCAACTCCAGGATTTATTTGCTAAAAGTCATCCAAAAATGTATATATAGATGGATTAAATTGTATCTCATGTATGTTTTAATTTTTTTAATTTGCAACTATTATTAAATTTTCTATAATTATAAATTTTATTTTTATATTAATATTTCTTTCTTCTAAGAACCACATGTTAAGAGCCTACCATTAATCACACAACAAATCTTAACCCAATAATACAATCTCTTAACTATCACTTTTACAAATATATTATTTAAATATTTCTAAGAGCCATTATTAAGAGCTCATTGATAATCATGCTCTAAGTTTTTTAGTATATTATTTAAATATTTCTAAGAGCCATTATTAAGAGCTCATTGATAATCATGCTCTAAGTTTTTTAGTGGATAGATAAAGTAGTAAGAACTACAAAATAATTAAAAGTGATACAAAGTAGCTCACTACAAGATAACGGTACAATAAAACTGAAAATATCGCTTTGTGTCGTTTTTGGTCAAATTTTACGATTGATAGTTTTTAAAGCTGTATACCACGTACCAAAGCGATCAGAGGTTGCCAATTAAATCATGTAACTGAGAAATAATTTTTTTTTAAAATTGTTTATTTGTCATTTCATAACTATATGTTAATACTTTTTTGTTCATTGACATTAAAATTGTATATATAATTTTTATTTAAAATACATATTACTAGAATGTTATATATTACATCATTCACTAATTTGGTATATTATTCATACGTATTTATATCTCTCATGACTCGTGTTAAAATCCCCCATGATAAATTGATAACAAAAGTAGTCGATTTACTAAAATCAGTTAGGTTTATATACAAATACCTATGAATTTCTCCAATGATGTATTATAAAATATATGAAACTCTAGATCAACAAAGGAGAAGAAAGTAGAAGATGAAATTACTAATGAGAGGAAAAAAGGCACGGAAAAGAAAAATGTTAAGAGGGTTGTAAATGCTTGTTAGTGATAATTTAATTGATTCGTTTTTTTCTCTTGGCTAAGACTAAGGTCTTGGATCATGATTGGAATTCTTAGCATTGATATTTCTCCATAAATATGAGGACAGACTGTTGTCCAAGGATATATTCTCAAGAATTATCCATAGATTTTGTAGCATTACCATATGTATAAGAATGATCGAGGTTTAGGCCTAACGTTTGTGTAAGATACCATTTGTTAACCTCAAGTGGGCTAAAATTTTGAAATAAATTATCAACTGGTGTATTACATTTCATAATTTGTATGGGTATATATTTTAGACACTTTCATTCTTGTTTTCATTTTTCTATTCTTTTAAAATTTTGAAGACAGCCCAAATTTTAAAGAACTTCTTTGTTTTTTCATTTTCTTACTTTTTATTGTTTTATTTTCATTCATATTTCTTAATGTTTGTGTTTTATTTTCAGGTTATGATTTAAAAGGACAACATAAAAATATATTATCTTCATCCTACTTTGATCAAAGGGGTATATTCATTTTAGATTTTGCAATAATTTGTTTCAGAAAATTAGTTAATTCAAGTATTAAATCTTTTACTTTAATTAGGCTAGTACGTCTGACTTCTTCATACCTGCCAGAATGGGCTTTTTTGGGGGAATTTGAATCGTACCCTATACCATGGATTGCTGAGAACGTCAAAAATTTGAGAAAATTAGGATTTTGTGACGAGCTTGAGAAATTTGCTATTGGCGATAAAGGCGAATCATGTGTTGTTTTGGATGCATTTCAGACCCATGACATCAACTACGTACGTGAACAACATGGTAACTTTAATCATTGTTAATCTATGTTTGCTAATATCCAATATTATAAAATAAAAAATATCGACAAAAGATATTTTTGAATACAAACTCTGAATAATATTTTTGAATACAGAACGAAGTGGATATTGTAATCGGAATTTCAATTTGAGTTTTTTGGTTTAAATAAAAATTATCAAAGATTATGTAGTGGATTCTTCATTTGTTTACTTTACTTGACCCTTCTAAAATTTCATATGCATGAATGACTCCTAAATATGTTCATTTGGCACTTAGCTCAGCTTAGATTAGATTGATGTCCAACATTACATCTCAAACTGCCAATATCTTTTTCTTTTCTGTTTTCTTAAATTTTGTGTTTTTTTTGTTCATATTTTTTGTGTTTATGTTTTACTTTTAAATTGTGTTGTAAACCAAAAACTGAAAAAAAAAAATTTTATATTCTTCGTACATGAAATCAAAGGTATGTAACCATTTGATTTTAGTTAGTGAATAAGTTTTTAAAGTTCCATTAACTCTTCTTTTTAGGATAATGAGCATGACTACTCTGAATCTAAAATAGGCGTGTTTTAGAATCATGAGAATTGTTTAATACTATATGATTTGAATGTTAAATAGTATAATTGTTTGGAAAATCAAAACGAACATGACATGGTTGTGTAGAACTTTAGAGGGTCTCCATCTTTAATTGTTTTCATGGCACAGTCGAGGGAATCCTTTTATGGGTATTTGTCCCGAGGGTTGGCTTACATGGTCTGCATTTGAGTTTTAATGAAATCAAGCAGTATGCTAACTCCAGCAGAGAACAATATCGAAATAGTACTTGCTCCTACCCAAGGGAACAACAACCCAACTCATTCATCAAGTATTATTATCTCTAAAATGTAGATGGATTAGTTAAAAGTCAAGACACACAACACTAGTCTAATCAAGAAATATGTAAGACTCCCAAGCGTAGTTCTGAATGATCAGCAACCTACGGAGGACATATGTGTGGTTGTATCCAAGAGCGTTCAAATATTCAGCAGTATGATTGTAAGATGCAAGCAATCCACAGTTCAAAAAATCAAATAATAAAATTAATATGTACCTGTTTAGATATTTACATGAATAAAGAGTAGTTGTAATTATATACAGTTGAGTTTTATTTATATAAGAGCTTTACAATTAAAATATCTGATCAACGGTTGAGTTTTAGCCACCAAAGCATTATAAATGTTCACATGTTGATCTTTCATTTTATTATTTGTCTCAAACTATTTATGATCATGGATCGGTGTACCTGTCCCGTTAACTTCATACGAAACCCATCTTGTATACCAATGGAAAACAAAACACATATATGTGTTTTTTTATAAATAAAACACATATTTGTTGCACCAAAAGTAGCAAAGAAGTTGTGAAAAAAAAAAAAAAAAAAAGTAGCAAAGAAGTATGTACATACTTTGTCCAAAAACAAAAAAAGTACGTACATACAACCGGCTCTGATCGATTGGCGATTTCCGTAATAAGGTTGAATGATTTTATAGTTTTAATTTGTTCTATAACCATATCCTAATTTTATAGAATAAAAATTAACAATCATTTATTTCATCATATTTTATTTTATTAAATCTCTTTTTTTTTTAATTAGTCTCCACCATCTTACAATTTAATTATCTAACCATTTTTTTTCACTATACTAATGGGAACATATACAAATATATGGTAGGTAGATCCTATGAATTTCAAATAGACTAATTAAATTACAACCTCTTAACATAAGATTGATCACACTTGGTTAGGTTCAAGTAACGGTAGTCAAGTAGAACCATTTCAAAGAAAAACAAAATAATTCATTACGCTAGATTCAACTCAACTAAACATTCTGATAGAAAACAAATTTAATTGACTAAAGAGTCTTTCGAAATCAAACTAAAACCAGTGCCTAAATGCCTCTTGCTCATCATCTCTTCGTACTTCCCGGCCAATGAGTCAAAGAGAATCCCAGCGCCAACTCCAACCGCCAGATCGATCGTGTAATGTCCTCTTGTACCGAGCAGCCTGATCGACTGTAATACATTGAGGATGTCAAAGACCATTGCAAGTCTCAACCTCTGCATTCTTCTCATGTCCAACGATGCGATCATCGAGCCGGCAACATGGCCAGAGAAGAAGAGGAAGAAAGAGACGTTTCCTACCGGAAAATCAACTCCTGATCCTAGAAAATCCTGTAAAAGAGTATTGTAATTTCCGGGATGTAAATTATCTTGATCACGAACTAGAGATAATTAACCTTAGATATCACTACATGTTAATAGTATAAGAAGACGACACATAAATCCATGTATCGATGCTACATCACGAGAAAGAAACTAAACTAGATGAGTCACTAGAACCGTAGAATGTATATATATGAGTGAGTCTGATATTTATGTCCAGTCAATCAAATCGTGGAATTATTTTGAGGAAAATAGTGATGGCTAGAAATTGGAAAAACAATCATTAAGATGATGATAATTAACCTAAACCCGGTAAACTTAAAAGCGTTAGACACAATCTATCACTCCCGACAAAAAAAAATACAATCTATCACTCCTTTCATTTCACAATAATTATTGCTGTTTTTGACGAAATTTGTTTCTTTTAAATTTTGAGACTCTCATAAACTGTTTAACGGTAGTGGCCAAGGGAAATCACACGTCCACAATGTTCAAATTCTGATATGGATCAACCAATAAATTGGACGTTACATCTATATATGTACCCTGCAGGTAGATCATCACTATAATATTAAAAAAAAAAAAAAATACAAAGTTACTTTATAATATTGTTTGTTTTATGCTTGAAGAGGGAGAGATATGTGGATTGGAACCTGAGGGAGAGGAAGCTGAGTAGAGTAACCGAGAATGCCGCGACACGTGAACATGAATAAAGCCGAGATGGTGGCTCTTGCTCGTCCTTCCACTAACCATGTCCATACAATATACGTTGTTTGCATCCCTACGAACACCTGTCCCCACCCATTTATTTTAGTTAAAAAGTACAAAACTCAGATTTAAGTAACCAATCTCTGTCTTGCATGTGATACTGTCTCCAACTCATTCTTCACCATGTGTCATTTTTAAAGTTAAAAGCGATCTATATTAATTAATAGTATATTGTTAAAAAGAAGATTACATAACTAAACAAAGAGATTACATTAACTAAATTTTTATCCACTAACTAACTCGATTAAGACCATTTTATCCACTAATTGGTCTTAATCTACTATGACCATTCTAGGATTAATCTTTTGCCAATTTTCTCACTATAGTTAGGATTTTGTTACCTTGACAGCAAAATTCCAGCTGGAGAATTAAATAACACGGGAAAATAATCTGAGGTTTGTTTCCATCTCTACCCCACTTTTATTTATTTTATTTGACTTATTTAATTAAATTATTAGGATTTATAAATGACAAAAGGAAAAAATCAAAATATTAGGTAAAGGAGGCAATAGGAATTTGAAGATAAGGATTAAATTAACTCACACGACATACCGTGTTTAGTGCGGCTAAAACAGTGTTAAGATCCGGTGAAGATGCTAAGACGCGATTCAAAGAGCGCGTGGCCACAAATCCAAGATCGAACGGCTCAGATCTCGCGGGAATCATCTGAAGCGTGTACTCCACGCCCATGAAGAACAAAAGTCCGGCCGCGAACATGCACGGTATCCAATGGTATCTCGCCACGTACACGACGTCACGCGCCGTCCACGTCATGAACGACGCTTTGCTTCTCCATCCTCCTCCTCCGACACCGTTGGCGTAGCCGTTGTCAGTTTTCTTAGCAGTGATCTCCATTTGAGTGTTTGTATCTCCGATGCGACGATTGTTGTTGTCTAGGGTTCCGTCAATGGCGACGCCGTTAGTGTGGTTTCCGTTAAGAGAGTTAGATCTGCGACGGAGTGAGACGTCGGTTTCAGTTGCGGCGGCTGTCATGGCCGTTAGAGTTAACGGAGAGGGACATTTTCGGAGTTTAGGGAGATGTGTTATATAAGAGATACAAGGCGGAGACTTCGAGGGAAAATTGTTTGGGTTAGAAAATTCATATGAAAACGATGAATAATATGAGTTTTGAGAGCGACATTTAATTTATTGTTATGGTTAAGTCTTGTTTTCTTTTCTCTCTTTGGTGGGCTTTGCTTTTGTGTACCGACATGTTGTTCTTTTTATATGTTAAGTATGATATTTTTCGACGACATAAAGGGAGAGAGAAGTATGAGATTCTCTAAACTATATAGTAACTTGTTTATCACATAAAATGCGTTATTCATGTATGTATTAAATCCTGATTCAAGATTATGGAGCATATCAAAACGATTTGGTGCTTCGGTGAATGCAACTAATTTATTGCTTTGATGGTTCCCATTGGCCAAATCTTCTTTCACACTTTTTTAGATAACTATTGCATTACCCTTAGTGATTTGAGGCTTTTGAGCTATATTGTTGTTGTATCATGGATTCATGGTCTAGGCCAGGGATCGATCCTCCCCAGACGCAGTTTCGCTCTCTCACTCCTGTGGCCACCTGTGAATTTACATGCGGACTTGCTCAGGCGCCCCAGACCACCAGTTTATCAGGGGCCCTTAAGTGGAGACTTAAAAATCCCTGTGACGTGGGCTTAGGCCCAGTGGGCTAGTCAGATCACTGTGTGGTCTGGATACTGGGTTATCAAAAAAAAACTATTGCATTACCCTTAGTGATTTGAGGCTTTTGAGCTATATTGTTGTTGTATCATGGATTCATTTTTAAAGGAGATTGAGATTATAGATTATAGATTAACGCATACAGTACTTAGATATTTCATAAATCGTGATAAAAAAAAATTAGAATAGAATGGTGATTCATTTAAAATGACTAAAAGAATGGTGTGGAGGTCCAAAATACATCATACCCGGTGGATTTTTTTATGGTGATTCATTTACTGTAACAGTGTACTAATATACCGATACTTACGAAGTTCTCGTACGATGTGTCGAGTAAGAAAACAACTATCTTGTCATCCAAAGCAACAGAAGCATTGGGGTGTAGTGGACAATATGAAAACAAAAACAGGAAGAAACAAAATGATGGATCAATACATACCAATTACCAAGAAATAAGAATGAAACAAAATTTCTTTTTAGTAGACATTTAAGAGATTATATAGAAATAAATCTGAATTGTAGTTGTACCAAAGCATGTAAATTTTCTTTGGTTTGAATTTCTTGCATGCTAACATATATGTTGAGATTTTAAATATATCTTGAACCATTCAAGAAGTGGTGATTTTGTTAGTTTTTCACCTAATTGGACGTATCTGTCTAATCGTCACCCAATTAGACGTGTTTGTCTACTAGTCGAGGCTATGATTTGGGACATCGTTGATGTTTAATTCACCTTTTCTCAACTTTTATTTAAAAAATCGACGTGCAAATAGATCTTACGATGATGATATATATTTTTACTTTACAAATATCCACAGCCACAACCATCAATTTCCAATTTCCCCCTTTCTCATACTTAAAAATAAAAATAAAAAATAAAAAACTTATTACACGTATTGGGTAGTAGTTAGATACTTAGACCTCTTTTACAAAGTTACAATAATTTTAAACTGGCCGTGTGGATAATAAAACATTTGTCGACACAAAAATACATCAAAATGTTGATATACCAATATAGAAAACTTCAGATGATCTTCCTAGCTATTTATTTTTCTTGCAACTTGGATATAAAAGCGGCGTGTAAACAGATCTTAAATTAATAGTTTAGAATAAAGTCTAATAAAACAGATTAAACTAGTAACATTTTCATGTGACTTTTGTATTTTTAGCCAATAGGAAACAACAATAATATATGACTTTTAAGAAGGAGACTAAAAGATATTAATTCGCTACATACGCGTCAAGCGTGTGTATGTATACATCAACCATATATAAATAGAGAGGCAAAGGAAGGAAGAGAAGAGTGTCCATATCATAGATTAAAAATCATTCGTTAAGTAAACCACAAAATCTAACTTCCACACACAAAACACACATACAAAGAAAATAAAAAGAAAAAATGGAATTAGTTGAAGAGACCATTCCAAAAGAAGGGAAAAAGATGGGAGAAAGAATTGTGGTGGACAAAGCTTATCTCTACCAAGAAGACAAACCACTCACCGTCTGCAAGACTTCTCTCTTCTACACCGGCGATGGTTTCGCCGCCTATGATTGCCACGGTGATATCATCTTCAGGGTTGATTCTTATGGACCTGACACAAGAGATAACGATGAGATTGTCCTCATGGACGCTACCGGAAAGTGTCTCCTTACCGTTAAACGAAAGGTAAACTTAATTACTCTCTTTTTTCTTCTTCTTGTAATTGAGTTGAGACGAGTAAGAGTCTAGTCGTGAAGGTGACTCGGTGATTAGAAATAAAGTTTGATACTTAACTTGTTGTGCTGAATTTGATTTGATGGGTTTGGTTACAAAAATAAATTTAATTGGTTTGCATCCATAATTCAAGAATCTTGATAACCTTTTTTTTTGTCAAGAAAATCTTCGAAATTTTTTGTATTGATAAAAAAAAAATAGACTTGGCTAGAATTCGATGAAGATTATTGTTACAAACGAGATCTGAAGAAATTGTTTTGAGCTGAAAATTCTAATCAACATATTTTTAATAAGCCTAGTTCCGAGTCATCGACTCAGTTGCTAACACAATTATAGTGTTCTTTATTGTTATTCAGTTATAATAAACAATAAATACTATATATTAATGATGATACTGAGTCAACTCGCTGTTTCTGTTTTTGATGAACAGAGACCAACTCTACACCAAAGATGGGAAGGTTTTCTCGGAGAGAGATCGGAAGGTCAGAAACCAATCTTCAGCGTTCGGAGATCTTCGATAATCGGACGGTGTACGATGGAAGTAGAAGTTTACGACGGAACAGGAGAAGAGTACATTATTGATGGAGACTTCTCGCAACGAAGCTGTCTCATATACGACACGGAGAAACGTACTGTGGCTGAGATCAAACGCAAAGTAGACGCGTCAACGAACGTGATGCTTGGTCGAGATGTGTTCACTCTAGAGATTAAACCGGGTTTTGATGGCGCTTTCGCTATGGGTTTGGTCGTTGTGCTTGACCAGATCAACGGTGATGATCCAGTTGAGATCGGTGATGAACAGGTACACCCTTTTGTAGAGGATTAATCTCCCACCTCTCACAATGGTCTTCACGTTAACATATCGAATCTAATCTTTAGTTTTTCAATCTTTGGATTTGGACCATATGATTATGGGAGTCTGTTTTTATCATTCTGTGTTAAATCATTTAAGTTGCTACGTTACATAATGTTCTAGTCTCTGTCTCGGGAAATTTGTTGAGTATTATATGTTGATGTTACAAAATTAGTTGTGTGTTCTAAATTTGTGTACACACGCTATTAGAAAATATCGTAAAATTATGAAGATCCAAAATCATAACAGTTGACCAGTTTAAATGTGTTAACGTTAATCAAATTAGATTAATAAATTTCAATTTCTTGGTGTTAGTTGCAAAATGTTTCTATCGAAGTACTATACTAACTTTTTTTAATATATAGGAGAGATGTAACGTGTATTGTACGTACACATGTTTAATGGCAAGTGGAAATTTAATCTCATGATAATTTTATATGCGGTGTTAGTTGACACAAGATCAGAGAGTGCGTAGGAATATTAATACATAAATAGAAGGTGGTCGAATAAGATTTGTTAGAAAACTATATAGGCATCTAATAAAGAGAGAAGATATATCTTGACTAATACACTCTATAGATTTGATTCGTTAGCGTAATCAAAATTCTCATGCTACGATACACAATTGATAGCGATACAAAATTCACCATGGACAAAACAAATAAAATAGTTTTATTGGAAGAACAAATACTTGATCAAAATCTAGTGTATGATTGAAAGTAGTTGTGTAAATATTTTGTAGTATTCACAACATTTATTTTCATCTAATTAAGTTGTGATTGAGTCCCTACCAAAACCAACATATATAGCCTTGTATATCACTTTTTCTTTAACAGTTTTTGACTTGGGGTGAAATAGTTAGAGAAGAATGTAGAAAACTCTCAAATCACTAGAACAATATTGTTCCAATGAGCACATAACATAAAGTAAGAAATTCTTATATTAACACTTTAAAGTTAGAAGTGACTAATCATAAACAAATCAAGAATTACAGGGTTAACTTGATAATATCCATATAAACCAAAGGGTCAATTAAAAAATCACAAATCTCACAACTCACAAGTGTAACAAACGGTGAAGAAGAAAAAGGAACGTGAAAACAGAAGCCGAAACAAGAGACGGCCTAAAACGACACCGTGTGGCAGAAGAAGACTTGTGTCCGGTGAAGCCAATGTCGTAGGCAATAGTACCGTCGGGTTTAAAAAGGCCAAAGTTTCTCTCGGAAGTTGGACCTGGTTTCGAATTCTCGTTGAAGAGAGCAAACACGTAAGCTCTCACCACCATGTCTGGTCTATACGGTGTTCCTTTCCTCTTCTGCAGCCGCTTCCTAAGATTCCGATTATATGTTCTCGCGTTCTTCAATGACGCTCCCGGTTCGTCTGCATCACCTTTCGATGCCCATCCCGTCTCCGAAACAATCACCTACGTACAATTAAAATGATTAAATCAGGTTCGCATGTCGCTCTAATATCCGTGTACGACAAGACATGTAGTTTAGTGCATGTTACCGATAGAAAAAATAAAAAATGCATGTTACTCATATAATGAGTCAGATACTCAGATTATTCAGTTGAACTCATAAAATGCATGTTTTTGACGAAAAACAAAGTCTTTAGTTTAGTGTTGACATATTTACATTTGTACGTTGCAAATCTTGTAAGAAAATGGAAATGTTGATTTAAACCAAAAAAAAAAAAGTTCATAGTAGCAAGAAGGACGTACCGGGACTTTTGTGTAGCCAGCTTTTTCGAGAGCAAAATAAGAAGCATCGACCATAGCGTCGAACATGTTATCGTAATGAAGCTTGGTTTTGGGGTCCAAGATGCCTTTGTTGCGCTCGAAAAGGGCGTAATTGATGTCAATTGTGATCGGGTCAGATTTATATGCTAGAAAAGGGTAGGCGTTAATGTAGAACGCCGACCCAATTTGCCCAAAAAACGCTAACAACGGCTTCATGAACGGCGCCACATCGTCCCTGAACGTACACGACGACGGTGGATACGAGTTCGCAAACACTGCCTCCGAATGTGGACTTGACACCTATAAATTCATAATAATATTGACAATTTTTGACCACCATCTAAATTCTAAGTTTGATGTTCTAAAAATAAAATATTAAAGAAATGTTCTTTTGATAATTTCAACAAGAACCCCAAATTGATGCATGCGTACTAATTTATCTAAATATCGGATTATGACATGGTGACATCATTAATACAAACTACTATATTACTAGCTTTGGTCTCTAATTGAATCATTTTGGGTTATCGAAAAAGATTGATCATTTTGTCAGAAAAACATTCTCAACTTTGTCACTAACCCAGTAAAAATGTATTTTGAGATTTAACGTTGATTAAATGTGAGTTTTATAAAAGATTTGAGGATTATTTTCGGTTACGGTCAAATTGAAGACTATTTAATAAACAAAATAAGCACATTCGAGATTAAGATGATGATTTTAGCGACATGTTTGGTTAAGTACAAAAGATTAAGGTAATGTACCTCGACGACATTGTGAAGACCAAGACGGCGAAGAGCCGAGTAAACGTTCTTAGCGGCTGGTAAGAGAGCTTCCCAAAGCCCGATATCGGTGCCACCTAAAATCTCGTTCCCCACCGCGATACCGCTAATTTTAGTACCGCCTCGTATGAAAGGCTCGACGTTTTCCTTAATCCAGTTCATGGCTCGGTCTTCTCCTACGCTAATGTCCTTAAGAAACTCATTGCCTAAGCCAACGATGATTTCAATCCCGGTCCCGCGGAACGCCAAGAGTACGGAGTGGTCAGCGTCGTAGATACGGGTGTTTCTAATCTTTGCTGATTTAAGGAGAGTTGCTACCGCGTCAGGAGACGGAAGATTGTCCGCTATGCGACCGTAGTTTACACCGTATGTTCCGATGAATGCTACGGCCGTTTGTGAAGAGAGGACAGAGAAGACGAAGAGAAACGAGAGGAAGAAAGAAGAGAAACCCATATGTGAAGTTGGAGACTTTCCAAGAGGAGGAACACAATAACCCATTTGAGAGACTGTCTCAAATGATGTTTTTGAAAACAGAGCAGAGTTTTTCCTTTTTTGGTCCTAAAATGGGAAGAAGAAGAGTTTATACAATGAAGTTGTTCCTTAATAGGAAGATTCTAAACCCTTGTCACTGGGACCAGGCAAAAGGAAGGAATCAAGGGAAATTGTTGAGGCAATATTAAAAAGATTCTTCTGAAACTGAATCAAGGAAATAAGAAAACTAAATTGTATGTCTTTCTTTGCATGAGATTCTTACTTTACCCTCGAAGCAAAACTTTTACCTTTTTGCTCTTGAATCTTCTTCTGCTTTCTTCCATTTGTTTATTTGGGGTTTCCTATTTGTGGCGTTCATATGAAGATTGGATCAAAATATAAAGTAAGTTTAGCAGATCAGTATATTAGCTGATCATTAATCTGACTTGTTTGTAACTTAGATTATCCATCCATACGAAAAAGGAAAAAGAAACCAAAGTGGTTGCAATGGTTTTACAGAAGAGTCAATAATATCCTCTACATAATCTTTAACCTAACAGAACTTGCACATATTACTCATCATACATATCTCTGGGACTCTGCCTAACAACATCTTTCACCGTGATAATGCTCCGATTCGTTAAAAAAAAAAGAAAGCAAGAAGGAAAACATACTTCAATATATATTGATAGAAACAACTGACTTACAGTTTCGCGAGCTAACAGAAGCAGAGCAGGGCTATTCGGTAGCTTCTGCTTCTGCGGTTTTCTCTTTCCCCTCAGCTTCTGTTGTCAGACCATTTTCCTCATGGTTTCTGGTCTCAGCTTCAGAATTCTTCTGCTCATCACTAGCTTCAACAGTCTTTTTCTCTGTATCTACCGAGTTCTTTTCAATTGAGCCAATCTCTTTTTCTTTGTCAGTCTGAGACTCCACTCTCTCCTTACTACTATCTTCAACTGAATCCGAGGCTTTCTCCTTCACCGACTCACGGTCACCCGCTTCTTGAACTGGAGTCGCACTTGGAGTTTCCTTTGCAACCATGTTGTCTTTTGCATCATTCACCTTCCCAGTTTCACCAGAGCCATTCTCATTATCGACGTTTCCCTCTGGAGGATTCATTTCAGTATCTTTCACATGAGAGTTTTCCTCTGCTCCCTCTGATTTCTCACCTTCTGCATCTTTCTTTGACCCTGAAGATTTGGTTCTACCTCGCTTCTTGGGTGGCTCTTTATCTGGTGACGGCGTAGCCTTAGTCTTCTCGCTGATTCTTGCAGATCTCCTAGGTGTCCCACTAGTCGTCCAATCAAACTCAGCTATCGCGGGGTTTCCAGGGTGCGATTTGAGATACTGCTCCAGCTGCTTTCTGTTACTGATCTCCTCACCCGTTGGAGCAACAAACACAATCTCTGTTTTCTTCACTGAACCCACTTTGTTCGGGTAAAACTGCAAAACAAGTCACTTTGACTTAAATGCTAACCTCTAAAAATGTGAAAAATCGAAGGTTCAAAACGCTTAAAGACGACCTTAATGTAGCTTAAACAAGGTTTACAAGTGGCTTAACATCTATAAGAATCAGTAAAAGTAAGAAGTAGATCAAACAAAATCAAAATGAGCCATTTTTAAGTCTATAACCTTTAAATCACCTAAATCTGTATCAAATAATTTTCACCTATACTTAAAAATTCGCCACCAAAAGCTACCATATTCAGAGTCTTGAAAGACAAAGAAGACAAATATTTGGTAATTGCAGCACTACACAGATACATACAACAAATTCTAAGGCTTTTATCTTCATTGATTAGCCAAAATTACGAGAGGAAACAAAGAAAACAAACCAATTTCTTCCATGAAGAAGGTGCTGGTAGCTCAACAGATACAACTTCATCTTCACCACCCATTTCTCTCCCTTTCCTTTAGCAACCCCTGAAAACAGATTAAAAAGATCACAAAATGCCAACGAAACAAAAACAAAAGATTAACAATTTACACGAATGAAGTAACAGACAACCTAGGGTTTGACTGTCGGAAAAGGAAAAAGACTCACGGAGAGAAAACTTTAGGGATTTTGTTTTCCTCTGCTCTTCTTCTCTTTGTTAACTCTATATGGTTTTAGACTTTTTTCTACTACCAGAAACAGAGAGAGAGTACATGATAAAGTCACTTGGTCGTAACACAACATCTTAACTAACAAACCAATAAAGTTTAAGCACGTGTCTACATCCAAAACTGGTATAAAATGCGCTCTATCATCTCTATTCTATGGTAACGACACGTTAAAGCCCTTGATCAAAAGGTGTTTAGTCGACTCAGATGTTCGCATTTAATGCAGATTTAGACTTACTTGGTGCTCATGCAATACACGTGCCAATTACTTAACGACTTTTCTCTATTTCGGGAAAAATAAACTCTAATGGAGTATTGCTTTCGAGTCCGGTAAAACGGATACAAGGCCCATAAATATCCATCTTTGATGGCCCATTTAAGCAGAAATTGATATTGATGCAAGATGACTATATCACTAGCATTAACAAAGATAACACGATCTTATGATGTATTATTGTATCCTATAATCATCTGAATTAAGTCATGTACAAGGAAGATGCTTACTTGGTGAATTTTCTACAGGTATGTCATCTCTCTGGACATATGTAATGTATATATATATAGAGAGATAGTAGATGATCACCATTCACCAAAGCCTCTTCATATATGGAAACTATTTGAAACGTGAACTCTTCTTGCCTTTGCCTTTACCTCTCCCATCTGTCACTGTAACCCAGAAGAAGAGAAACATCCAAAAAAACACTGCGAGGAAGATCTTTACGCGGTCTTGAATCCTTGTTACAGCTCCCACAAGACCTATCCACACAGAAAACAAAAGCAAAAGTGTTCATTTTCACTTAGTAGTATAAGTGCAGAGTTTTCTATTTCCAGCCTATTCTTCTATGTTCTAAATGAATCATCACCAAAGTCCAAAGTTATTAACATATGGACTAACTGCAGAACCAGTAAACATACAACTCCGGCACAATTTCACATCTCAAGAGAAAATCTAACAGATATCCACATGAAATGGCTGCCTTTTTGGCTCATAAGGAGCAGATTTTGCAATCATATATAATTGCCTTAATCAAAATCATGTCACAGGATTTTGAACTTTAGTCCCATGGACACAATTAGTTGGATAAAATCATCCTCCTCTTTCATGATACAATAATGATTACAGCACGAGCTAATACCAAGTATTAATCTCAATGACTCTATAGTTACATCAAACTATCCGATAAAAATTGAATCTTTCGACCCAAAAAAACACCACTTTAAGTGAAAAGCAGGTACAACAAAGACCAACCAAACAAAGTAGGATTCAAACGAAGCATCACAAAATATCAATCTGGGCAAGAAGAATCGAACCTGCAAGCTGAGTGGTGTCCTCAGGCGGAGGCGGATCAGGGCCTGGAGGAGAAGGAGGACCACCAGCAACTGCGAGGCGGCGTAAACGGCAAGGACTAGCGAGTAGGACGATGCTTCGACGGTGAAGGTGATACGGCGATGAGAACGGCGAGAGAATTGAGTAGTGGTTGAGGTTAGAGCTTGTGGTTGTGTTGGACAAAGCCATCGCCATTTTTTCCCTCGCCGATAAAATTAAGAACTCATTTTTATTTAGGGGTTTTTGATTCAGAAATACACACGTGTACGACACTTGAGAAAGAAAGAAAACATTTTTGTGGAAAATACTCCAATCAATAAAAAATTTGTTGGTGGTATAATATATCTCTCTCGTTACAAATTCGCCAATTTTATAGACAGAATCTGAATTGTGTTAAAGTAAAACAAAAGAAAGTTTTTTTCTCCAACATAAATGTGAATATATGCAAAGAAGAGATCTTTCAGCCGTACAGACCCTCTTCTTCCCAAACTTCAACAAGAAACTGCACCATTTCCTGCAATGATAAATTCTCAATAACAAAACAATTTTGGTTAAGAATATGGATAGTTACTTCCTCCAGTTCATGGAGTTTGAACTTACATCAAGAGGTATTGGCCTCGGAAACCGCTTGTTGCTCCCAAGTAGACTCTCATAAGTCACATTCTCACTGCAAAAACAACCAAACTGTTTAAATCCCACACAACAGATTGAATCTTGGAGCCGTTAAGTCTCATAGAATCCTCACTTTATAACCGGTTCTCGAACAATTTTTTCGCGGCTCTCAGATCTTTTATCCCCCACCCATTGCTGCCGAGTTTGATTCCATAGCAGAAGACCTGTAACACCCCAAAATTCTCCAATTCTTTTTCAAATGCTCAATCAGACAGACAATCACCAATCATACTCTTCACTCACTGACTCACTCACCATGGTTAACAAATTCAGTAGGTTCATTAGAGCTGGAACCACATCCTTGAGAATCAACAGTCAGATTCGTTGTACTGATTGAAGAAACACTTCCCTGAGCATTGCTTTCCATATCTAAAGTGGTATTAGTCCAGAAATCTTCAGAAGCTACACTAGGATTCCTCAATTCACTCCAATCTTCTTCTACTAACACATCTTTTGAGCCATTCAAAGGCACATCTACATCTACACTTGTTGTTGCTTTCGACTTATCAAAACAAGCCAAACAACTACTGCTGTGTTACAAAATCGTAAAAACATATCATTGATTTTGTGTAATAGCTAAACCAAATCATCATCCAAACATAACATCAAGCTAATTCCTTCTATAAGAGAGTTCATTTCAAAGCTCAAATCTTTATGAATACCCAAAGCTAATAACTTTCGAATTCCAATGGCCCAGATGAAAAAAAGATAATATTTTTCGCCACAAAATCAAAACCCCTATAAAACGAGTTAATTGACTTACCCCATCGTGGAAAAAACAGAGCCTTTCTTAGATCATCAAACGAAGAATCGAGCACCACCCAACAAAACTTATCAATCTTCGAGTGAAATCAATCGATTGGGTACAAAGCAAAGACCCAGTCGGAAGAAGAAGAAGAAAGTGAAAGGAAAAGACGATTTCTTTTTCTCTTTTTCTGGGGTTTGCGTGTATCTGGAAGTTTCGGATACTTCATTTCGAAGAAACTTGGAAGAGGAAGTGACCGACCCCACGTATAGCCCCAAAACGACGACGAGCCATGTGTAGAGAGTCTAGTGGTCGTGTGGAGTTATTAAGGCTTTGGACCCTACACTTACCTTATCCACTTTTGACTGCTTTGGCTCCTTCCGCTTGCTCGGTTTTTAGATCGTTCCTCGTTTGCTATAATTGAAGATAATTATGGATTGGTATGGTTGCGACGGTTGGAACAGACAAATCCATTTATGGATTAGACCATTTTCTATTTATCATTTATAAATTATAGTTTGTAGATTGTAGTAGTATAAATAAAATAAAATAAAAATTCTTCACAGAATAAATATAGATCGCGTTACATAAACTTAAACTTAGTCTGCCGTAGATTATTACAGTTCGTTCTAAAAATTAAAAATCTAATCCGATAATGATTTAGTCCATTTTATCCTTTATATCCCTTCAAAGCTTATGTATATTTGTTCTTATATGTTAATTTCTTTCTTAGAAAGAATACCAATCGGAGGTCAAAGCCTAAAACTAACGGTTGACTTAAGGTGATACAGATTATATTGATCTTGTAGATTCTAATTTTAGTAATTTGTGATGTTGTATACAATGTTACATGTTACATGTTACATGCTAATGTATTTTCTTTTATATTGGAGAATCTTATACAGTACCAATATACATTGGCCTAGAAACAAACCTATCCACTAAAACTCTAAATTCTTTTCTTGTAAATAAAATCACAATAAGATTGGCAAAAAAAAAAAATCACAATAAAGTTTGAAAATTTCAAGCGGTATGGTGATAAAAGTTAGGTGGTCATTTATATTATAATTAAAATCTTATGAGACGTAAGCCATAAGCAAATTATAACCCTTTTAAAGAAATGTTAGGAAAAGATATAACTCATTCAAAACCAAAAATTGAAATAATTAATTACGTACAATTAGGACCGTTGGTTTATTCTGTTCACATTGGAAAGTTTTGGTTTTCTCCCATCCACCAAGCGGCACTTGTTTTGGAGATGATTGTGATTAGATTTGGATCATATAAAGTTTGGCTTAGAGATCATTGTTAATACACATCTAAATTTGTGTAACTTATTAAGATAACCGTTAATATGTGCAATTGGAACATATTCCGATTTTTTTTAATATTCTTCTTTGAATTTGTAATATATGTATATAAATAGGAGAGGGAGTTTGTTTTTTTACTTTTAAAAAATATTTTTAAACATCTTTAATGAAGAATGACCTCGAGCTTTACCTTTAAATTTTAATATACATCAAAATTGTGTAAGTTGTGTTGAGTTTAAAATTATAGCTTTAGTAAAGAAGAAAAGATTCATATCTTCATCATTTTGTGGTCAATACATATATCTTATTTTAAAAATTAAGGCGCCTCTACTTCTTCAAACTTGGTTGAATGGAAAATCTTTGATTGGCGTATTAAACTCGTGATCCAGAGCCGTGACATATGCTCTTTGTGTTGGCTTTATCTATCCTAAAAGAAAGCTCTAGGATATGGTTCATTATGTTTTATTGATTCTTATGGAAGGTTTGTTTTTGGAGTCAAAATATCCAAAATTTCTATAGCAATACCAAAACCTGATTTTTGTTCGGTTCTTCTGTGTCCAATTTCTGTTATGCTAAAGAATTTTAAATCTTTTATTTTCTACTAGGCGTGATCATTGATTTCAACACAAATCAATATAAATTCTATAGATACCCCAACAAAAAAAGTTTATATGTCCAATAGGCACATTTTTACAAAATTATATTCTTTTATTTGCCTTTTCAAATTTCTAATGACTACACATGTCAATTATTTACATCGTCACTTGATTTATTATTTTTTTTGGACAAACACATCGTCACTGATTTAAAACAAGTAGATAGAGCATAAGAAAACCACCTACTACTATGAGACACAAAAAAAAAGGAGAGAAAGAAGACCACCAACTGTTGACAGAAAAAAAAAATGACCACCAACTACAATTTCTGAATTTTTCAAGAAAAAGTCTAAAATATTACCGGAAAACAAAAGGAAAAATTTACAAACCTAAATCTATTGACTTCTTATTAATCAAGAAGAAATAGTCAATAAGAACATTGAACTCTGTGATCTCGGTCTCTGAGAATCCCATTGTACAGAGCCATCCGGTTCGCTGGCATGGTAGAGATTCTACACATAGAACCGGTCTTCCCCGGTTTAGTCACTGGCTCCGGTACGCTTCTCCGGTTCAATTCCCTCCTCCGGTATTCTTTCCCGTTCCCTTCCGTGTCTTTCACATTATCCGCGAACCGCACTTTCTTTATCCTCTTCCTCTGTTTCCTCGTTTTCTCTGCATCCCAAGAAAAAAAAAACTTACTTTCCCGGGAAATCCTATCAAAAACATTCGAGGCACAGAGAAAAATATCGTACCTGAAGATAAACAAGAACGGAGAATGGGTCGTGGAGTCTGATCAAGAACCTTAGAGGTTTGATGGTTTCCATGGAATTGACGAGCCATGGCGAGAAACAGAGCGGTGCTTGAGCAAACCATGGCGGTTGCGATCACGACGGTACCATTAGAACAGCTCAACATTGAAGATACGTGCGTGAAGTTTCTTTACCGACGAGTTTGATGATACCAAGAAAGAAACTTCTCAAGAAAACCAACGGAACAATAAAGAAAATCGAGCTGTGATCGATGATTGGCTGTGAAGAGAGACGTGTGTGTGTGTTTTTGAAGAGACTTGTAACTTAACAACTGTTGAAATTTTTATGGTTGGAACTCTTTTCTTGACTCTCTCCTATATATATATATATTTTTTTGTCAATCAGACTCTCTCCTATATTTATATACAAATTTAATTCGATAGAGTTTTTTTTTTTCTAGTGGAAAAATATATAATTAAAGTTAGAAAAAAGAGTGCGACTTATTTTGGTGCTTCGTTACTCACATGTCCTAGTGGGACAAAGAAAACAATAATACTGTACATAGACAAAGTTTAACTAAAATAAGACTTCTCTCTTTTTTTTGGTCAATACGTAGTTTGGATTTTGTAGACCTCGTTCTAATAAAAAACTAATTGAGATTTTTAATATCTTTTTCTTGAAAAAATTCGGAATTTACGATAGTTATTCGTCGTTCTTTAAACAAAAACTAATTTCATCAAACACTCTAGTTTATTTAATTTCTCTCAAAACTCAAAAAAGCTAATGTAAAAAGTATTTTTTGCTTTTGAATATAATTTAACATTCTATTCCAAAAAAAAAAAAAAAACTAATGTCATCGTGAACATGTTCTTTGATAGAAATGTTTCGAAAGTCTATTTCAATTAAAAGATATAGGCCAAAGCCAACTGTATAATATGGTTTGGATAAAAACTTGAGAACAAAGACATAAACATTGTCACATGTATAATGTAAAATCCACCTCACTATATTGTCTATTTTATATCTCTTTTGTCTGTCTATTAACTTATAACTTATCACTTCAATGGATGTTACAAAAAAAGATGCACACGTAGTAACGAGAATTATTGGAAGAGAATGGAAGCTAGTACGAAGGTGTAAAATGATAATGGATGAATCATGTCGACGGAATTGAAAAAAATATTAACAAATTAATTAATTAGGAGACTAGTATATTATTAACTTGGATGAATGTCAACTACTGACCTATACACGTGTCATGTCTGACCTATACAAGTGTCCTGAAGATTTCGAGAACCCGAAACTTGCCAAAGTCTCTAACATTATAACCAGTGTTCAAGAAAGCGCTAGGCGCTAAGCGGTCAAAACAACTGGAGAAGAAGTCTTAACACGTACTTGGCTTCGAAATGCTTGCTACATTTGCCAAAGTCTACAACTTTTTAGTTTTTAGTGCGCAACGATTTGTCTACAATGCTATTATCTCAAACATTGTTTATACGAACGATGATTCGGTTGTTTACTTTGTTTTTGATAAACGCTCGATTACTTGTTGTTAGCCTCTTTTTTTATTATTCGCAAACTTGTTGTTAGTCAATTAATAATATTCATCATATTGTAGAATAATTTATTAACAGTCAAAATTGCTTTGGTTAGTCTATATAAAGCTTTATATTAAAAAAACAAAATCACGATAGAATTACAAATTTTATCAAATACGCCTTTACTGTATTAAATAACTACTTCTTGTTGTCAAAAAAATAAAAGAAAAATTATTTCTTATTTATACTATTTTGAAGATTTTACTCTTACCTAAATCGGCCCAATTTATATGCTACAGAATATTTTAAAAATGATTTGAAATACACTATTGGGACCTTAATTCGGAATCCACCTAGTAGCTTATGAGAATAGGGAAATAAGGAAAGTAGTTATGATTAAATATTCTAAAAAAAAAAGATTGTTTGATACTTGATATTCAGTAGTTTTGAGTTAAAAGGAAATTTCCTAAGTTAAAATAATTAACATGAATGTTTCGCTCAGCTTGTTACGAAAATTTAGCGATCTCCTTCTTTTATCATCTTATCCCTCTTCTTCTGAGAAAAATAAGAAAAGGAAATTTTCCTTTATTCAGGTTTTTGCCGTTAACTCAATTGACTCTTATTTCTCAAATCTCTATTAAATCCCTAAAACACAAGAAAATATCAAACTCATTTTTCTTCCAACAAATCAAATGGTTTTCTATGTAAACGATAACGTGGACAGCTTCATCGATGTTAAGCGGATCTACAACAACCACGACGGAGGTCTACGCAAGAACCAGAACTTGTTTTTCGATCTCCAAGTGCATTACACTCGTGCCGAAGAAGATAATGACGACGGAGAAGAAGAAGAAGAAGATCTTCCCAATTTTGACAAACTCGAAACTCTAACCGTTGAGCAAACTCACGAGTTTGATCGAGAATGGTTGTTCGGTGGAGATGGTGATCATACACTAGCCATCGTCTACTACATTCTCGATTTGCTCCAAGTCCCTTGTTATTATGCGATTGTTAGCACTCTTACTGATGAGATTAAGGATTTGAAGAAACATGATGCGAACGTGGAGAGGCTACAAGTAACGTTAGGTGTTACTGTGTCGAGGTTTCCCGGTGAGGATGATGATCACCTAGACGTGCGATTTGCGGTTGCTCCAGCGAACAATGAGGCGGTGGAGACACATTTAACGACGGTTGTTGTTCAGAATGATGGATATTGTGTGATATGTATGGATATGATCCGAGTTGGGTCGGCTGTGGAGGCGGGTCGAATGCCGTGTTTGCACGTGTTTCATCGCGATTGTGGAGAGGAATGGCTTAGGAATTGTGGGATTTGTCCGGTGTGTCGTGTCGTGTTTCCTTCTTAAACTCATGATAAAGTATGTTTTACCTAGTTCATTGCTATTTTTGTTTTAACTTTTTTTGTTAGTTCAGCTATATCTTTCACTGTGGTTTAGATCTCTTCACTACAGTCTGTATACTGATGAACTTATATGATGCATAAAACAGTAAGCTACCTCTAAAACTTTGATGTGAAACACACTATTATTGTTTGCGATGATAGTCAATAAAAAGAAAAGGATCAGATATAAGATTCATAAGTTCAAAGGTACATAACCACAACAAAAGAAGATCACAAAGCTACATTCTCTCACCACGTCATTGTACGAATATAAAACCAAGGGGTAAAAAAGTTGCATCATCACACCAACCATTAACTTATTAATTCTAAAGGTAGACACTCAAGTTTATTCAAAGCTACAACAGCAGCAAAGCAGAGAGAGGGAGAGAGAGAGATCATTACTCGACATGCGCAGTGAGATTAGGTTGTAAGGATTGGAGGCAGGTAGTCTGATTTGGTGCCGAGGATACGGGCCTTTGTGTCCGGGAAGAATTCGAATCCTGGAAGCTCGGTGATGTCGCCTTCGCTGGCTACACCAATCGGGTAGCGGAGCAAGTGACCGGGAAGGTCATGTTCGAGTGACTCACTTGAGTAAAAGTCCCAATACTTGTCAGAAATGCGGTTAACTTTCTCGATGCATTCTAAGCTTGAGGGATCGAGGAAGGTCTCATCGAGCATTCCCAGGTGTTCGTACCAGAGTGACATACGGAACCCATGGATCTGGCCACGAGCTGGTTGTCTATGGGACAAGTGATGTGGTTGATAACCTCCCATTGCTATCTCAGAGTCTCTTGCACCATCCATTGACCTCTGGTTGATGTTAGCAGACCCAATAATAATATACTCATCGTCAACTGCAAACGGGTAATCAAGTGAGTCAGGCACAAACATTTCTGTATAAGTGTTTTTCAATTGAAATGCGAACTTACCGATCATCATTTTGGTGTGGACGTAAATCATGAAGCGGCGGGCTTCTTGCGCCCTCATATAATCTGTGTCGGGGTCTGGTTTCTCAGCAGGCTCATACTCTCCATCTTTCTTGACCTCACGGTTTCCGAGACAGAAGAATGTCAGATAGTTTCTTGGATCTTCCTCAAGACCCTGGGCCCTAAGAGCCTGAATCACATCCTTGTACATCATCTCCATGGTCCTCCTCTGCCAATCTAATATAGCTTGCACTGATCCACTCTCTGGGAGACCTTCTGGCCACATTGGAACCACAACATACACCCTGAACTTCTCTCCTTTCTCGATCTTGCTAACAATCTTCAGCGATAACTCTTTTGGGATTAAGTGCAGGGCATTGATGTCCTCAGGAGTAATACCATCGGCGGCCCAAGCAAACGAACTCCCAAGGAAGTACTGGTTTTCAACGTAGATGAAATCCTTAGCCCGTCTGATTGCGTGAATGTAAGCATCTTGGATACTCCTATCAATGATGTTATCTTTCCCACTTACAAGCCCGGCTTCAGCAGCAGCTTCAGGCGACTCGGGAAACCCAGCAGCAGCTCCACCATCAATGGATCTAAACAATTGGACATTCCACACATCGTGGTCCTCTTGGAACATAACAGGAGAAGGGGTGATAATAATATCACCAAGATCTCTCAACTTAACCAGAATGTCTTTACCACCCTGCTTGCTCCATCTCTGCTCGAAATTATACATGACATCCCAGGCAATTGGACCTTCAAGACGGGAGTGGATGTCATGCCAAGGCTCCCTTGGACCACCTTTAGTGATAGTAGCACCAGTGAAGTTAGGTTGATGGAAGTCATCATGGTGGACTGTGTCCAATGTCCTGAACAAGGAGTGGAACGGAGTGTCGTATCTTCCATCACAGAGATCAATACCGCCAACAAAACTCACAATTCTCCTCATTTCTGATCCTCCTCTGTTTGGCATCTCACTGTCCACAACAACGATTTTCTGATGGTGCGTGAACATAGTAGAGATCTGCAAGCTTTGGACTATGCTACCACCGTCATCGGGGTTACGAGGGCACAAAATACAATGGACATCACTTCCCCTGAAAAAATTCTCGGTTTCTTCATCATGAGTAGCCATGAGCCCATCTTTCTTCAGCACATCAACAGAGGTTCTGTCATCCCAAACAAGCAAAAGAACCCTGACACCTTCACTAGCCTTCTTCTTGAGCAGCTCACCAATGGTCACATCTCCTCCTGGCTTCGGCCTCCTCGAGTCCCTCACTAAGGCAATCTCAGCGTAAACAGACCAACCAGTAATGTAGATCAAGTGTTTTGCGTTGCTAATGGCATCAAAAATATCCTCCCAACATCTTTGAGGCTCATAGTTCTTCCCTCCAGCGAGAGGAATTCTAGGGACAAAGTTGTCTGGAATATGAGCATCTTGGTACAGAGAAACCTTGCAGCCTTGTCTCTGCGAGAAGAATGTGTATGGAACTCCAGGGAACTTAGCACTTTTGATGCCCTTATTCCAGTTACGATCCTCCTCAACATGGAAATATTGGAGCTTGACATGAATCTTTGATCCTCCATGAATGGGGTTTCTGTCATTATCCAAGATCTCAACCCACCGATCCACTTCCTCGCCATTAATGACTTCGTCAACAGGAATGTATGCTCTTCCGATAAGGGTGGCCCCAATGGGATTATCATCTTTAACAGTGAAGATGATATCAGAAGCCAAGTGGGCACAGTAAATATGAAATGATTCATACCACTTTGGGTTCTTAGGTTCATTTTTAATCTTCCTGGTTCTCCCAACTCTAGCTTTTTGCAGATCAATCGTCGCATACAACTGTGTTTCTCCTTTGCCAACACCAATCGTCTCTTCTACATTTGCCAGAATCTGCAAGTTTCATCAGAAAACAAAGATCAAATGTGAATCTTGAATTACAACTTCAAGAAAATTATGCAGCACATTTTCATAACATATTAGTCCACAACCTAATTTGAACTACAAAATAAAACATCAGGATTGGTGCAAACCAAAAAACAAAATCACAGGAAGACATGATAGCAAAAATGATGCAAAAAACCAACAACAAAGCTATATATATATAATATACCTTGCCAAGGAAGCCTTGCCTGACTCCACCACCATGGAGGGCATCAACTTCATAGATTGTAGCATGTAAAGTCCCGTGCAACAGATGCTGCGCCATTTGTTCACCTGTTTCAACAATAACAATTGACCAGAACCACTTTTTAGTTTCCGACAAAACTAAAAAAAAAAAAACGAGATCCAGGAATCATAATAGAATCTCAAAGATCTGGTATCAAAAAGACATCAAAATTTTTAAGTAGCCAAAATTTCGCAGTATTGTCCAAAATACAACCAACACTACTTGAATACTGAAACTAAAGTCACTGATCTAACTCAGAACAACAAAAGATCAGATCAGAGTAACACTAAAGGATCATCAAATCAAAAGCCAACAAACTCATAGAAATGAAACCGATCGTTGCTTATCCAAACATGATAATTAAGAATCCTAAACCAAACAAAAAAGTCAGCGAGTTCCACTAATCTCTCAGAGCTTAAAATCAAATGAGTTCTTCTAATCGCAAAACAAGTACTAAAACATAAAAGAAGAAGGATATAAAATGGATGAAATCACAGAGATGAAGTAGAGGGTTTAGAGAAATACTAACTTCAAATTTTCCCCACAAAGTGAGATCTGATCGGAGAAACTCAATCAGTCGGTGGTCAGAGGAAGAATTCGGGATCTGGTCCGTGTGGAAGAGCTACTTTGTGGAGCTGCTGATATTTAATTGGAGCGTGTGGGGCCCCATTTTTCATTATTTTCTACATATCTTTGATGATTTAACAGTGACCCAACGTACGCATTGTTTCTAGTTTCAGCCCTAAACTTTGTTAATTTCACAATTAGGCCCTAAATAGTTACTCTCAAGAGACTCCTTTCAATTTAATTAGAACTTTATACTGTATAGCTCATGCAACTAAATAACAATATAATTGTGTTTGGATTACTTTGGATTATGTTATTCAACATCCTAATAATATAATTTTGGATGAAACTTAAATTTATGTGATAAGAGTAAAAAAAGAGAAAAGAGAAAGTTAAGCGACTAATTGGAAAATCTTGAAAAGTTTAAAGAAGGCCGACAAAAAAAATGGAAATAAATATTCAAAGTTGTAATAAAATCCCTGACTTGAGGATAGGGGGAGACAAAAAAAAAACAAAAAAAGAGAGAAAGATATCCAAATCGTGCGCCCAACGTTCTGCATCCAAATGTTACGACGTCGTTTCCCAAGCAGAATCCTCACCGTCCATCAGAAGGATACTTTATGGTCTACTTTTCTCAAGTAGTACGTGTCGGATAATGACATGAACACTAGTAATAATTTAAGTGCTTCATCATTGGATCTCACACATCTTCGTTACTTAAGATTGGGAAAGTTTTTTTTTATTTTTTTGGTAAAGAAGAATGTAATGTTGATAGATGTATAAAAATATTATCTCACAAACGGAACGTGGCCATGTGGGGATTATACAATGCATTTGTAGACATCTTAAATAGTCTCTAATGTGAATATCTATAAGTTCTTAACTCGCATCTGCAACACCCTAAATCATTATGACGCTTAAGTAAATCCAAAAGCTTCAAGATTTGTAGTCTCTGATCCAGTTTTTTATTATTTTTATTACATGGATGCGAAAACGGTAAACAGCAGCGATGTATCATTTACGGGAATCAAAGGGACGGTATATAGAAGGCAATATGGTAACACAATGGTAGGATGCAAGAGGCTTATTTTGAAGTATATCGACTTAACATCGGCTGATGGTGCCGGTCAAACTCCTCTATCTATTCCAACTAGAGACTAATCAAAACAATATAAGTGAGATTTACAGAATTTTAGATTTCAGTTTTACTATAACAAGTAAGAAAGAAAACGGTGGAATTGTCGGATTGCGGTACATCAAGAGAGAAACAAGAAATGAAAAAAAAAAAAAAAAAAAAAAAAAAAAAAAAAAAAAAAAAAAACAAGAAATGAAAGTGAATCAGTTCTATATAATTATTCGAGATCTAACTCTCTGGCTATTTCTTCTTTTTTTGCTTGGACTTGCAATAACCTTGTGGCTACAGAAGCTATATAGACCCATTTCCTTTAGTGCTTCAGCTATTAATTAGATTTGTCTTACAAAAATACACCTTAATATTAGACCCAAGAAAAAATGATCAAGAAGAGATGGTCGAAATTTAGGTGCAGCTCCTGATAATGATATTGTTATATGGGCCATAATTGGGCATAGTGGTTTAACATTCTGCTGACACATGTATTTAGGCCTGTATTTTGGAATAATCCTAATGTCTGGAGTCTGGACCGTCTGAACTCTGATTCCGAGTTTGATAAGAAAGTGAATACTTTAACTCATTTAGTTGGAAAAAAAATTAAATTTAAATAACTATATTAAAATTATTATTAGTATATACAAAAATAAAAAGCTAATATATAGAAAACCCAAAAACGAAGCCGAAACAAAAAATAATAATTAAAAACTAAACATACTTGGGTTCACTCCTAGAAGTGAACCTCTTTATTCGCCTCTTTTTTTTTAACCAATAAAATTATGACAAGTCATATTATATTTAAACAAAATAAGAAACTATAATTAAAATCAGGAAAACAAAAAAAGGAAACAAAATCTTTATATATACTAACTCAACGTTGACGTCTTATTTTGACGTTAAGTACATTTTTTAATATAATTTATTCTATACAAAGATATAGATACGGTTAGATGCATATTTTTTATAAAATTGGGTTTACTATTAGAGATGAATCTTATTATTTATCTCTTTTTTTCTAACCAATTAAAATGTTGACATCTAAGAAAAAAATTTAAATTCAATTAATTGTTTGTATAATTTAATTTGCTGCCAACGAAGTTCTATATCGGTTCGGATTTATAAAAAAGAGTTAGAATATATATTTTATAACTAAACGAAGTTAAATATTAGTTTAGATTTATAAACGGATTTAGATTTTACAACTAAACGAGTTTAAATATCGGTTTGGGTTTATAAAGAATGGTTAGGGTTTATATTTTATAATTAAACGAAGGTAAATGTCGATTTGGGTTTATATAAAAGAGGATTAGAGTTTAGATTTTGTAATTAGACGAGATTATATGTCGGTTTGGGTTTATAAAAGAGTGGTTAGGGTTTAGATTTTATAATTAAATGAATTTAATTTTTATATTAAAGAATAGATTATGATTAGTTAGAATAAGAAGAGGTGAATAAAAACCCAAAAATTGTTCATAAAATAAATTGTATTAAAAAAAAGAAATACTTAACGTCAAAATAAGACGTCAACATTGACGTTAAGTAAAATAAAGATTTTGTTTCATTTCTTTTGTTTTCCTGGTTTTAAATTTAGGGGGTGTTATTGGTTTATTAATTTGTAAATCCATATAGGATTTGGAATTCTCTATTAATTATGGAATCAAAATATATAAATTTTGAAATAACATGTGTTTATCCATAGATTTCAATCCTTCTATTTTTCACTTTCAATTCCATACAAATCCATTTAAAACATAATTTGGATTCTCAAATCCAAAAACAAATACTAAAAGAATAACATCTGATTTTAACTAGTATTTCTAAATCATAGAACCAATAATACATGATTTTTATTAGAATTTTAAAATCAATGATTGAATAACAAATGATTTTTATTTGGATTTCTAATTTCTTATAAATCCATGAACCAATAACCCCTCCTTAGTGTTTTATTTTGTTTAAATATAATATGACATGTCATATTTTTATTGGCTAAAGAAAAAGGAGGTGATTAAAAAGGTTCACCCCCAAATTTTGTTCAAGTCAAAAATAGACAGAAAAGAGAAGAAGCGAACGCAAGTTTCTTGGGATAAAATGGCTTTTTGCTCAACATTTCTTCAAACTAAAGGAATTAGTTATACGATCCGGTTCATCACTCATTAGTCACAACAAATAACCGTAACACATTGTAATATAAAATTATATAACCAAGGATTTAGAATCGGGAAAGCGTAAGCGTAAGAGTGATGAGGTACTTTATTCGCTGCCCCGTTCACACTTCTAGGTCTGCAAACCAATAAACTTTGTCATTCACTGCCCGGTTACAATTTCTAGGCCTGAAAACCAATAAACTTTGTCACTCGCTTGCATGATTACAAGTTTCTAGGTCTGAAAACCAATAAACTTTTGTCAAAAGAAGACAAATTTAGCATGATATCTTTTTGATAGGATTGAATATGCCTCACTCGGGTATCATGTAATCCATCCGTGGACCACTTCTCTCAAGTCGGATTCAAAAATGATATATACACATTTTAATACGCATTCAAAATATCAATTCAGATTATATGTACATATTAGTTTTTGTTGAGTGGACGGACTATCATATAAATCGCGGCATATACATTGTGTTTACTGTTTAATTTAAAGTTGATTCATAACCTTATCTTTTTTACTTTTGCTATATAATTGCAAATATTTCCTTGAAAATCAAACGAAACTAAGGGAAATGGAACCAAAAAACATCTTTAACAAAAAAAAAATGGAATAGATAATACTATTTCCTTGAAAAACATGAAGACACATTTTATTTTATTTTATTTAATACTATTGTAATAGAAATACAATTGGATATGACTGTTAGCATCTTATAGAAGAAAACTAAACAGAAGAATTATAATTCTTCTATTTTCTTCTAAAAGTTAACCAGTCAAATAAAAGTTAGAAGAATTGTTTTCTTCCTAATTCATCTCAAAAGTAACATAAAAATGGTTAAAGCTTCCTACTACAATTATATGGTTGAAATAATTCTTCTAAAATTTAATTTTCTTTTCTTCTCTTTTCCTCCAGCTTTTTTCTTTTCTATTCTTCTAAATTATACCAGTCAGAGCCAATGCTACGTACTTTTAGGAGAACCTTTTTATTTTTTAATTAATACAGTGCCCACTCTGACGCCTCATGGACACTGGCAATAAATATGAGATTTGATAGGTACTGTATCATTATTTTGTTAATAAATTGTACATATACGTGTTCGTATTCGTATATCCATTTTCTTCACACATTGTCTTCCACTGTCCCACAAATATCCGAAACATGGTAAAGTCCTTTAGCATCTTCTTTTCTATGTAAATATGTATCTTATATAAGTAGTATACTATAGAGTAGTATAGTAAAGCCTTAGCTTCAACAACATTTTTTCTTTTAGTTGTAAACATATTCATGATTTGACTCTTTTTCTCCAAAATATATGAAGAAGAAGACCTGGTTCTTGAATTTCTCACTGTTCATTCTCCAAATCTTCACATTTTCAAATGCATTGGATGTTACTCAATTAGGAGCGATTGGTGATGGAGTTACAGACGATTCGCAGGTAAAAGATTTGCTTTTGTAGTTGTAATTTGTTCATTATACATCCAAAAAAGTTCCTAAAATATCAAACTTTTTTCCTGGAAAATTATAAATTAAAATAAAGGCGTTCTTGAAAGCTTGGGAAGCTGTTTGTAGCGGAACAGGAGATGGGCAGCTTGTCGTTCCGGCAGGGGTGACATTTATGTTACAGCCCCTGAAGTTTCAAGGTTCTTGCAAATCGGCCCCAATTTTTGTTCAGGTACACTGTTTTTCCCCTGTTTTTTTTTTTTTTTTTTTTTTTTTTAATATTAATGACGAATAAGCTGCTTTTTCTGTTTAAGTAATGACAAATATGCTGAAGTAAGATTAGTAATTTAATTGAAGATATTAGGCAATCTGGTTGCATCGAGTAAAGGAAATTGGAAAGGAGACAAAGATCAATGGATTCTTTTTACAGACATTGAAGGACTTGTGATTGAAGGTGGCGGTGAAATTAACGGTCAGGGTTCGAGCTGGTGGGAACACAAAGGCTCCAGACCTACCGTGAGTATCACGTTAGGTGTTCTTTTTCCAAAACATTGATTCGTTTTGTTTGCACTTTTATCAAAATTAAAAACGAGATAATTTTGAGATTAGGCGTTGAAGTTCAAGAGCTGCAACAACCTTAGATTGAGTGGGTTAACGCATGTAGATAGTCCAATGGCTCACATTCACATAAACGATTGCAACTATGTGACCATCTCAAGTCTACGGATAAATGCGCCGGAATCAAGTCCTAACACTGATGGAATCGACGTAGGCTCTTCATCCAACGTTGTCATCCAGGATTGCGTCATCGGTACCGGTATGAAACTCAATTTGAAGTCTCTGGGCAAATTTGATTTTGTATTGCCTCAGTCTATGTACATTATTAAAAACAAAAGCAAGTTTTAGAACGGGTTTGGTGTATGAATGCAATCTTTACATGTCAAAATAGACGGTCCACCAAATGTCCTATCTAAATAATGTCGTTTGGAATTTACTGATTATCATCATTGATAGGTGATGATTGCATTGCGATTAATTCGGGGACGTCTAATATCCGGATTTCTGGTATAGATTGCGGACCAGGCCATGGAATAAGGTTAACCAATTAAAATTCTACTACAAAATGTTATCTATGATACATTACATAAACCATGTATAGTTGTAAAATGTATAGCATAGGAAGCTTGGGAAAAGATGGGGAGACAGCTACAGTGGAGAATGTATGTGTCCAAAACTGTAACTTTAGAGGAACTACTAATGGTGCTCGGATCAAAACCTGGCAGGTACTTTTGAATTTTCTTATTAATCTCTCATTAATTAAGTCATTTTACATTGTGTTTCTTTTTCTTGTTCTTTTAAACAAGATCTGGTTATATATACATAGGGCGGATCGGGTTACGCGAGAATGATTACTTTCAATGGAATTACTCTAGATAATGTTGAAAATCCAATCATAATCGATCAGCTCTATAACGGTGGAGATTCTGATAAAGCCAAAGATCATAAGGTACGTAGCTCAATTTCACTTTGATCATAAGATTGTTTTTGATAAGAAAATGTAAATTCTTTTGCTTTGGTTTTGTAGTCGTCGGCAGTGGAAGTGAGCAAAGTGGTGTATAGCAATTTCATTGGGACGTCGAAGTCAGAGTACGGCGTTGACTTCCGATGCAGCGAGACAGTACCATGCACAGAGATTTTCTTAAGAGACGTGAAAATAGAAACGGCATCATCAGGATCAGGACAAGTCGCACAAGGACAGTGTTTAAACGTGAGAGGTGTGTCAACACTTGCTGTACCAGGTCTAGAATGTTTGGCCCTTTCCCCAGATATGTTGTCATCGACGCAATTGCCGGAACAAACTTGCATGTTGGCACAATCAGTGCAACCAAGAACAACACAACCGATGCAAGATCCAATATGGGATTTTGAAAGCAGAGGGAAACGACTTAGAGTTTACAATGCTGTATTAGTTTCATTTGTCTCTTTGGTTACATATATTTTAGGTGATTAATTCAAGATTTCAAAAGTTCAAAGATATAAGTGGCTATGATAAGTATAAGTTAATTGGGAGTTTGAAGTCTACTTGTGTTGATAAGTGTCACCAGTCACCACCTCAAAAGCCTATTTTCCCAATAAGATTTTTTAACATTTATAACAAAAACCAAAAATTTCACATACTGTATCAAAAACAAATCTATTGCCATTTATTGCCGTAAATTGTGGTATTTCCGTAATAAAGGTATAGTCAAGGGTTTAAATTGAAACATATTCATTAATATTTAAACCGGTTTACTAGTAGTAGAAAACCGGACATTTCGATATTTAAACCGATATGCAGAAACGCTCGTGAAGAAATCAAATCTGTGTATCTTTCTCTTCTCCACTGAAACGCGTTTGAAGGAGAAGGGTCAAAGGGATCTGATTCAATCATTTTGGCTAGAAATTGAAGGAAGAAGAATCATGGGTTTCATCGGAGAAACTGTAGATTCCATTAAATCTATCAAGATCCGTCAGCTTCTCACTCAGGCTATCACTCTCGGTTCGTTTCGATATCAATTGCTTTAACCTCATTTGTGTTTTAGTTACGAGAAATAGGTATCTTGATTTGACCAATGTTACATCTTGAGAAGCTTAGATATGATTCGTATATAAAGGTTTGGTTTTGTTTTGGGTATAGGTATGATCGTTACATCTGCATTGATAATTTGGAAGGCATTGATATGTGTCACTGGCAGTGAATCACCTGTGGTTGTTGTTCTCTCAGAAAGCATGGAACCTGGCTTTCAGAGAGTAAGTCACATTTGTTTGGTTTTAGATTTTGAAAATAGTTTACTTATTGCATTTGGTTCTGTGGTTCTTGGTTATTGATTTTGAGGCCAATGTGACAGGGGGATATATTGTTCTTGCGGATGACCGATGAGCCTATTCGAGCAGGGGAGATTGTTGTTTTTAGTGTTGATGTTAGTGTGTCTCCTGTTCTGTTTCCATCAATTTACTATCTTCCTTTGAATTTCGTTTCTTGCTATTGGTTTAATTTGTCTTAATGCTTTCTTTTTTCAGGGTCGTGAAATTCCCATTGTTCATCGAGCAATCAAAGTAATGTTTCTCGTACATTTTCTCATCTCTGAACATCACAGGTTCACGATACTTACACTTGATGGCTCACTCGCTTTTTTGTTGTTTTAACATATCACAGGTTCATGAGAGGGGAGATACTAAAGAAGTTGATGTTCTAACAAAAGGTGCTAGTTTGTTGGTCTGAATGGATAAGAATAACCCTTTATAGTTTATAGTAATAAATTCATGGGTTACTTGACACACCTTTGCATTTTCCAGGTGACAACAATGACATTGATGACATCGGTCTCTATGCTGAAGGACAACTTTGGCTTCATAGGCACCATATCATGGGCAGAGCTGTTGGGTAAACACTCTAATTCAACAAGCTTTTGTGCCGTGTGATCTCATTAAAACTGCTCAGAAAATGTCAATACTCAGTAGTCGTAAATGGTGCCCTTTTGCTCTTTTTCAGGTTCTTGCCTTATGTTGGATGGGTAACTATTATCATGACAGAAAAGCCTATCATCAAGGTACAATCTTTTAACACGACCTGCAATTTATGTCATGGTTGTTGACTTTGAGATATATTTACTCACTATTAACATCTTTTTCCATCTTCTCTTCTTTCAGTATATACTCATTGGTGCATTGGGTTTGCTCGTTATAACATCCAAAGACTAAGACTACAAAAAAAGAGCTGGTCGTTGGTAAAGAAGTAGCTTCTGCAACGCTCGGTTCATCATCTTTCGGTGACTTTTAAACTGTAGAATCATATAAACCTCAATTTATAATTATAGACATTTTTATCTTTAAAACAGCTACGGTTTTGTGACAATCTCTTCTTTAGCTTAGCAGCCTTGTCTATGATCTTTTTCGAGTAGTTTTAGGGAAGCGTGATGATCTAAGCTCTGAAGGGATGTACTAATTTATTAAATTCTAAAATAGCGGCTGAACTTAAAAAAAAAAACGATTGAAATATGACGATTTAATGAAAATAAGCAACAACTAGTGTTTAAGATTACAGCTTGAATCACAGAAGCAGTCAGGGCAATCCAGATCCCCTGCCAATTTCAAAATCATTCTTATTATGAACCTCCCAAAGAGCTTTCTTCAGCTCTTCCTCTTCATTTCTATGAGACTTACCTCTGCAAATGCTTTTCTGCTCAAGAACAGAGTTTTATACATCCATATATATGCGAGCAACCATTTCCTCCATGTAAAACATGATAATCCAAGACAGCTTTTGTATTTCCATGCATTCTTGTGACATCTTCATGGTTTAGCAAGTGAGACTTTGTGAACACAACTTTGTATAAACCGATGTAAAAACTCCCATCTCCATCAGACCATGTTGGTTGTTAAATTTGTATGTAGGATTGTAAAGTCTATGACATGATAACCATAACACGAGACAATCAACGAGACAACGAATTTTTTTGGTTTAACAAATAAAAATCAGTATACTAATGTTTATCTATTTAATGCATATTATTGTCAATAATGTAGCTGGTGGTCAATCATCTAAGATTAATCACACGATCGAATAAAATAGGATAATAAATATAATATTGAGGTCCTCCAGCGACTAACACTTGAATAAATATACAAAAAACAACGTGCGGGTCAGTTCAAGCCATGGCTAACACGATTATCTATATACTTATATGGTTATAACTTATATGTTCTTTGAGTGATTAATTCGTTGAATTAAAGAAAAAAGAGATAGTAAGGATGGGAAAAGATTTCAAGAGTATGGTGACACGATGCATCTACGTAGGAAAAGAGAACGATAACGTGAAGAAGCTGAAAACCGCGACGGAGGAGCTCAAGGATTTACGCAACAATGTGATGAAAAGGGTCAAAATGTATGAAGACCAGCAGAAGCTGAAGCGTCTCGAGAAAGTCCAGGTCTGGCTTAGACAAGCCGATGTAGCGATCAAAGAAGCAGAAGAAATTTTGATAGCGATGATGTCTTCTTCTTCTTCAAATGGATCAAGCATGATGAGTTGTCACAAGATGGACAAGAAGCTTTGCAAGAAGCTGAAAGAGGTTAATGAGATAAAGAGTAGAGGAACATTCGATGTGGTGGTTGAGAATAGTGGCATTGGTGGATCGATGATGATTTCGACCGTTGATAGAGATGATCAGACGGTTGGATTGGAGGCGGTTTCGGGGCTAGTGTGGCGGTGTATGACGGTGGATAACACCGGGATTATTGGGTTGTACGGCGTGGAAGGTGTTGGGAAGACGACGGTGTTGACTCAGGTCAACAACAGGTTGCTTCAGCACAAGTTAAATGGGTTTGACTTTGTGATTTGGGTGTTTGTGTCCAAGAATCTGAATCTTGAAAGGATTCAGGACACTATCCGAGAGAAGATAGGGTTTCTTGATAGGTTGTGGACGAACAAGACAGAGGAAGAGAAAGCCGGTAAGATCTTCGAGATACTTAGCAAAAGACGATTCGCTTTGTTCCTTGACGACGTTTGGGAGAAAGTCGATCTAGGTATACGATTACTTGTGATCCAAGAAACTATTTGACTTGTGAACTAAGTTTTCATGAGTTGCCCTAGCCTTGATTTGGTCTAAATATTTAGCGTTTTAAATTTGTCAAACAGTGAAAGCTGGTGTGCCACCGCCGGATGGACAGAACGGATCAAAGATCGTGTTTACAACCTGTTCGGACGAGGTTTGTCGGGAAATGGGAGCACAAACTAAGATCAAAATGGAGAAGCTGCCATGGGAGAGAGCTTGGGACTTGTTTAAGAAGAATGCGGGAGAAGATACAGTGAAGAGCCACCCGGACATAACCAAAGTTGCTCAAGAGGTTGCAGCCAAGTGCGATGGCCTCCCGCTGGCTTTGGTCACAATTGGCCGAGCCATGGCCTCTAAGAAAACACCTCAGGAATGGCGTGACGCTTTGTACATCTTGAGTAACTCTCCTCCTAATTTCTCAGGTCCAATTCCATAAACTTTTAAACATATATATTATTAGTTTATTACTTTCAATTAGGCTTCATTTTCGTGTGTATATTACTAACTAAGGTTTTATTTAATTGTGTGACAGTTCTCAAGTTACTGGACAGGAACTAATATGTACACTCGATCGAGGTATTATATATTTTTGGCATGTTTGAAAATTGTTAGTTTTTCTTTTTCTGATATTCAGATTGTAACTATATATAGTCCATTAACTGTTCATCAGATAAATTTGTATATATTTTTCTTAAAAACTCGTTTATCATTTCCTTTTTTCCTTGTAGGAACCGTGTTGTGCATGGAGAGCTTAAAGATAGCTGCGTAGATTTTTATTAGGGAGATTAATCATTTTTGTGTATTTTATTTGAGAGTTATTATATTATTTACGTCACCGGCTTAGAGTTTGAAGAATTTGGTTGAAGCTTGCAATGTTTTGATGGTTAATTATTGGTTTTGTATTTAATTTTCATTTTTTAACTGAAAAAAGTTTGATTCTCGTTACACGACGCATGGATTAATCAGTTTATTCATTCGTTTCGTTATTATTGATCATAAATATCTAAGGACAAAAACAAAATCTCCTGAAGGATAATATGCTTAGCTAATTAAAGTGGGAGTTAGGCACAAATTTAGGCCATAGTTCAATAATTGTATTCCTTCTTATGATTAATATTATGGTTGTCTTGTCTTCATCACGGCACATACTTTATCAGTCTTTTATATTTTCTCGAAACTTCAAATCATCGACTCATATTCATTATATACTATAATATGCATCAATTCGTGAAAGAAAATAGTATTATATGCATTAATGTGTAGTCAGAATATATTATCGGAATGTTTAATAGTCGAAAGTAGGATAATCTTCAAGAAAATGAGGAAAATAAAAACCTGAAATTCTTTGAAAGATTTTTAACAAAAAAAATCAAGATTCAAAAGTAGGAATTTTGAAAAAGAAATACAAAAACATATGCGTATCTAATGATTTCGCACTATAAACTAAGGTTTATCTTAATCCAAAAAAAGCTTTTCTATCAAAAGTTCAATGTATCTAGAGCCATATCTTTTATCTTTATTCATACATTACAAATAGTTATGCATATATTTATCTATATATAGATATGTTCAAACAAATCATTTGAGTACTTAAAAGAAGACAAAGCAAGAATTAAGCATTAGTGTTAAAGAAACAACATATGAATAAACGTTTCTCTCATCTCATATTCTCTGGTTACAGATCATCAACCTATGAGCCGAGGAGGGCCGTAGAACAGCCTAAGAGAGAAACGGCGACGGTGGAGAAATTTCCGGCGAGGAAGCCAGTGGTGAAGGAACGCGACATCAACGAAAGAGCAGAGGCATTTATACAAAAATTCAGAAAGCAGCTTCTTCTCCAACGTTAGGAATCAACTGTCAAATAACAGCAATGTCCAAATCTTTAACTGTTAGAATCACCTATCGTTAAAATCTTGGAATTGTCTGTACGATAAAAAAAACTATCATAATGTTTTTATATATAAAAAAAAAACATACAGAATAAAGCAGTCTTAAGGAGGAACTTTCATACAAGCAAAAGAGAAACATAATACAAATATGAATGAAGTTTCTTTGTCTAAAAGCATACACAAGGAACATTATCATAACTCAAAACCAGCTCGAATTTGGTTTTACTGAAGCTTCTTGATCCCCGGAAAGGATGGAAGGATGGAGATGAGAGCATCATTGTATCCTACAGGCTCTGTTCCGAATGAGAAAACAAGAGAAACAAATCATTACACGGAAAGTTTTAAGAAAAACGAGGAAAGGTTAAGGATGAAGAAAGACTTGCCTCCATCTTCTCGAAGTATCTTGACTACCTCGCCGGTAACATCAGCCTAGAAGATTGATCGAAAAACAGAGAAGCAATTTTAACTGACTTGGTTGAAGCAAGAGATAGATAATTACTAAATCAGAAATTCAAATGGAATATTATCTAACCTCGATTGGAAATTGGCCACCGAGTTGTTCAATGTAGCACAGAATTTGACCTTCTTTCACTAGGTCTTTCTGTCAGATTAAACAAGAGCAAAGAAGAGATTAGTCAGTGGTTTCCCCCATGAAATCAAACACTCTTCTGTTCAAGAAGATTGGTTATACCTCTTTACAAGACGAAGGCAGGCGTTTACCCTTTATGGTTTTGGATCTCCTGAAGAACCCTACCTGCACATATCACACCATTTAGATTGGGATCAACTTTCTGATTGAAACTCACCTCTCTTTTTCACTTTTTAACGGAAAGTTACCCAGAATTAGAAAAGATATCATTTTCCAACAGAGCATATTATATTTTGCCTTTAAGTTGTGTGGTCTCTTACTTTTGGAGATTGGAGAATCATCAAACCCTGATCAGCGGCTGACGATGCTGGTTTTGAGATAGCCAGTGAAGTAGAGGAAGCTGATCCATTCAAATCAGGACTCTCGGTAGTTGCATTTGAAGCAGCTACAGCAGGAGTTGGCGGAGGTTGTGGACTACTATTGTCAGCTATGTTCCTTGCTACATATAGTCGGAAACCCCCCAGCTATTAGAATGTGCAAATGAAAGAAGCAGAAAAAAATTAGATAAGAATCCTATTCAAAAACTTAGCAGAAATGACTCTGCAAAAGAGCAATAACATGACAACCATTCAACTGAGTAAGAGCCTTACTTTCAGTTCAAACTCTGCAATTGATGAAGAATCGCATATTTCAGTGACAAGGGCTTCCACCTAAAGATCGAAAAATAAATCAAACAGAATGCATCCAATTAAAAAACAGACTCAAAAATGGTTTTAACAGTGCAAGCAACAAGTGAATTTTCCACTAACTCCTCAAGATAACACCTTCTCTTCTCTTCCATTAGACAATAAGGGAGAAGAAATTCAGAAATCATCAGCCAGAGTTCTTCAAATGACATCCTAACATTTAATGGAAAATGAAAACCCACCTCAGAGGGCTTGGGAACGAGCTGAGCGTTCAATCGAGATGACTTGGTCTCTTCAGAATCTTTTACTTCTATAGTAGCTGTGGATAAGAAGAATAAATCAGAAATCATTAAAGGAAAAATAAGACACTTTCCATGCACACATCAGCCCACATGTGAACACACTCGATGTGCATAACATATCGATAGTAAAATCGCTAAAATGAGCATATTCTACCATAGAAGAAAGACCAGAAGATAAGAAAACATATAGAGATAAGTGTACCTGATGTTTCTGCAGCTGGGACAGTAGACAGTTGGACAGCTTTCACAGACCCAAACGTTGTCCTCAGGCTCAAGTACTTCACCGGCCTTTGCCCAAGCAATGATTTTTGATTGTATGGTATCAGAAAGCTTGCAGATCTTACTCTACTAAGGTCTACTGCTGAGATTTTAATTTTAGGAACTCCTAGGCTACCTGAAACATACGCATAGGTCTCAATTGAGGAAAATCAGCGAAAACAAGACGAGTCAAAAAGAAAGACAAAAATCTGCACTAAATCATCAATATGATCACTCACTTTTTTAAGTTGTACATAAGCAAGTCTTATACACTAAATCCAAGATAGCTCCAGCAGGTTTTAAGTAAATTCAAAATATAATATCTAAGAATTAACTCATGTATACTCAACAGTGAGAGATTAAGTAATATTGTCGAGAAATTCGTATTAAGCAATACAGATTTCGGAAATAATTTATCAATGCCAAACTCATGGCAATGGTGATAAACCATGTATCAAATTAGATTAGCTTCGCAAAGTCAATATTAAAGGAAGTAACTTTAATCTTATCTCCATTGATACGAAGACTGAAGAGAAATTCTTCAACTTTAGATCTCTAATTATATACCAAAATCAACCTAATTGTTCAAAATTAAGTCCCTTTCTTAGTATCTATATCACTCAATAAACAGAATCACCAAAGTTTCAACTTTTCGATGAATATGATTCTAAGAGAAGAAAAAAATTCAAATTTGAATGTGGGAGCAAAAACCCAGTCTCGTGTACGACGATCCCAAGAAGCTGGAACAATTAAGACAACAGGAGACAGGTAGAGAAACTTACATGAAGCCATGGAGGGAGACAAGGATTCGAGAAACAGAAGAATGTAAGGAAAGAGAGAATGAGATTGTGAGCTGATACGATAACGATAGGAACGAGGACACACGATTTGACGAGTGTGGAGATGATCAAATCAAAATTTTGAGGTTAACGCTCGTCGTTGGTTGGGTTTCGCTCGTTCGATACAACCAGAGTGCTCTTTGTACAACGAAGCACGAAACATTATAACTTTTGTTTTATTTGGGCTTTTATTGCCCATATAATAAGCCCATTATTGCCCCCTTATTAATTTGCTTTTAGCTCCATTTTTTATATAAAATATGATATTTGTTTTTGCATTTTAGGTAAAATAAGTCTTACAAATTACAGTACATTTTATATAAATCATCAAAACAATTTCTTTCAGAAAAAAAAAAACAAGTAATTCAATTTGATTTTTAGAAATACAAATATTACTAGATTAGAATTCGCACTATGTGGCGGAATATGTTTTTGTTGATTAAGAACCTTCGTATTATTATATCCTAAACTTTTTTGAATTTAGAATAGTTTGGAAGTTAGACAATTTTGGGGGTAAATTTGTAAAATTTTGATTATTATTGCAGTCACTAGTCACTATGTTGATAAAATTATGTCTACTAAAAAGTGATTGTAAGTATATTACAGTCTATTAGAATCTACGATGAAAAGGCTGGACAACAAAAAACAAAAACAAAAAAAAAGTAGCAACTCATGTATAAAGCGATGAAATTGAGAAGAGAATCTTCTTTTAAGAAAGACATGCAGCGTACAATGATTAGAATAATAAAACTCTTAAAAAGAAACTGCAAAAGAAAAATTACGAATTAAGGAAAAGAAAAGAAAAGAAATATAATAAAAATGGATAATACATCCAAAAGCACGACAGCTAAAGTTACAATATTGGATCTCATTGCAACATCTAACAAAATTATCATCTTTTAATTCTCTTTTGCTCCTGCTTCTCCTTTCCATTGATCCAAACGGTGCTTAAAAAAAACATATCAATATAATCAAATACAATATCTTAATCATAGGCAGAAATAGTATTCGTGTGCAAAAAAATTAAAATTTGAAAGTTTTTTTGCTGAAGAATATATTTGAAAGCTGAATTACCTAAGAAATTGGACACAAGGCAACTTCAAAAGCATTTTGTATAACTTAGAAAGAGGTTCTGTTGCTGAAGTCCCTTGGTGCATTGCATCTGAAGCATTCTATTCTGCTTGCAAAATTATGCTCATTGCAACCAATCCTAGTTTTCAATATCAATTATTATAATCTTTATCAATCGAACTTTAAACTACGTATAAAAACTATATATTATATTATTAATAATCGAGTTATGTGATTATATCAACCAAGTGTATTAATTTGGTACCTAGTGCAAATCCAGTCGCCGGATTTCCAGCTAGAGCGACCACCGTTACTGGGGACTCTAGACCGCATAACGTCGGCGTCAAACATGGCCGGACCGCCGATGCCACCGCCTCCGCCTCCAGCGCCTGTCTCGTCCTTGAAAGTGCCGCATTTGAAGCAAGTGGAGCGACTAGCGAAATTGTGTGTCCCGCAGTTTCCAACGGTGCAGTACCAATCACCGGGACGAACGTCGGAGCCGGTGGTAAATCCGAAAGCAGACATGGCTCTGCCGCCGAAACCACCGAAGTCTAAGCCACCGACTCCACCAGGGCCGGAACGAGAGTCACCGCATCGCTGGCAAGAGTCACGGCGCTGGAAGTTGAGGTGGTTGCATGACCTGCAGTTCCAATCTCCGGGTCTGTTCATTCTTCAGTTCTTGTATGCGTGCGTTTATATTATTTTCTGTAACATGCATATCAATTTGAATATTTCGATTAGATACTTCCATTAAAAAGATTAGTAGAAATATTTCTAAGAAAAAAAAAAGATTGCCAAGTACCACGCAACTAATGAAAATGAACTCTTGCTTTCGTTAAAAGTTAATTAGGACTAAAACATCAAGTGTGTGGCTAACAAAATTATATTTATATGTATAAAAACATGTACAGTAGTGGATATTTATATACATATATATATATATACGCTTATTCTAGTTTTGAAGATCAATTTCTTACTATATTCATCACGTATAACGTATTATTTGCCAATTGCTCGTGGCTGTATATTTCTGAAATCAATATCTAAAAATAATCAAATAGTTAGAAAATAATATAAATTAGAGACTGACCTTGATGAACTTGGAGAGGTATGTGATTATATGAGTTTAGTGAAAGAAATCAAGACACAAGGCTTTGAAAGAGTGATGTGAAGAGGATGGGCTTAAATAGAACACACAAGAACAACTGGTGGCTGATTTGAAAAAAAAAAGAAAAAAAAAATCAATAATTTACTTTTTCGTTTTCTTCACCTCAATATTGTAAACTTTCGCAAAAGAAGAGCAACAAAAAAACCGAGAATATTTAAAATAATTAAGTGAAAATTCCGGCTGATATTCCCAAGCCTATAATTTTTTTTGATATGGATAAATAATTACTCTGGCCATAGATTTGTTGTATTATGATATAATTAGATTGAAGCATGTTCATGTAACTCTTATTCACAATTACAAGTACTTCATATCAAGAATTAAAAATTTAGAAATATGTTATACTAGATATGTATATACTATATAGTATAATGGATTTTATTAATGTCTTTATTACATCATCACATGATCAATTGAAACATGCATAACGCATGTTGTTGAAAAACACCTATGTTATAAATAGTTTGTTTCAAATTAATATTCCTTTATGCAAAATTAGACATAGTCAAAGATAGACTCCATAGTTGATGCCACAACTTGATTTTTTGCTCGACATGTTTTTTTGTCACCTACTCGTTCTTTTTATCGTCTTGATCACTTCATATTTTTATATAACAGTTGTAAATTTAAAGCACTTTGGTTAGAATCTTGGGTCAAAGCATAATGTAATTTTAAGTAAATTAAGAGTCATAAGAAGCCAACAAAACAACTTAGGAGCCCACATCCAACTAAAAGAAAGAGATCTTGTTAACCTCTAGCTCTACACAAAAGTCCTTTGACTCGTACCTTTTTGGACCCTCTATCTCTTATGCTCTTATACATTTCATAACTATATTTTATTAATTGATGATTATACGCTTCAAAACCAAGGAAGCTCATCATTTAGTTACCAATGAACGATAGTATTTAATTCAAGTAGCTTGTGGCTAAGCTAGCTAGGCGACCTTGCTTACCTATTACAAACAAATTAACACGTTAATGTTAACAGAAGTAACGATATTCACAACTAAAAATCTTTATATCGATATATATATATATATATATATAAACTACATATTATAAGCTGATAAAATAAAATAGAAATTGTTTATGTATATGAACCTTTTTTTTTGTTTTTGTTAAAACTTGTGACTATATAACGGTACTGTGGTAGATAGCGAAGAATGCAGAGAAATAGTTGCCGTGGATACCATTTTGTGTGATATCCGAGATTCAAGTAGTTTTATTTTACAACTAATTTGAAATTACAAGAATCAATCTATGTTGTGATAGGTTGCTATATATATATATCTAGTAACATTATAAGCCAGATACTTCAAATTTCACACCTAAATATACATACACATATTTCTTAACGTGGATACCATTTTGTGACTGAAAAATAATAGGTATTAAAACCCCTAGGAAATCGGTTAGACCACAAAAAATGAAAACAAAATTGCTAAATGAAACTAGATAAAGGAGTACATATATAACTATAAAGATGATATGTCTTTGAATAGAGAATCGATTCGGTATCTTCGACGTGGTATAAGCTTTTGGTTGATATAGGAAAAGGTAGCTTAATCTCACAATTACATTATGGTAAGTCTCTTTCATTTATACTTTAAGGAGGCAAAGGAATCGACATCCGAGACACGAATAAAAATTTATACCACTTTTGAATTTTGAATATTCACTATCTTTTGTTGTTCTTATCTTTTTACAAAAAATATAATACAAGTTCTCCTTTGCTTAGCAGCAACGTAACAAAATTTGTAAACTTTAATATAAAGAATGATCAGTGTGATGGATATTGATTATTAGTTTTTCATGGTGCGTTAGGATTTGCCATATTTAAATGATGTTTCTAGCTTGCACTATTTCTTTGTTGTTGCATGTTCTACTCTGAATATATAATATTTTAAAGCGAATAGATATAATCGAAGCTCGTCGATTTATATGTTGAAAGTGGTTAAAACAAAGTTGAGCTAATATAATCTTTCAAAATATATATGGTAGATAGCAATTTTACTATCAATACAATAATCATACAAAAAAACAAAATTCGTTCCTAAGATTTGTTAAGAAGATTTTCATACGATTTAAGTTTGAAATGGTATAAACAACAAAATGATTACAAATGCGTCGATGGGATAGATATGAGAAAACCATACAAATATAATAGTGAAAAAAACACTAATATAATTATGGGTCAAAAAAACATAAAAAGAGGGGAAAAGAAAAGATAAAGGGAAAATCAAAAGGGATGAGGCAAAATAGAGAGTTTCAATAAAGATAAATTTGGGTGATGGTGACGGAATAATTCTTCGATGTTTTCGTTTTGACCATCTTTTCCTTTATTTCTCACTTTAATATTCCTTTATTTCGCTCGCTGTTTATTCCCAGAATTTTTTAAAATTAACTTGAACAAAGAAAAAAAATTGGCAATCTTCGAAATATACTAAGATTTTTCTATTATAATTAACAAAATAAAAAATAAAAGAGAAGGAAACTGCTAATATCTGGAGTCCATTCTCTTGGAGAAGAGTAAAGTGGGCAAAAAAAAAAAAAGGAACTGAGCTGATTCGATTCTCTTTGGGACTCCCATCCATGCATCACCTCTCCCACCTTCTTTCATTTCACTTTTATTTTTTATTATTTTACAAAATTAAGTACTAATTACCTTTTTTCACTGTAAGCATAACAAATAACAAAACCTTTATTACGGTCTCAAACGCTCAAAAATATTTTAAAACATAGTAAAAGGTTTTGTTCAGTACAATTCGAAAAAGGAAAAAAAAATACAATTTTCTTACAAAATATGGATGGCATTGATTAAGTTATTACCATCTATGTTTCACCGTAAAACTTATAATTGGGATGGCTCACAGTGGTTGTGATGGCGTTTGTTCCAAGAGTGCCATATTGTTCATTTGTTCTCATGTTTCAATCCACAACACGGTTTGGGGAAAATTTTATTAACTAATCAAAGTGAAACTAGAGAATATGATAAGGGATTGGGGAAAATTTTGAAATATCAAAGTAATTATTTTTAAGTGGATCCATTGATCAAGGAGGCCACTAAATTTGCTCGAGGCTTGGTAGAGTGGGTTCATTTGTGTTTGATACACTGTTTTGTTACTCATCCTTTTTTTGTCTGACATCGTATTTATCATGTGTATCGTTTAATTGCATTTCGCTTTACCACACTTGTGCAGTTGTCTGTGTGTGTGTCTATTACTCGTACTTCCGTTTGCGTTCATATAATTCAACGTAAATGTTAGTATTTGTATAATTCTAATTGCATCATCTATATATTTGCATTTGATTAACAGAAGACAGAATAATCCTCGGCTAATCGTCACACTAGTTATATGTGGAGGTGAGTAGTTAAAGCTAACCTGGAAGTTGCTCGGTTTATTTTATATGAGATCAAGTTTGACCCCTTTTTAAGTGAAGATATTTTTTTTCTTTTTTATTTAACAACAAGTGAAGATTACTAATAATTTAAGAGTATTTTAATCGATCGTACTATTTTAGTTGCAGGCTCCAACTGGTAACCATTAAAAGAACAAAAAGAAAATGAATAAAAAGAACAATGCGGAATGGATCAAACAATTTTTGAAGAAGGAAAAGGAAAAGATGCAGAGAATGAATAAAATGTACTATTATGATGAATGGTAACCAAACATTAAAAATATCTTTAAAGATATATTAAATAGTAAATAAATCAAATTTCAATGAAAAATACTAAATATTTTTTATATTTATTTAATTTGAAAATTTATATTTGTGAACTAAATTTATATATATATCATTTTAAATAATAATATTTAATATTAACATAAAATAAAATTGAAAGAGTAATTTAAAATATATTATTCTTTTACAATATAAACATTTTTAAATTTATTTTACTATTTATATATTTTTCAAGTGAAGTCTTAAGAGTAATTCAACATGAAATTCTTATCAAAAATATTTTTTCTGTTAATATATTGTGAAGATATGAAAATTATTATATAATAAAATACAAATATTATTGATAAACATTATTTTTTATTTATTTTAAAATAAAAACGAATATTAATATTTGTTCCTTTTTTGTTCTATTTGTTCCTCATCAATTTTGGAGAGAAACATTTTTGTTCTAGTGTTCTTTTTTTGGTGAAGAATGTAGAGGAATAGTGTGGAAAAAATATTACATGTAAATAGTAAAAATATTGAGGAACAAAGAGAAATATCACCTTCCTTCTTATTTTTTTCTTTAATTATGGTTACCAATCGAAGCCTAGTTAATTGTATATTTACGTCACGGAACATGTAACGACCGACCGATTTTCTTGTAACGATCGATACAATATAAAAAATGAAATTAGCCATCTCATAACATGCGACGACGATACTTATGGTGTTGCCACGTAGCAAGCATCTTCATCTGAACCATGAGGTGTCGCAACCACAGAGGACAACACGTTCAAGACCGAGAAACCGCATACTAACACTCGCAACGTAAAGCACAACACCCCTAAACTCCTCCTTTTTAATTCGGTTTAAATCTCAACACACCACGCGGCTATACACGTGTCAATTTGCTAATACGTGTCTTCTTCTCCGGCCGACCAAGACACACTACAAATGTCCCGATGGTTTGGGGAGATAATTCACAGTTTCTTCTACAACAACAAACACTTTCACAAACAAAACAGCTTTAAAAACCTATCTAGTGTCGTTTCATATCTTACGCATTTGAAGAAAGAAAAATGGCGTCCAACCAACAGAGCTACAAGGCTGGTGAAACCAGAGGCAAGGCCCAGGTAATAAGAACATATTTTTTGTGTGTGTGTATATTAAAAACGACATTATGTATCTCAAGTTCTAAGATGCTTTTGTTTGTGTAATAACAGGAGAAGACTGGACAAGCTATGGGAACGATGAGGGACAAGGCTGAGGAGGGCAGGGAAAAGACTTCTCAAACGGCCCAAACAGCCCAACAAAAGGCCCATGAGACAGCCCAGTCAGCTAAAGATAAGGCATCTCAAACTGCCCAAACGGCTCAGCAGAAGGCCCATGATACGACTCAAGCAGCAAAAGACAAGGCATCTCAAACTGGCGACAAAGCTCGCGAGGCCAAGGACAAGACCGGGAGTTACATGTCGGAAACAGGCGAAGCCATAAAGAACAAGGCTCAAGACGCTGCTCAGTACACAAAGGAGACGGCTCAAGGTGCGGCTCAGTACACAAAGGAGACAGCTGAAGCTGGTAGAGACAAGACCGGTGGGTTTTTGAGCCAGACCGGTGAGCATGTTAAGCAAATGGCTATGGGTGCAGCTGACGCAGTGAAGCATACTTTTGGGATGGCTACTGATGAGGAAGAAGACAAAGAGCATTTTCCAGGAAGTACTACGACCACTACTGCAAGTACCCGGACCACTGATCCGACTCATCAGACTTACCAGAGGAAGTGAGAAAACCAAAATTGAGAAGGATATGAAAGTGTCTTTATGTTTGTTGGTCTTTTGAGTTCTGTGTTGTACGTTTTTGTAATTTCCGTTGTCTTTCTTTGTGTTTGTGGTTTAGTTGTGTTTCTTGTTGTGATGGTGATCCTGGAGACTTCTAATTTCCAGCCAATAAGTTTAGATTTGATCCCGTTACAACTTATGTGTTTTCCAATTTGTATTTTTGTTATAATAAACAGTTATTAATACACATCACGGTCCACTTCGTATATTGGTCATCAAGCATCTAGTATAGCATTGTAACAGAGATCTAGCTGTCTAAACCAAACGGGTTTTACTAATCTTTCAATTTCGTTATACGAAATAAAAATTAAAAGTTTAATACTATTATTTTATTTAAAAACTTCAATAAAACATTTATGTGGCTCAGCTTTTTCATATTTTTTTGTGCACACAAAAGCTTTTTTGCTAATCGTTCAATTTCACCTATTGATACTTATTATCTACCAAAATGAGAGGTGCAAACGAACAAAATTGATTTATCTAAACCGAACAAAGCAAAATAAATGAACCAAAGATGCAGAAGTCAACGGACCTTTCGGTGATAATCCCAAACGCGTCGTATAACACCCTTAGGGTTATGAGTTATGACACGACGTCGTTCTCTTGGTCGGTCACTTGAGGAAGAGAAGCGGTCGTGGCATTTGTCTTTCTGCTCCGTCCTCTTCCTCGTAGAGCTAATCCTCTCTAATCGGTTTCTCTTTCCTGTTCTTGATAGTTTTCTAGACACAGATTATATCAAAACTGCGGAACATTTTGAGTCGGTTGAATAAATCTACGTGATCTAGAGATGGCGGCTTCTTTATCGACCAGACTTCTTAAAGGAATCGCTAACCTCCAAGCTGTTCGTTCTAGCAGATTGGTTAGATTCTCTCTTAACCCTTTTGTTCAATTTTGATGTATCTGATGTGTGCTCTATCAAGTTTTCTCTTTTCTTATCTTAAATCACTTAAAAATTGCTTCTTTTTGGTCTCTTAGATGGGTTTTTTCTATAACATTTGGAGTCTGATCCTTCTATTAATTGAACCGGATTAGATAGTTACGTGAGCTTTGGTTGTTCTTATAGTTTTGAATTAGGTGAAATTAAATTGGTTTTCAATAGAAGATGGTATTGATGATCATTTGACAGTTGAAATTAACAAGGAGAATTATGTGGTATTTGTTTGCAGACATCTGCATCAGTCTACCAAAATGGGATGATGAGATTTTCCTCTACAGTGCCAAGTGATTCAGACACACATGATGATTTCAAGCCTACACAAAAAGCTCCTTCTGGTTCTACGGACTCGCTCAAAGATATTGTTGAGAATGTAAGTAAACTCCAGCTTTCTAGATTTACAGTTGAATGTTTGTGTTTAGGCATTTGATTCTGAATCTGATTAGGGTTTTTGCTAATGATCTTTAGCTTTGGTGGTTGTGTAGGATGTGAAGGATAATCCTGTTATGATCTACATGAAAGGTGTCCCTGAATCTCCTCAGTGTGGGTTTAGCTCACTCGCCGTCAGAGTTTTGCAGCAATATAGTAAGTTTTGATCTACTCTTGATTGAAACTGAAGTCTTCTTTTAAACCATTTTTTACATTCTTAATGTGTTCCGAGTTCTGATGATGCTATTTTGTGATCTCTTCTTTAGATGTTCCCATAAGTTCTAGAAACATTTTAGAAGACCAAGAGTTGAAAAACGCTGTGAAATCTTTCAGGTGAGTGTGTGGACACTTAATCAAAGTTTCATACACAGCTGTATAATCTCTTTCTCAAAGTTCCTTCAAAAAGTTTGAGAATAAGCGTGGTTCTACCATTGTGTTGTACTACATGATCTAGACTCCTCCTTGACTAAACTTTTTGTTCAGTTGTCCTAATTTGATTCATGAGTCTTCTTTCTGTGCAGCCACTGGCCTACGTTTCCACAGATCTTCATAAAGGGAGAGTTCATTGGCGGCTCAGACATCATTCTTAACATGCACAAGGTTAGTTTCTCCTAAAGCAGAGTAGCAGACCCTGTTTGTCTTTTTTTCCTTTTTCATTGTGTTGGTTTAATCACAAGTCCCTTTTACAATTCCAGGAAGGTGAATTGGAGCAGAAGCTTAAAGACGTCTCCGGAAACCAAGATTGATCCAAAGTTGGAAGTTATGCTGACTGATGAATGAAGTTATTATGTTTTTCTTCTTTCCTTTCATAAGAATGTCTTTTGATGTACGGCAATAATGTCTCAGAAACTCTGAATCTTTGGATTTGGTATGAACAAAACTTTGGTAAACTAAGATAGCAAAAACAAAGAAGCACAAAGAGCCTTTTTATTTATTATTATTATTCATAATCAAGAATAGAACAGCAGAAAAGCATGAAAAAATCACAAAACAGTAGAACATGAGAATACCGTATACCCCAAGAAACCCCCACCCCTTATATATAATATAAATATTCTACACCATTGTATAGTAGCTATAGAGATGCTTAGAAGATGCTTGTAGAGTTTAACGTGAGCCCTCGAGACCAAGCCTTGAGGCGAGCCAGTGAACCACCTCATCCATTTCTTTAGGAACCGTATAGTGACCAAGCCTACACAATAGACATTAAACCTCACAATCTCAGACCAAAACCGTAAAGCAAATTAGACTGATAAACTTTGGTATATAGGTTGAACATTTACCCTTCATATGGTTTGAACATAGTTTGTCGGAATCCAGCCATGGCAAGTGAATGGGCAGATTTTTCTCCAAATCTATAAGGAACTACATCATCCGCTGCAACCAAAGAACACTTCAAGTGAAAAATGTGATTTTATCTTGAAACAGTAAATCATATAATGATAGGTAAAACATACAAGTTCCATGTGCAAGTATGATTGGTATCGATGCAGCGCGCCTTGCAACCTCATTCGAACTTTCTATTTTGCTCCTTAAGCTCCTGCATTGTTATGTTTAAGCTTCCAATGTTAAGTCTCTGTTTTAACAAGTGACATGAAAGGGTTGAAGAAATATATATATACCTCCAACCAGGAAGCCAACCACTAAGTCCTACAGTAGCTCGTAGGTTAATAGTATAAGGATGTCCGGTTCCATAACGCCCAAGAGCGTAGCACGTCGTGGAGTAGAGAGCTATTGCTGCACCCATACTGAAACCTCCTATCCCAACTTTGACTGAGACGACAAACCACAAATAACATTTACAAGTTAAGCTAGAGATTATGATATATTGTATCAAGGCCGGTGACAGACTGACAGAGGAATGAAGATATATATAACCCCTGGTCGGCTTACCATCTGTTGGTTCAGCGGATAAGAGGTTAGCAATATGTGCAGCTGAAGCATCTAAGCCTTCTATATCATCATGAAGATCCTCAGAAATTTCTCCCACGTCAAACCCTGAGAGAAGCAAAGAAATATGGTTTTTGTTGGCAAATGCTTGAATGAATGTTTTAGTGAAGTCTAGAGAAGTTGAATGATCTTACAGGCAGTGCAAGGGAATCCACCCAGAAGCGAAACAGGACGCGAAGGAGCAGTTGGACAAATCCATTTTATCTGAGCATACCATAAATCTTTCATCAGAACCTTCAATAAGAATATTAAGTGATACAAAAAATTACTTCAAAGTGGTTGTTTTCATGGATCCTTACGTTTGGAAGAGGTAGGCTCTCCAAGAGCTGAGAAGAGCTGCAGAGAAAACAGAACCAAAGTGAGAACTTGTTATCAAAGAACACGCCAAAAGTCTACTTTCTAAAGCTCATTTGATTTATTGTAGTCAATTAAACCAAAAAATTAAAGCTTTTCATAACACATTAATACTTGAAACTGTTCAACTAACAGAGGAAAAATGTGAAGTTTTCTCCTAAGAAAAGTTTGTTTTGATATCTTTTAAAGTCATTTGGGTATTGTTTTGACAAGTAAGACTTTAATCTTTCAAAGCATAAAACTTTCTTTATTACTTGACTTTGATCATAATAACAAGGCAAGTCAGAGACTATTATATTACCTGGAGCCATTATCTCCAAGACCATGCAACCAAACAATAGTAGCTTGGTGCTTTCCTTTAGGCCTCACAACATAAGTCCTTCCAAACTCATAGCCCCTTGTACTTCTACTACCTACAAAGATTTTGCCAGAAACATATTAAAGCAGAGTAATCACATAGCAGAATTACAAGCACACAGTTCATAACTCACAACTAAACCATTAAGATAAGTAGATAACATATACATGTTAAGCAAACAAGTAAGGGAGAAACAAACCAGAACCCATGCTTTGATGAGAATAGCTCATTGTTGTTGAATGATCTTTTTTCACTACAATTTAGAGACTTTGTTGTGATTTTAGTAGTTCAAAGTTTGAAATACCAATGGAAAATATAAGAGAAGGTAAGGGAGGGGAAATGTGTATTTATAGAGCAAACTTAGAGGTGTGATGGTGAGAGGAAGGAATAAAAGAAAAGAGATGTGAATCTGAATCATTCACTATGGGATGTTAAATGTGTACAACAGCTACACAAAAAATAAAAACTACACTACTAATCTAAGAGAAGGCATCCATGGAAAGAGGAAATCAATTTTCTTCTTTTTTTTTTCTTTCTTTATAAAACAAAAGAAATAAATCTTTTTGGGAACACAAGGAATCAAAATCAAAACCAGAGCAGAGCTAGCGGCAAAAATACACAGAGGAGAGAGAGAGAGAGAAAGAGAGAATCGATGCCTTGTGGGCAGTGGAGGAAAATAAAAACTCTACCGCGTAAAAGAATATATTATATAACACAAGTATGTATATATATTACAAGAAAACATGAGCGCATAATCCAAAATTGAAAAAGAAGAAAAAAATCTACTTGTTCAATCAATTGTTTAATGAAATATATACAGAAAGTGAGATGATTGATGGATACCCATTAACCAGAAAGCTTAAAAGTCTGAAACTTTACGATGGACAAAGGAATTACATATTTTTATTTAGGGTTCTTGGATTTGTGAAATCTGAGAGCACTGAGTGTAATGATGATGCGTAAGAAACATAAGTGACCAACCTGGATTTTCATGTGGGGGAGCAGCAAGAGCATGCAGCAATAAACCAAAAAAGCCTTTGATCTTTTCTCTATCTCCTTCAACGCTTCTTTCATTACTATCTCTTGTTCCACCAAAATTGGCTGACGATGTCAAGCCCACTTATTTCACCTATTTGTCACTTTCTTGATACTACTATATAGATTTATAACAAAAATGTACTGATGAGATTGTTACCGTATGCTTAAAGCATTTGATAAGATGTAAATTTACATATAATTTTTTTTGTAGCCTCTGCTGTAAATTTACATTACTATTTGACCAGATCATCTAGTCTACTATTTTGCATTAGTGTAGTTGTCGGGTTCAAATTATAGAAAATAAAAGACCAAATAAAGATCAAGTGAACACCGAACAACGAACATGGTTCCATGTATACGCGTAATGATTGCCTTTTGTCTCCCCTTCTCTATTGTACCACAAAGATCTTCATAGATTTTATGAAATGATTACTAATCTTCCGAAATGATTAAGTATTAATCATCCGTGAAGAAATATATCAACTGTTAGTTTGCTACTAATTGATTGGCTATTTATATTATTTGGCACGAATATTTTTTTTTTATGAAATACTCCTACATAATAGGTTACTTTTACATATGATTTTAAATGTGAACTTTCTAATAAGGTGCACCCAAATACTTAACTAAAACATTTTATGCGATCAACATAAATCGGAAAATGGTACACATGGTTATAGATTGGTGAAAAAACTCTAAATCCTCAACAACACAAAATAGGACGACACTCCTTCTGTTTGCCGTTTTATGCAAGTAATCTGTAAAAGAAATGTTGTTTATGATTTTAATGTAATTTTCGAAGATGATACATACACACAAATATATATATATATATATATAATGATATTTCTCTTTAGCTTCTTACTAAAACTTACATTTTAAATTATAATAGAAGCTGAAGATTAAATATTATGTTAGAAACTTATAAATAAAAAGAAATAAAAAAATTATTCGCGTGAAAACTGTTTAACAATGCTTATATAAAGAAAATGAAATATTTGATTGTTGACATTACTTAACATGTTTCATATTAGTGAGTAATGACGCCATCGTTATACATAACTTTTAACAAAGGTCAACAACTTTTGCGAACTTTTTTTTTACTTGTTTTAGCTTTTGGATAGTCAGCTCTTTTAGTGCCCACCAATGTCATTAAAATTTGTGGTGAATAGTCAACCCAAATTAGAAAAATTGGTTTATAAATTAATTGACACAAAACAAGACAATAGATGCTTTCAGCACTACAATGTTAGTTTGCTAATTTGTGGATTAAAAAGTATATAGCGTTTGTTCGTTCGTATGATGAAGGGCTATTAAAACCCATTATAAGTTTTTTTATTTGGTAATAAAAGGTTATCCCATTACAAGTTATATGCACCTTTTAATATGACTTGCATAAATCCCATCGATTAGATTTAGAGAATATGTAAACTTGAATTTATAACTTTTCTTTCCTGCCGAGCAAAAAAATTGAAAGAAGAAGAAGTCATATTTTAATAGCATGTTTGCAGATAAAAAATGTCTTACTTATTATATATTTTTCTCGTATTAATGAAAATATGATTCATTGTAAGCGATGGAAACGTATAGCTCGAAGGAAACGTAAGCGATGGCGAAACGTAAACGATGTAAGCGATGGCGAAAGCTAATGCTTCTTTGGATTCAATAGATTTGCCCAAATCTTTTCCAAATTTATTGTAACCTTGTTTTATTTTTTGCCAAGGCTACTCTATCTAGGTAGTGCGTTCTTGTAATACCTCATCTTCATTTTCTAATGATATTAACATATTTATCAAAAAAAAAAAAAAAATGATTCATTAAAGATGTTTATTATTTTTTTCGAGCACATCGACAACAAGGACCATTCGTGCCATTCTTTATCTTTGATTAAGGTTATATGCGATCACTCAAAAATGTCTCTGCACAATTAATTTAAAAACTATTTAGAGACGAGAAAAAATACCAACATGATTATTTTATTCTGATATAGAAGTTGAATTGATAAATATAATACTCGCAAAGAAGGGTATTTTTCTCCTGCAAGATACGAGATGCTAGGCCTGGGCAATCGGAATAAACCGAATTAACCGAACCGAACAAACCGATTTTTTCGGTTTTCGGTACTGGTAAGGAAGGAAAGGCTAAACCGATCGGCAGAATTATAATTAGACTTCGGTTCTCGGTTCGGTTCGGTTCGGCAGACAGTAACCGATCGGTTTTATCGGTTAATAGACACCCATATAAAAAACAAAAACCCTAGATCTATTTTCTATAGCTTCTTCCTGTCCATCTCCTTTCTTCTTTTCTCCTTCGATCTCTTCTCATTCCTTCGTTAACTTTATAGCTTCTTCTTCTTCTTCTCCATCTCTTTTCTTCTCTTCTTCTTCCTCAGCCTCGACATCAATCTATGGCAAGTGTTATTCAAGAGAGATTTGAAACGTTGTTGGCCTTATCATCCTAACCCATGGCTATTTTGAATCATTCTCTCCGACATCGAGTCTGTGGTTCAGATTCGAAATGTTTTGGCCGTTTATCGCTGGTGTCGCCGTTACGCTCCTCCTCGTCACCAAACACACGGCATGTAAAACTTCAAATCTAATCGATTTTCAATTTTGTTTTTCTTTTCCTATTTTCTCAATTTTAGATATTGGATTCTTACTGCATGTGATTTTGACGATGGTATGATAGCTTTCGTTGAGGGTTCGGAGAGATCGCATTGTTTGATGACACCGCCATCTCGTCGCCGTCATTGTGACAGCGGAGGAAGAGAGTAGCGGCGAGTCTATCAACCCTAATTTTTTTTTTGAACTTGGGTTTTAGTTTTATTTGGGCTTAACTCTGTAATTAGTCATGGCCCATTATTTTACTCGTTTGTAACCGTAAAATTTTGCTTATTAAAAGCCCATTATCTTTATTTTGGTCTAATTCGGTTCGAATTAACCGAATTGGAAAAAATTTCGGTTTATTTCGGAATTGATTTTTTGGCCTATAACCGAACCGAACAAACCGAGTACCGACCGAACCGAACCGAATTTTTATTCGGTTCAATTCGGCAGAAATTTTAAAAACCAAAAAACCCAAAAAACCGAATAAACCGAACCGAACAAACCGATAAAACCGATTGCCCAGGCCTACGAGATGCCTTCGTCACTTCGTCTGTAATTCTGTATACAAAAATAGATTGCACAGGTTTATCTTTGTGTGTGAGATATATTCATAGGTATACATTTCATTATCACTTTCTAATTTTAACCTTGATAAGTTAATTTAATCAACTCACTAATAAAATATATATTGTCCATTTATCTGTAAATTATTCAACAAAACAAAAAGAGTACTAGCAACTAGCAAGCGAGTTAAAGGAGTGCAGGATGAAATGTCGCGTAGCTGTATGGATAAGACATTGAAATATGTTAATATATAGTTTATGGTAAAGTATTTTCATAAATTAATCATATTGCATTGATCTTTTTTTTCAAGCAATTTACAACAAAAACATAAGTATGAACACCGACAATGAAAAAATTAAGATAAAAAAGAATATTAAACACGTGTATAATAGTCAGCTAACAATTTAGTGCTAATTTACATAAGCGGAGAGGAGGCGGTGTAAAGTCGTGAGTCGTGACATTAGTATTAAACCGATAATCTTGATTAGTCCCCCTCATACTTTATCTAAATTCACACAATCACACTTGATACATCGATTTATATTTCAAAATACGTATGTATGTATGTTGACGTGGGAAAATCATATATATGTATGTTTATATATATGCATCATGCATGCTTCTTTGAAAACGACAGATATTTGCCAAAGAAAAATGTTTGGAAACTAAGGGATTTGTAATGAGGGCAACTGGACAAGCTGTATCGAACATTAGAGAATTAACTGTATATTTGGTGATTTGTCTTAAGTAGAAACAGAATATTGAACTCGGACGTTCTTTATCTTTAGAGAGTTATCTTTGTTTTATTTTAATTAGACTCCTTTTGAGAATTGTTTCGAATATATTCCTCGGGTAATTTCCGACAACGCTATACTACTTTGTTTATCTTTATTATCATCTATTATATAGTAGCTTGTTAGGTTTTGCTTTGGTTTCACACGATGGTATGGTTCGCAAAGAGAAAGAAATACAGCATTTGAGTCTCTGCTTGGTCATTTACGTATGAACAACAAATATTGATATGAAAACCAAAGGTATTTGTAATAAATAGCTAAATAACGTAATTTTGAAATATTAACAACATGCGTGATTTCGTTTCCTATATATAAATCAAGTAATTTTTGGTCTTAAAGTTGTTAACCTTAAATTCTATATATATAATTTGTTGAGGGAAAAAAAAAAGCGAAAGACGTTAGGACAGAATCGAAAGACACCTGCGCGGAGGAGTAAAAGCGGCTCGATGTTGACATACACCGTTCTGGTTCACCGTTTTATTTTTCTTTTTGTAAACAATAAATTAAGGAAAGTAAAATTAGGTGCATTGTATGAGTAATTTAGTGTTTAACCAATTAATGAACAAGGTTAGAAGAAAATGGTATTTCTATAATCTATTGAATAATATGACCGTTCACAAGGAATCAAGGACACGATCAAAACGTCCCTATATGAAAAAGACATCGAACCATAAAATAAAATTAAAAGGTGAGTCATATAATAAGCAAAAGGCAAGAATGATTCTGATTCTAATTCAAGAGTGTTACAAAAATAAAAACAACGGTCATAAGAGTTTTGGCACTTTGGAAACTCTGATACCGAGTCTTGTTCTAAAAGGATCAAAAACAGTTTCAACTGTGTTTCACCAAAACGGCAGATAATCTTTTTTATTCCAGTCATAAATTTTTTAAAATATATGAAAATGTGCAAATAAAAAAGAAAAATTTGCGGCAAGAGAGAGGCCGGAATCAGTGGTGGTGCTCATCGTCTTCATCACCGTGACCATCTGGAGGCCCACCAGGACCAACCACTTCCAGCTGCAAACATACATTATTTAACCAATTCAATATTCTGCAATCGAAAGCTCTACGAGTTCTTGGTCTTATTCTTTTACTGATTCCACTGGCCTATGACTATGAAATGGGGTAGATCGATTTATTTACCATCCTAGAGCCGAGTTTCACTTACCTCAAAGTACTGAGTGCAAACCGGGCATTCAAAAGACTTTCCTTTCTCCAGCCAGAACCAGACAACATCGTGCTCGTCCTCTGCAGTTTTTAGGAGAAAGTTAGATTGGATAATTCACTAGTCAATAATGTGCCTTGATATATTCAATGACAACAACGATTGCCGATAAGTCGTCCATTAATATGCCACTAAAGTTCGAAGGAGGGATGAACTTACCGCCTTCACCACCAGGGCATCCCACAATTCGCTTGTCATAGTAAGACTTCACAATAGCAGGAGCTTCCTAAGGTAATACAAAATGATATCAAAGTTTGTGTATCAAGAAATTGACAAAATAAGTATCTAATGGTAGCCAAAAGAAAATGAATATTGCTCAATCAAGAGATAAAATGACACAATAAAATTAAGATATAATAATCAAATGTCTTATGTCACATAGCATACAAAAGTCGTCAGCCACCAGTCATATACTTCTACATATTTTCAGTAATTTGAAGAAAAGTTTCTTAAGAATGTTAAGAACTGAATCTTCAAGATCTACAGAAACTTGCTCATGTTGTATGCGACATCCACAAATTTTCGTCAGTATTGTGCACATAAGCATCATAGGCAGTGAGCCACCGAAAATTAACAAACACAGCTTAGATATTTTTTGATATCACCAAACCTCATATATAATTCAAAGTTTCAAACCCAAGCTAGTGCTTCATTCGAGGAACTAATATTAATTGCATTATTCACAAAAAAATCTTGAAATATGACCAGAGTAATATCAAGATAATTTAGCCTGACAATCAGACAAGATTCCAAAAAGACACAACAAAGTGATTGCTGCATGCAATAGTAGTACTGGCTAAAGCAATATTATGAACCATAACAAAGAATGCAAGTTGATCCATATAAGTCAGTAAACCAGCTAGACTCGTATTAATTTTGATGAAGCAATAAGTTTCACGATACACACTTCTTCAGGTTAATTGAGATAATTGAAACAGCTACATTCGCTTACTTATATCATAAACCATTCATAATACTTGCGTTAACTGAAGTGTCTCCTTGGTTTGTTTCACTTATACCCCGAGTTTTAGTGATGAACATAAAATCTATAACATGCCTAGAAACATTGAAAATGTGAAAACTTTGGAGTAAAAATAAGGTTAAGGTATTCAAAGTGGAGTAACGACATATCTATCTCTGGTTATAGAAACAAAACTAACCTTTGTTCCAAAAGGACCTTCAGGGAAGTCAATATCATCCAGCCTCCTTCCCTACCCCAAGAAAACAATGACAAAATCAAAATCAAATTTTCCTCAATTGAAGTGTATTATTATCCAGCAGAAATATACACTCCATTGCTATACCAGAAAATCATCGACAAGTGAAAGTCATGATCACAAATGGAGTTGCAGTAAAACACATTTGTAATCATACTCAGATCTTAAAATTGCAATACATAAAGAAAACAACAATCACCTCAAGTTCAGCCTCAAGCTCCTCCTTCTCGTGTCCAGTTGCAATTGGCATTACATCCTCCACCTTCTTCTTCGCAGGAGTCTCCACTGCAAAGTACAATCCGCAATAAACAATCATTCACCTTCCAATGGAGAAGATGAAAACAAAACTGCAGCAAAACCAATCTAAGAGACCGATACAGATTTAAGTCTATCATCTAATATGCGATGAAGAAAACATAGTGAATCGAATCTAATTCCCAAGCCGAGATCTGGAAATGCTTTGAACTATAGCAATGATGAATCACCTGATTCGGAGCTGAAATGGCGAGGGATAACGAAAGAAGAGGCGGAAATGGCTGATCGATTGGCGGCGAGGTAGAAACCGACGGGTCTAACGGTGGCGGCTAACGATCGACGAGGAGAAGCAGCGACGACGACATCGGCGGCTAGGGTTTTGAGTTGAGAGGAGACGATTCTTCTCCACATGGTGATGATGATGATGACTCAAAAAGGGATTTCAAATGAAGATAGTTTGTGTTGTGATTCTCAGGTCACACCTTGAAGGATTAGCGAAACCCCCAAATGTTTTATTCTTTCTTCAGTGATGGCTTCTTCTTTGGGAGAAAATAGAGAGATTCTTAATTTAGAATTGGTCACTTTTTTTTTTTTTACTTGGAATCTGGAGATTAACTGGTACGTGTGAACTACATAGTACGCACGTGTCAGTCGATCCTATATTGTTGTGTGCCATTTGGAGTGGAAATAATGATACATGTTTTTACTAAAGAAATGTGATGTTGTGTGTGCAGTGAGGAAGGAAGTTGTGGCTACTGAGAAAGCACCAGCTGCTTAGGGACCATACTCTCAGGCCATTAAAGCCAATAATCTTGTTTTCCTTTCAGGTGTTCTTGGACTTATACCTGAGGTCCGTATATAAGATATGAAAATGTAAAATCACCATTTATTAATCATTATGAATATTTTGAAAAAGGTTTAGGTGATATATGTGTTCAGAATATTTTTAATCTTCACTCCACTCTATGATCTTGTTCAGAGCCCATCCAAATCCGGTAAGTCCCCAAAATGGACTGATATATAGTCTAGTTATAACATTTATTGTTGCTGACCTGCATTAGATAATCCATGACACATATTCATCTTTTTGTCAAACAGGATTCACGGAAGCAACCGAAGGATGTTGTGGAAGAGGAACAGTCGAGACAACTTCACTCTCTTGTGCAACCCAAACTCGTTAGGGACTTGCTCCAATGCTACTCATTTCAAATCGCTGTTTCTATCAAACATTGAGTCATACATTTGTTTCTCTTTGAATTATGTGTCAAACCGCCACTATTTTACTAAAAATGTATTGAAACTTACTACTAGAAAACCAAAAGTTGAGTACACTTAGTACCAGAAACTATATTCAACAACCTCCCTGTGTGATCTAAAGATCTAACATATACCATTTCTATAAGCGAAAACTATTAAAGAGTTAAAATGAACAGAGTTCAATTCTAAGCAGTGAGAAAGCTCAAGCCACAGCAGCAGGGCCAATGTTTAAGCAGCTTCAATGATTGCAATTTCTTTTCCTGATGATTTCTCTGCTTTCACTTTTGGTGACAACGACGACATTCCTATCAAAGTCGATCTTGATTCTTTCTTAAGGACCTCACCAGATGTTGTTGCTTTTGAGCATGTTGCAGCCTCTGAAGTTCGGTTATTTTTCACCCTTAATGACCAGTTTCTGTTTACACCACTCTTGGCAACGGGATAAGCCTGCAGAAAAAGATTAACCAGAAAAATATCAACTTAGGGATTAAAACCTTTACCTGAGATAACATAAACAACTAATTCAACATAAAAACGATGGAGATAATGAAAGATTCAGCAGTCTTTTATTGTTAATGAAGGCATACCGGGTGTTTATAGACCAGGTGCAATGATCTGTTCTCCTTGAGAGGAGCTTTCCCTGCTGCAACCTGAGTTATAATAGGAAGTGTGAGTGATACTTAATGCAAAAGACAGGTTTTGGAATTGTTTGAAGATGCAGAGAAATGCTTACATAGGTGGTGATGTTTTGGTGGCCAGACATTTGTGGTAACTGAGTGCCCATAAAGTAATACGATGTCCCGACATGGAATGGCTGCAAGTAACCATATGAGCTGGGCACATATGAGAGGACTGGCTGAGTTGGTGAAGGGACAAGTGGAGCTTGCGTGTAATGGCGTGGTTGTCCATGAAAGTATTGGTGCAGCCTCTTGAGTGTATCCTCTTTGCGCTCGGTAACTCGAACAACTAATGGCTTTCCATCAACTGAAAATAAGTGGAAATAGTAAGAGTAGTCCAGATTTAATCAGTATATATCAGATTGGTCTGGCACACAGATAAGGTAAGCTACTTTAGTTATATAGTATATATACCATTGAGATATCTTTTAGCCTGTTTGGATTCTTCACGGTTCGAGAAGCACACAAAGCCGAAGCCTTTACTTCTGCCATTCTCATGACGCATCACTTTAGCTGAGACTATTTGCCCATACCTTCCAAATATTTCTCGCAGTCTTGTATCATTCATTGATTCACTCAGGTTCTTCACGTACATATTGGACCACCCCATGTTAGGCTTGGCAATAGAGTTGTCCCTGAAATGTTGTTTCAGCATCTCCATCCTTTCATCTTTCCTGAGTGCCTTACCAACAAACAAAGTCTTCGATCCTGCAGATTGTAAAAGGAATGTTCTAAAATCAGAAACTTTGGTCTAATGACAAGGTACGAAGTATTATACTAGGTTCAGACAAAGAAGTTATATTACCAAGTTGTCGTCCGCAGAGAAATTCCACAGCTTTCTTAGCATTTTCTAGATGGCAGAAGTTGACAAATCCTAAACCTCTAGATCTTCCCATACCATCCCTCATAACCACAACACTAGAGACTATTCCATATTGAGAGAACAATCTATGTAGAATATCCTCTGTAACATTTTCGATCAGATTCTCCACATAAACGTTTGTGAATTCTTGATTCCATGACATAGCTGCTCTTTCATCCTTGTTGATGAACTTGGCTACAAACCTGAAGAAATAAACCCACCAAGTAAATAAACAACCAATTCATCATTAACCTTCAATTAATACTTACAGTTTCTTGCCATCAACCATAGAGCCATGGAGAGCAGACCGAGCAGATACACCAGCAGAGTCATACGGTTTGTATGTGGGGTCGTTCTTCTTCTTCTTGGGGTCGTTCTTCTTCTTCTTCTTCTTCTTCTTCATTGTTCAAGAAGAGATAGTGCACCAACGCAAGTATCAGATGGGGGTCGATCCTATAATGGTGCGTCCTTAGAAATCTGCCTGCGTCGAAAGTGCAACAAGCTTCAGTGTATCCGATGTCCCTTGGACCACCAGGTTACGAAGACAATAAACATGTACAAAATAATTTTAACTACAAATTATTTTGTCATCTTATATTATACGATAAAAATTATTAAACAGATTATTATATTCAAAGTCGGACATAACCGTTTGGCCATTTAATCATTGAAATTGAGATAAGATAGACACATTAATGACTTAGTAGAAAATTCTTATGACACGTTGCACTTGTTTCGATGGGTAAAACGACCTCGCTAAAGCTGTTCTATCAACATGATATCATATATATACTTTTACACTAAATAATGTTCATAAAACTCGGTATGTTCGCATTTTATATGCAGCCCCGACTTAGAGGGGTGGGACGGAGGTGCGACGGTCTGGGGCTTTTTTTTAAAAAAAAAAATTTACATGAAAAAAGGTCCAAATATTTTTAAAAAATATTATTAATATAAAAATTATATTTCAAGAAGCTTAATTCTTTATAAGAAAATGTATAAAAAGGCCCAAAATTTTTAAAATAACAATTTTCAATATAAAAAAAATCCGCAAATTTTTTAAAAATTAAGTAAATTTTCTCTTTATATATAATAATAGGCCAACTGGTAAAGACCCTAGGCAAAGCTTAGAGGTCGCTGGTTCGAGTGACGCTTGGGACGAAACTAATATTACATGTTGTGGTTTCGGGCCTAAGGGGATTACGGGCTTTGGCCCAGAACCTCCTGGTATTCAAAAAAATAATAATAATAATAATAATAATAGGCCAAAAAAATTTTTTTGCCCTAAGGCTCCCAAATATATTGGGCCGGAGCTGGTTATATGGAATGATGTTATGTTCATATCAAAATTTTATCATAAATAATCTCTACACTTAGGTCAAAAATTGATAACTTATAACGTTAAAACTTTTTATAAAAATGTCTTCATGGAATAGGAAGAAAAGAAACTTTTTTAGAGATAAAGGATCACGAGATGGTCGTCAATAACGTTTATTCATCCCGTAAATTTCTTAAGTGATATTTGTTACCACGTGATATATATCAAACTAATTATTTGTCAAGAAAACATTATCGTCGATAATATATATGTTGTATATCGCTTCGTAAAATAAGTTAGTGTTTATATAAATTTATCTTTTAAAATTAGAATTTTTATATTTATGCTCAAATACTTATTTTAAAAATTTTAATGATTATATTTTATGCTCGAAAAATTATATTAATAAAAAAAAAATTAAAATTCCGCGCAACGCGCGGATACAAAATCTAGTTAATTTATAATTTAATACGAATAGAGAAAACAAGCTAGGCTATACGCTATGGTTTTAGTGGCCAATAACCATATCGAAAGGTATGACAAAGAATTAAAACAAAAACAGTCTTTCAAAATTGTAAACTAAACTAGATTTTAACCCGCGGTACACCGCGGGCCTATATTTTCTTAAAAAAATCAAAATGTAATTTGTTTGATAGATTATTTTGATTGTTAATTTTAGGATTTCACCCGTGGTATACGATCTTTTATAAATATCAACCCAAACCCGTCCCATCATATTACCCGTCCCGTGAAATTAAACATTATTTAGTTATTTTTCTTTTTAATAATACTTTTATTTAAAAGCTATATAATTCAAGTCAATTTAAAAATTTCTTTTAAATGGTTCCCATAAGATATATATACATATATATTAAATTTGTATAGAGTTGAAATAATATTAATATTACAAATTTTTTATATAATTTAAATATTATAAATATTTTTAAAAATATGTAATATATATTTTTTGTTATTGAATAAGAGGATATTATGTGTAAGAAATGTAGAAAATAAGAGTTTAATATTTTTATTATGGAGTCGCAAAAAAAATCTTTTATTTCTATACATGTTATTCATTTATTAATAATAAAAGAAAACAAATCCTTTAAATTAGATATTAACTAAAATAAACGCACCATAATTACTTATTAAGTAACAACCAATAAATTTCACCAAAAAATAGGTAACAACCAATAAATTCTAAACGCAATAATTAAAGAATGAGATATTAAAAAAAAAATATCAAATAAGATATAAGAATTTTAAAATAATTGAACATCTAAATAATTTAATTGTTAGTGTCGATTTTAATGCCTTCATTAATGTGGATTTTTTTTTTTTACAGAGAAATATTTCCTAAAGATTATCACATTAATGACTCAGAAAATTAAGGAAGATATGAATTTATGATTCTCGAAATCGTATTGGTAATATCTTTAAGTAATATTTTTCAAATTTAAATAATTAATGCCAATGGCATTCATCCGTAAATAAGGTCCAACTCCAGGATTTATTTGCTAAAAGTCATTCAAAAATGTATATATAGATTGATAACTTTTGCTTCGCCCGGATGTTATATTTCGTTAATCAATTCAAGATTTTGTTATATATATAATTAATTTAGAATGAAGATTTTATTGTAGTCATCAGTATTTTGTTTTGGATTGTTAGTTTAGTGGTTTAGTTGAATGTTGTATTTAAGTTTTGGATAGTAAATATATATTACTATTTATATGTGTTAAGTCCTAAGGAATTATTTTTAATTAAATTCCACATTGTGGGGGAAATACACAAATTAATGTGTTTGCATAAAGTTTTAATTAATAAATCATTTTGATGTGTTAGTGAACATTACAATATATATATCATACATGTAGTATATTTATTGAAAATTTTTGTTTGGTGTTTTTTTAAAACTTTGGTGCACCCATTTATTATTTGTTTGATTTGTTATAATTTTTTTTTTCATCATTCGTTATAAATTTAGAATACAAAGTTTAGTTATAAAAATAGTATTTGCAACCTTTTTATGTGTGTTTTAAAAAAACTAAAACTAGTTCTGATGCACAAAAAATGATTTGAACAATTGCAGAAGTTAGGTGTGTAATAGTGAAAATAGAAATGTTAAATTTTGAAAGAAAATAATAATTTAAAATTTTGCAATATTATTATTTATAAATTAATAATTGGTAATTCAGAAAACCTCTCTACCAATATTTGGTAATTTTATAATTTTTTAAAATTTATTTGATCAAACTAAAATATTTTATTATAAAATAATAATACAATTAATTGTTTAGGATTCATAATAATAAAATATTTTAGTTTGATCAAATAAAATATTAGATTATAGCAACCAAAACTAATTAATAAATCCTAGTTGCGACACGACATCTTGTTAAAACCAAAATATCTACAAGTACAAATATCGTTTGAAATGGCAATTTAGCTAGTTAGCAAGTTAGTCGAAGTTGACGGAACAATTAACTCGTCATGATCAATGGATCCTTTACTAGCTTATTTTATTCATGAACCAAAATGTCACAAGAAGTTGATCATTTTTGGTTTGGCAAACTACTATTTATACGACCTGTACCTAGAGCCTAGCTAGAGGAACCATAAGTTTCATCTCGACTCCTTCCGATATGCTAATTCCATGGTCGTGATAATTGATCACACTGCCAAAGCTTCTAGCATCCGAAAGAATTTGCCTCAACTTGTTACCGACTTGCAAATATATATTTGTCTTGAACATTTTGCACACAATTAATAGCTTCTCCCATCATAATCTTAAACTCATATGCTCAACAAAATTATAGATGAATTATCCTCACTGAGAAAAAACTTATCGATCTCTCCAAATATGAAATTTTCCGTTAGTACGACACTAACCTGAAAAGTTGGCATCCTCTTACGGTTTAGCTTTCTGATTGAACATTTGGTTTCTCTTCTTATATATGTGTATTGTTGAAAGAAGAGTTTTAGCCGCTTAACTCTTACTATTTCACTACTTCCTTAAACATTATCTTACAACAACATAACACTTATATCGTGTTTGTACTTAACCTAATTAGAATTTTTACTTAATAACCGAAACCCATACATATATATTGCGCCTTAGTTCACTTCTAACCCAATGACCTTTTTCTCCTTTTGTTTGTTCCTTGACTCTTATCTTCTTCATTCTGAGACTTCTTCTTCTTCACAGACTCTCCTTCGGCACCATCACCTTCTTTTCTCTATCTTCTGGTTTATTCCTTTATGTGACTTGATCAATCGGAAGATCAACTTCCAACACGTAGGTGGGCATGTTTCACTTTGGGTCTTTGGGGCTTTAATTTGTAACGTTTTCTCTTCTGTTGCTAATGTGGTACAAATCTGCCCAAACAGGGAACGTTGAATTCTAAATAAGGAAGAAAATTACTCTAGTTATTTTAGTTATTAGAAAGCAATAAAATACATAATCTTTTGTTAGTTTTTTTCTTCTGCCCTATGGCTGATGAGAACATGCAATAACACCATGAGTGTCTGAAAAACTTATATAATGCGTTCAGCATTCGTAATTCTAACAACTCCTCTTCCATGAAAATAGTCACATCATATGCACGCATGTAACGTTCATTTTACTTACCTATCACTAAGAATTCATTTGGTTTGATAAAAGAAGACTGAAATATTGTTTACGAGTTCGAAATCTGTTGAAAGAGATATAACAAATATCACCGACGATTATTTCCTGATTGAAGAATTAAATATTCTATGATACTTGAGCTCTATACACACGTCAATTTGGACATTGTCAAAGCAACAAGTCACACAAACAAATTAAAATCCAAAAAAAATCCTAATCAAAAATAAATTTTTTTTTTTTTAAAAAGCGAAAAGTGCAGATGGAGACATTTGCACTGACAATTGGCAACGCTGCTCCACGCCTTCAATCTTATCCATCTCCTTAAAAAAAAAACAATCCAATGCTCTCTCATCTCCACCTTAGTTATCATGGAACACAACGCATTTACCGTTGCACACTCTTTCCAAAAATACCCTTTATCCAGTCAAACGAACATTCCACACTATAAAAACAATGCCGCATAGCAGCTGATTCCACCTAAATATCTATATCCATTTTTTCTTAATCCAAAATTTACAAATCCATAATCTTTCTCTTCTTCCCAAAAACAGCTTTGAGCTTTCTCTCAGATCATCACATTTTACCTAACAATGGCTACAATCATCTCATGCTCCGCTCTTTCCTCGATCCGAGCATCTTCCGAACCCGGGTCTACCAAATCGGATCCATCCCGTAAGAAACCCGTTTCATCGGTTTCATGGTGGGCTCCTCTTTTTGGCATGTCATCGGAACCTGATTACGTCAACAAGAACATCTCCTCCTCCGTGAATCTGGAATCAGATCTGGATAAAACTGACAAGAGGTCTCTGCGGTGTTGTCTCACGGAGGAGAAAGCTAAGCAGCTGCGGAGGAAAACCGCCGAAGCTTCCACGTTTCACGACGTTATGTACCATTCTGCGATCGCTTCGCGACTCGCGTCTGACGTTAGGGTCAAGGAGTAACTGGATCGGGTCACGGACTCACGGATCCTCCGATCTAGAAATAATCAATAATTCGTCGAACTTTTTTCCGATGATACTCAAGAACCGTTTAATTGTGCGTCGTCGTTTTATGTTTGTACGGTCTGGATCTTATGCGATGTAGCTTTCTTGTGAAACCGTTGGATCATTAATTAGTTGTAGCTTTTTATTTTTTTCATTAAAGATGTATGTAATGCTAACCGTTGGATCGGTAGATGAACTTTTAGACAAGTGTTACATATAATTTACCCATCTATAGCACTAATTTGGTTATCAGAGATTCAGAAATTTGGTTTGAGGCTTATAATCAATACTAATTGCAACAACAGAGACTATATAAACTAGGGTTAACTCCTAAGAAAGCTAATATTACTACGATGTAATGTTGATTTAATGAAATTTCTTCATTTTTTGGATATGTCGTCTGTTATCATCTTCCCCAAATTTGATTAACAATGACTAAAATGTTATAAAAATAAAATTTCGGGTGAAAATCTCAAACATATTGCAGTAATTTCTTTATTTCACTGATACTGCTGCTGCAGAGTGGATACTAATCAGCAATATATGAGTGGAAATTACCATTCAAGTACGTTACTAGGTTCCTATAAATGTTGGATAATTGAACACATCGCTAAATCGATCTTGCTTCTTAGTAATGACGTGTCATAAATATAACCGTTGATAATAACATATACGCTTCCTTTATCTTACGCCGAGTACCGCGCACATTAGTCAAACACACAGTTGAAGAGCGCATATTAACCGCACGACGTTACCATCTTCCTCTTAAGAAACCTTCTCTCGCGCTTTTGAAAGGCGCGAATTTCTCAAAAAAGCTTCTGAAGAAATCTCAAACAATTTCATGCAACGATTCTCCGTCTGTTCACCTTCAAGCTATCGTCTCAATCCCATAACATCAATGGCTACTAGATCCGGTTCACTGATTTGGTTCCGGAAAGGTCTCCGGGTTCACGACAACCCGGCTCTTGAATTCGCTTCAAAAGGTTCTGAATTTATGTTCCCGGTTTTTGTAATCGACCCGCATTATATGGAGTCCGACCCATCTGCCTTCTCTCCCGGTTCGTCTCGCGCTGGGGTTAACCGGATCCGGTTCTTGCTTGAGAGTCTCAAGGATCTCGATTCTAGCCTGAAGAAACTTGGTTCACGGTTGCTGGTTCTTAAAGGTGAACCTGGTGAAGTACTGTTTCGTTGCTTGCAAGAGGTAATAATGTAGAAAAATTCAAAATTGTGAAACTAGTTCTACTTTAGGCAATAGAGAAATCTGAAGTGTTTATATTTGTGAATGGTTTTTTTTTGGTAGTGGAAGGTGAAGAGGCTTTGCTTTGAATATGATACAGATCCGTATTATAAAGCTTTAGATGTTAAAGTTAAGGTAAAGTTCGTTTCATTAAGCCTTAAAGTTTTGATCTTGCTTACGAGTGATTGAACTATGCGTGTGTCATTGAGGTTTTAGCTAACTCAAGTGATTTTTATAATCTCTTTAGGATTATGCTTCTTCAACTGGAGTTGAGGTTTTCTCTCCTGTGAGCCATACTCTGTTCAATCCCGCAGACGTTATAGAGAAAGTAAGTGTCAATGCTAACCGAGTTAGTTTAGATATTTCATCTATGGAACTGTAAAATTTATGTACATTTGTGTGGTTTTCTTGCAAGTTAGAACGGTGGGAAGCCACCTTTGAGTTATCAGTCATTTCTGAAGATTGCTGGGGAGCCGTCATGTGCTAAATCTGAACTTGTGATGTCTTATTCTTCACTTCCTCCAGTTGGAGATGTTGGAAATCTTGGCATTTCAGAAGTACCATCTCTTGAGGAACTTGGCTACAGAGATGATGATGAACAAGTTAAGAGATGATCTGTTTTCTTTAAGTAGTTATAAATGATTTCCATCTGAGAATCTTATGCTCGTGTTAATGTCTGTAGGCTGATTGGACTCCTTTTAGAGGTGGTGAATCAGAAGCCTTGAAAAGATTGACCAAGTCAATTAGTGATAAGGTATGGTCAAGAACTTGTAAGTTTTTCTCATTTAGCAAAAAAATGTTAGCGCAATCTGCTCAATTGATATTTTTATATTGACTTCATATATTTATATCTTCTTTATCAAATTCAATAGGGCTGAATTCATTAAGGGTTTTATTTATAGTGTAGGCATGGGTGGCAAACTTTGAGAAACCAAAGGGTGATCCATCTGCTTTCTTGAAGCCTGCAACTACAGTCATGTCACCTTATTTGAAAGTGAGTTACATGACATAGTTTTGCCCACTTAATCTTCTCCCTCCATTTTCCTAACATTTCCGTCTAGTTCCTGATATTTGAGAAGTTTGGATGCCTTTCTTCGAGGTACTTTTATCAATGCCTTCAAAATATTTATAAGGATGTGAAAAAGCATACATCGCCTCCAGTTTCTCTCCTCGGGCAGGTCAGTCAATGACTTAAAAGACTATTTTTTTGTACAGCCCAACTGCAGAAAGTTGATAGCTTTTCCATTTCTCTAGTTGTTGTGGCGAGAATTTTTCTATACCACTGCATTTGGAACCCCTAACTTTGACAAAATGAAGGGAAACCGGATCTGCAAACAGGTAACAACTGTAGTATAGTTTCTTCTCTTATCATGTTACTTCATCTTTTTGATGTTCATGCCTTTTTGGACCAATCTTTTTGTTCCATACGTAAACTAGATTCCATGGAACGAGGATCATGCTATGTTGGCCGCTTGGAGGGACGGTAAGACAGGATACCCTTGGATTGATGCCATCATGGTTCAGGTTAGATTTTAGTCAAACTGAATGCCTTTAGCTTTCCTTGTAAGCATCATTTCTTAATCATTCTTTCTCTGGAATTTAAGCTTCTGAAATGGGGTTGGATGCACCATCTAGCCCGTCATTGTGTAGCCTGTTTTCTAACTCGTGGGGATCTGGTAATGCTGCGTCTAGTATTATTGGTTTCTATTTCCCTCAGCAAATTTTCCTGACATGCATAGTTTCTGGTGTTAGTTCATACACTGGGAACAAGGGCGTGATGTGTTCGAGAGACTTCTGATCGATTCAGATTGGGCAATCAACAATGGAAATTGGATGTGGTTATCGTGTTCGTCGTTCTTTTACCAGGCAATGTCTCCTTTCTTTTTCTCTTTGGCTTCGTTAGCTTTTTTTCTTTATAGTTAAATTGAAGTAAAGCAACTTTTGTGATGCTTACACTTGTGTCCCAATGTATTGTGATGGTTTCAGTACAACCGCATCTACTCTCCTATATCTTTCGGAAAGAAGTATGATCCTGATGGGAAGTACATTAGGCATTTTCTCCCGGTACTTAAAGGTATCTGAAGTTAGTTTCCACATCCTGGTAAGATTGTTTAATGTTTATTCTTTCATTAGCTAATAAGTTTTCTGATTCAGATATGCCAAAGCAGTATATATATGAGCCATGGACAGCACCATTGAGCGTTCAAACTAAAGCAAACTGCATAGTCGGGAAAGACTACCCGAAGCCAAGTTAGTAGTATCGTCTCTATTTACATATACTTAGAAAGATACAAACATTACCGTCTCTATTTAAAATTTTGTTAATTTGAGGTTGCTGATAGATAAAGTCATAAAGTTGCATAGTTCTAACTTTGTTGTTTGCAGTGGTATTGCACGATTCAGCAAGCAAGGAGTGCAAGAGGAAGATGGGTGAAGCATACGCATTGAACAAGAAGATGGATGGTAAAGTAGATGAAGAAAATTTGAGAGATTTGAGGAGAAAGCTTGAGAAAGATGAACATGAAGAGTCCAAAATCAGGAACCAACGACCAAAACTCAAATAGGTAAGGATTAAAAAAAAAAAAAAACCATTTCTGCGATTAATGAAGAGGGTATTATTACAACAACTGTAGCTGTTATAACTTAGTCATGGTTTTCATTTATTTCTATGTAAAAAATCTGTTATGCAACAATGTTATGTCATGTAAACACTTCACTCAAGGCAAATATAATTCTTTGAATTTTTGGACAGAGATGTAATTCGTAAACTAACGGTGCTAATTCGTAAAAACGTGAAAAATATCGGAATGAAATTGAAGAAGACAAAGAAATAGCTTCCAGAAATAGAAATCTCTCAGACCTCTAGAGCCCTTGCTGGTTAATTATATAGCAAAAGCTTCCTTCTTCTTCTTCTTACAGTTACTTTCTTCTTCGATTTGCCAATTTTTGTTTCTTTTGTAATTTTCCTTTATTTTTTTTTTCTTTTGAATTTTCGGGAAGCAGCATTTCCACTGGAGCTGCAATAATCTTCCTATCAAAATTATAGATCGATCCAAGTTTTAGATTCGAGAAAATTTTTCTCCAAATTTAGACTAATATAAAATCGAAATAGACAGGAATTTTTGTTTTGTCGGATTTGATCAGCTGTCGTTCTTTGGAATTTTAGCGCCAATTTTACCACTGAATCGTTTAATTAGAAGCTGCGATTTCTTCTTAGGATCGATCAAATTAGGGTTCTTCTTCTTCTTCTTCTTCAGTGTATGTTGTCGTTAAAATTAGTAAAAAGAGATGGAGAAGAAGAAAGTAGCGACTCCGCTAGTGTGCCATGGCCATTCAAGACCTGTTGTGGATTTGTTCTACAGTCCAATCACACCTGATGGTTTCTTCCTCATCAGCGCAAGCAAAGGTAAAAAATAATCTTCTAGATTTGTTATTATTGTAAGATCCAATAATTGAGGAATTTGTTCTCTTCACCATTGTTGTTGATTGGCTTTGTTTATTATATGAAACTTGTTTTGCTGGAAACTCTCTTCATGGCTTCTTCTTGATCATTAGATTCTCATCCAATGTTGAGAAATGGGGAAACTGGAGATTGGATTGGTACATTTGAAGGGCATAAAGGTGCTGTGTGGAGTTCTTGTCTCGATAACAATGCTTTACGTGCAGCTTCCGCATCTGCTGATTTTTCAGCGTAAGTGATGGAGAATATGAAAGAAAGCAACTGTTATTGTTGATTTTGGCTCGAATCGGTTGATTGATGTCCTGCCTATTCTCATTCATGATTTCATTAGTTGGTGACATCTATAATTGGCTTACATAATCTCTTTAGGAAACTTTGGGATGCTTTGACCGGGGATGTCTTGCATTCTTTTGAGCACAAGCATATTGTTCGAGCATGCGCCTTCTCTCAGGTATAGTGAAGTTCTTTCGTCGATTAAGGTAGATTGGACTATCTTGTACTGGTCTTGCTATATGTTTCCCTTCATTGTTCATTTATTCTGCTCAAAGAAACGGTATTATGTAAGAATCAGGCATGTATGTGTCTAACTTGGTTCTCTCATCAGGATACGAAATCTCTGATCACAGGAGGATTTGAGAAAATTCTTCGTGTTTTCAACTTGAATCGCTTGGATGCACCTCCTACAGAAATTGATAAATCTCCTGGTTCTATCAGAACACTAGCTTGGCTTCACGGTGATCAAACGATATTAAGTTCTTGCACCGATATTGGCGGTGTGAGGTATGAAGTAAATATCTCATCAAAAAAAAACTCTCTCTGAAAATTAGACCGATCGAGATACTCAATGAAACGTTTCTTGTCTCATCGTCTTGAACAGGTTATGGGATATGAGGAGTGGCAAAATTGTGCAAACTCTAGAAACCAAGTCTCCTGTCACCAGTGCTGAAGTGAGTCAAGATGGACGTTATATCACAACTGCCGACGGATCAACTGTTAAATTTTGGGATGCAAATCAGTAAGCTCTCATTCCTTTTTTCGTTTTTTTTTTTAATCCTTTGCATTCTCCTGAAAGTGTTTTATCTTTGTCTTGGTAACTTGCAGTTTTGGACTAGTGAAGAGTTACGACATGCCCTGCAATATCGAATCTGCGTCGCTTGAGCCTAAATCTGGCAACAAATTCGTTGCTGGTGGAGAAGATATGTGGGTTCGACTCTTTGATTTCCACACCGGAGAGGAGATTGGTGAGTGACTAAAAACTAAAACCACTTGACTAAGCTGTTCTAGATAAGTCACACAAAGTCTTTGGTTTTGATGGGTTTCTTTTTCTCTAAATTTTAGGATGCAACAAGGGACATCATGGTCCAGTTCACTGTGTGAGATTTGCACCAACAGGTGAGTCTTATGCTTCAGGATCTGAAGATGGTACCATCAGAATCTGGCAAACTGGTCCGGTGAATCCTGAAGAGAACAACGAATCAAAGCCGAAGCAGAGTGTGGATGAGGTCACTCGTAAGATTGAAGGCTTTCACATTAACAAGGAAGGGAAAACCGCAGAGAAACCATCTGATGCTTAAACCAAGAAAAGAACAACAACAAAAATGGCTGCTTCTCTTGTCTTCTTACTGTGTTTTTACTTCCAGACTGAATATACGGAAATTTAAAACAAAGTCTTTTAAGGAACACACTGTCTTTTGTCTTTCTTCTTCTGAGTCAAGCTTGTGGATGTGGCTGATCATTTACGAAGTTATGGGGTCTATTTACTGCTTAAAAACTATATAGTAGGGTCAATTTGTAATATTCAGTAATTCGACAGGGGATTTTGGGTTTTCGATGTGACCATGACAAGTGAAATGACAAATGAAAATTAGCGTAGACCATAGGGGTAAAAGAGTCAATCTAAGTCCCACAAAAATCTCCTTGAAAAGATCTCTGCGTCCTCCTAGACTCCTAGTAGTACTTGTTTTTTTATCTGCTACGGATCTCCCTCTTCTTTCCCTCTCTCTCTCCCTTCTCTCCCCTCTCTCCGAGTGTAAGACTTTTTTTTTGGCGGGAAAATGTCTGGAAAAGGAGCGAAAGGACTGATAATGGGGAAACCCAGCAGCAAAGACAAGGACAAGGACAAGAAGAAACCAACCACTCGCTCTTCTCGTGCTGGTCTTCAGGTCAGTCTCTCCTTGTGTTCTCTACTTACTTGTCTTCAGATGTGTGAGTTGTGTAAGTGACAGATCTGCGAGGTTCTTAATTTCTGAGCTTAGATAGAATCGATATGTGTGTATCTGTAACAGAAGATTTATTTAGTCCTCTGTTTTAATTTCTGCAATTTTTTTTTCTATAGATTTTGGTGATAATTACATTGTGTAGACCGTTGGGTAATGAAGTAGTATTCATATTTAAGAATATTGATGAGAAATCTTAAGGTCTTCATAGCTTTAAAAAGCTATGATGGGTTTTGGTCCTTAAAACCTGCAAAGTGGTCTTTAAAATGGTTGACTCCAAATCCTAGCTTGAGAAACAAATGTTTTATTGTCGAATCTTCTTGCTGCGTTGATGAGTTTATAGATATTGGAATTGGTGTGTGAGTTTTTTCTCTTTTGTTTGCAGTTTCCAGTGGGAAGAATCCATAGACTGTTGAAAGGTAGGTCAACTGCTCATGGACGTGTTGGAGCAACTGCAGCGGTTTACACAGCTGCTATATTGGAGTATCTGACTGCAGAAGTCTTGGAGCTGGCTGGTAATGCGAGCAAGGATCTGAAAGTGAAGCGTATCACGCCAAGGCACTTGCAGCTCGCTATTCGTGGTGACGAGGAGCTCGATACTCTCATCAAAGGAACTATTGCTGGTGGTGGAGTCATTCCTCACATTCACAAGTCTCTCATCAACAAATCTGGCAAAGAATAAAGCCTTTTTCTCTGTACTACTATCTCTCTGTATTCTCGGATCTCCTTTTGTAACAGTCGTGTGTATGTTTAAGATCCACTAGTAGAGAAACTCTTAGGGTTGTTTGTTTTTTAAGGTTACACTTCCACATGTGTGGTGTGGCTTTGTTTCTCCTTCTGATTAACTTTTTGGGGTTTGTTCATGTAAAACGGATGCAAAGAAAACCAATTTAAGAGGAGATTTGACTGATAACTAAATCTTTGCAAGATGCATAACCTTAATTTCTATGACATCAAGACCTGTCAACTAATTTTTCTATGTACCCTACCAAAAATTAGCATCAGCCTACTGCGAGTTAGTGTATAAGGTCATTGCCTAGTTGCCACCTAAAGACAAAAGGGGTTTTACATCAGCTAGATTCCTGAAACCTAAACCAAAACCGACGAGTGGTCTTCTGTGTTTGTTAAGAGAAGTTGTTTTATGCACATTGTCCCTTTCCTTTGGTTCCTTGATGATTTTTGTGCCTCATGATGTCAATCTCCTTGGCTTGTATCTACAATGGATGAAGAAAGAAGGTAAAAGACCGGGAGGGACAGCAAAACATGTGTTCATAGTCTACTCTGAAAAGAGTAGAAAGAAAAAGCAGACCTCGAATAACTTCTTCCACATCGATTCTGACTTTGCCTGTTGAGCGAACCACTCATAGGCCATAGGTTCTACAATGTGGTTGGGCTGCGTGCAGTGTGATGTTGAAACGGCCTTTCTCTTTTGGAACAGGTTTAGAAGAACAATATTGTGTGAGACAATGTTTTGTATTCGGGAATTTTGAGAGAGTTGAAACAAGAAAAATCTTTGACATGACTAATGCAACAACTTACCTTCTGAGTTGTCATCATTGATCTATCCACCATGCTAAAATGGCCAGTAAAGCTTCTACATCTTCCAATTTCGAGTGGGACCTTTTTGCTACCCAATAGAGGTCTGCAAATGGATCATATTAGAGAAAAGGAAAGAAGGGTTTGATGGAATTTACATACATGTGAGAAATAGAATATCAGAGAGTAGTAAGTAACCTCTGGCCAGGTAACATCAGGCACTTTTCAGTTAACTGCGACATGGCAGAATCAGCTGCCTTTGTGGTTCCAAAAATCACAAGAGCCCTGCCTGATTGGGTAAATGTAGTTTAATTTGTTGCATTGACAGAATTTTTTACCATTATGAGCTACCAAATAGACAAAGGTAGGTGTAAAAATACACATATACCACTATGTGGGCTAGACACAAGACTTGAAGGGATCATCTTAGCATCAACTGCTTCTTTGAAAGCTTGCCTACATAGATCCTGAACAGAACAAAAAGGAAACGGCGAGGAGTGTTATATTTTACAAGCTTTATAGAATGATTGCTAATTGTCTTTGATCAACATATGTAGATGGCATTGCATTGACAACATCAAATAAGATTCAGAGAATATTGCAGAATCACTAACACATACCTCTACCTCCAGCGATGTGTATGATGGTTCAAGGTTCTCAATTAAGAGCACCCTACCTTTTTCTATAGCCGGTTTTAGTTCGTCCTCAAAAGGCTGGAAAAAGGAATATAGCAATATTAAATGAAGAAACGAGTGGTTTTAGAATAACTTTTTTCTGAACCTGGACAAATCGTTTAACTAACTTTATCTTAACTATTTCATAGTTATTGTGAACAGTAATATTCCCTTGGTCTGATTTCGTGTGGTGAAAGCCAATAATGAAAAACATTGGCTATTGGAATGAAAAGTTTTCTAATTCTTCTTAGAAGCGTCAAAGAACTTACCAATTTCTTGTACCAGCTTTTTTTCTCCTGTAAGGCAGACAAAAGGAGAAAATAATTTGGAAATGTCATAAGTTAATACTTAATACTATCTAATCAACAGTGTGAATAATCTTTTTGCTATGCTCAAGCAAAGAAATAGTACACTACTTTTGTGGTGTAAATTGTTAACATTCTCTCAGCTAATCCACCGAAAGAAGAAGGATAGAGAAAGTACGTACGATGTTCTGACTAGGAGCTTTTTCTATAAGAGGAGGATTTTTCATGATTTTCTTCTCTCCTGATTGAGGGCCTGGATCATCTGAATCATCTGTTTCTGGTGTGTTGAGTATAAGCTTCCTCTTTTTAGAAGGCTTAGCATCGACTGATGAACCTGAAGCATATAACTCCCCAAATGCTCTGGTTTTGAGTATCGGACCTCTTGACGTGGTATCAGTATTGATAGGAGGGTTTTTCTTCACATGTACATGACCAGCACGGTCCTCCAGAAAAGAGACTTGCAAAATAAAAGTAAATGTCAATCTGGTTTGTCTATTTCACAAGTATATATGAGATAAGAGGCCAGAAAAGATAGGAAAAAGGATCAACCTTTCTTTAACGAGCTTGTTCTACTCATCAGCTTTCCATCTCTGTTATCATTTTTTCCTAACTTTGTTGATCCCAAATCTGGACGAAAATGTTTAACTGGAGAAGCCCTAGTACTGGCAGCTGCGCTTGAGTTTACACGTTTTACAGGCTGTTTATCTCTTCTCATGTTGAAGAGTTTATCCACTGCATTATTAGAGCCAGTAGAACGTAAAATTAGCTAGATCCATTCTCGAAGAGTGTTAGGGGTTGAACAATAAAGTATAGTCATTTTGTTCTAATCCAAACCTCCAATTCCAGCTATAGCATCTGCAAAGTCTTCTGATATAATTCTCAGTATTGTATCGAAGGTGCGGGAGAAGACATAGTTAGCTCTCCTCAACTCATTGCTTCCTGGTCGTGGATTTCTTCGGTCCTCAGATGTGCATACAACATTGCATTTCCCCATGATGGTCTCCTGGACCAAACAACACAGGAAACCCTTACATCTATAGTAAACATATCATCAATCTAAATTACTATTCCGATTAAGTAAGAAGGAGATGAAAAGGCAGCAAACTTACGACATCATTGATATTGGAAACCCCTTTTTCATCACCACAAGCCAGAAACAACTCATCCCATTGTGGCTCATAGTCTCCCAAGAAGCGATGGATGTCGATAGGTCGAAAAAACCAAATGACCTTGACTTTCTTCTCACCTGCTGATGTCTCGTACATGCTGACAAGCTTCCCAATTGAAGTCTCACATTGACCATGTATGTAAAAGTAAGCACAGTCAAAAAGCCAGTACTCGATGCCGTCATAGGTAAATGATTCATAGAACCGGACTTTATTATCTTTCCGACCCACCCCTCTCTTAGCACCCCACTTAAAATCAGGTTTCTCTACTCCACCGGCACTATTCGATTGCAACATAGAGAAGTTATCCTGCTGTGATATTCCCATACTGTAGAAGAAAGCAGAAGATAAACATAATAAGATGCAACCAAAGTAACACCAGAGAGTGTAAGATCATGGATAAGTTCATCATCCTTTTGAGTTTTAGACCTAAGGCGTTCTCAACTTCAAAAAGAAACTTTGCAAGCACATGATTAAAGTAATGCCTAACTAGGATAGTATAAGGTTCAGTAAAGCACTGTCAAAAATAACCCCACAAAACAACACAAGGCAACATTCTCATCTTACTAACCTATGCAGTTTCTACCATTCTCAAGCATAAACTTGCTAGGAATTGAAGTGATTACTGAATAACCAAGCCATTTTATGAAGCAAGTACTAAATACAGTTACTGTGTACAAATCTTCAACCAAAAAACCAAGCCACCTATAATTTCCGAGTCTCAAATACATGAAAATCGCTTACTGTTCATAAGCTCCACACAAAAGCAACAGATACAACAGTGATTTCGAAATACCAGAGATAATCTGTATAAAACAAGGTGGCTTTTAGCAACGTCGATCAGAAAATCCAACAAATAGACCGGAAAACACTCAACGTTTAGCGACAAAAACGCAAAACTGCACGGACGTTGCTTCCGATACAACAAAAGCAGCTCACAGTTTCTTAAAATCAAAAAGCAACAACGGTTAAAAGACCATAGAAGAGAGGAGAAGCTATACCGGAAGCTAAATCGTCGATCGGAAGAGAATCCGTACAATGCAGAACAAACGACGTGAAAAGTGAAAACGACAAGGAGAAATCGTCTCGTAGGAGGATTTTAGGTCACCGGAGCTGTTTCACAGCGACGATCGAGGGTTTTGAGAGAAGAAAACAGACCCGAAAAGGGTTTTTGAAGGATTTTGCAAAAATAAGAAAAAGTGTGACTTGAAAATGCTGACGATGGATGCTGCTTCATGGAAATCTCTGGAGTTAGCTTAATTATGAATTAATCACTGTAATTAGTAAGTTTTAAACTAACCTTGACTACTCTCTTTTTTTGACGCACGTCTTTGTTTTATCCAGATTTTAAAAAAAAAACACTGACAGTTTTCTTAAGCCATTTTTTTTAATTAATCTCCTTTTTACCTTTTTAATCTTACACGTTACATTAACTAAACCCAGTGTTCAAGAAAGCGCTAGGCGCTAAGCGGGCGGTGACCCAGTGCCTAGCGCCTAGAACGCCTAATCAGGGCCTAGACGATTTTTTAGGCGGTTTAGACGTTTATAACATAAAACATTATCAATATAATATTATATATAAAAGTTATATAAAATATCTATATAAAACTAAAAATTATGAAATTATATATAAAAATTAGATAAAATATTTATTTATATTTATATTAAACAATATATGAATATTTATAACTATATATATAAATAAAACTCTAATTGAAATTGAAAAAATATATTAAACAAGATCTATATAATTTTAGGCGGTCAAGGCGGTTATCTAGGCGTCGCATGAGAGCCTAGCGCCTAGTCGGGGCCTAGGCGACCGCCTAGACCGCTTTTTAGAACACTGACTAAACCCATTACCCTATATTACCGTAGCTGTAAAAATTAGGCAGCTGTCATTTCAGATATTCATTTTTGGGTTCCCCATAATTTTAGCTTTTAAAATCGAGATAAAAACAATTATAATTCATTTGTTTATTTATGTTTTTTAAAGCAAAACTAGAAATTTATTTATTTTTATAAAATCCTTCAAATAATGTCAAATACATTTTTCATAGAAATAATTTGGTATAAGCATGATCGCTGTTGGAAAAACTTACACATATCATTTATTGTGTTATTTGGATGGTAAGCCGTAGTTATATGATTTCAAACATTTTGGACGTTTGAGATTGGCACCAAACATCTCTTTATTTAGCAATTGACAAATATACCCTTTAACCACCTCACACGTTTGGGAAAAAGAGTACTATTTCGTTGGCACGTATAAACCCTAGCAGAGGCATTAAACCCTGATAAAGTTTTCTTGTCGTCTAGTAGTTAGGGATCACTTCTCTCCGGCGAAACAATCACTCGAAAATCGTAAGTCTCTCATACGTCTCCATTTCTGAGTTTTTGATTCGATTTCAGATTTTATATTTCTTTGTCTTTAGTGTTTACTTTACGAGAAATGGGTTTTAGATTCTTAAGGCTTGTAATAAAATGGTTTTTGATACAATCAATTTCGATTCTTATTAGTGTTGTGTTGCTTCTCAGGATCCTAACCTCAATTGATTGAAGGAAGTAATGTATTCGCTTTCGAGGATTCTCCGAAGGTAAAAAAGTTTTTTATTTTCATTTCTTAGAGCTCTTGTGTGTGGTTTAGCAGCAAGCAAATTAGATCTTCTCTAATGGGTTTTTGTTCCTTTTATGATTTATGTGGATTGAAAGTTTTTTTTTTTTACTTGATTGTGTCATTTAGGAGTCGAAGATATAACTTTGCATCTTCCTCGTTTGGTGCGGTCAGTAAATTAGAAGTATCATCAAGTGGTGGTGACAAAGAAAGGGTCTTTAAATCATCTGGACTGATTTATAATAAATCTCAAGGTTTAATCAGACTTTATTCCACAAGAGATGTGTTTTCACGGTTCTTTGGTATCCATAAGCTTTCTTCTATAGCTGATGCTAAAGACAAAGGAGATGAGGTAGTAAGGGAAGAGGAGTTGTCTGAATCAGAGGAGGCGTTTCCTGTTTCTGGGGATGTATCAGAGGGAGTTGTTGATGATGATTCTTTGTTCGAGTCTGAGGTTGCTAGTGACAATGATGGTCTTGAAATTGAAATGGAACACTCAAAAGGTGGGAAACCAACAAAGAAAAGAGCTCAATCTGAGCTATATGAATCCATTGTTGCCTATAAATCAGTGAAACATGTTCTTGAAAAATGGGTCAAAGAAGGAAAAGATTTGAGTCAAGCTGAGGTTTCTCTTGCTATATTCCATCTGCGTAAACGTAAATACTATGCTATGTGTTTACAGGTAAATATGTTCTCATTTCTACTTTGCCACATCGTTTATTGTTTTGTCTCTATCACCCTCTTAATGTGTATGTCTTTGCTTTGGCTTTTCAGTTGTGGGAGTGGTTGGGAGCTAATACGCAGTTTGAGTTCACAGAGGCAAATTATGCTTCTCAACTGGATTTGGTGGCCAAGGTACATAGTTTACAAAAAGCTGAAAACTTTTTGAAGGATATTCCAGAATCTTTCAGGGGAGAAGTGGTATACAGAACCCTGCTGGCAAATTGTGTACTTAAGCATCATGTAAATAAAGCTGAAGATCTTTTTAATAAAATGAAAGAACTAAAATTTCCAACAAGCGTGTTTGCTTGCAACCAGCTGCTTCTCCTCTACAGTATGCATGATAGAAAGAAGATAAGTGATGTTTTGTTGCTAATGGAGAGAGAAAACATCAAGCCGAGTCGTGGTACGTATCAGTTTTTAATCAATAGTAAAGGTTTAGCCGGGGACATAACTGGAATGGAGAAGATCGTGGAGACAATGAAGGAAGAAGGTATCGAAGTAGATCCAGAACTGCAGGCTACTCTGGCTAAGTACTACATAAGAGCGGGGCTTAAAGAACGAGCACAAGACCTTATGAAGGAGATAGAAGGGAAAGGTTTGCAACAAACTCCATGGGTGTGCCGGTCATTACTCCCACTTTATGCAGACATAGGAGACAGTGACAATGTGAGAAGACTGAGTACGTTTGTTGATCAAAATCTGAGATATGATAATTGCATTTCTGCTATTAGAGCATGGGGAAAGCTGAAGGAAGTGGAAGAAGCAGAGGCAGTGTTTGAGAGACTTGTGGAGAAATACAAAATTTTCCCTATGCTGCCATATTTTGCCCTCATGGAGATATACACAGAGAACAAGATGCTAGCAAAAGGCAAAGATCTGGTTAAAAGAATGGGAAATGCAGGGGTTACGATTGGCCCGTCGACATGGCACGCTCTTGTGAAGCTATACATCAAAGCGGGAGAAGTTGGAAAAGCTGAGTTGATATTGAACAGAGCTACAAAGGATAATAAGATGAGACCTATGTTCATTTCTTACATGGCGATTCTCGAGGAATATGCAAAAAGAGGCGATGTTCATAACACAGAGAAGGTATTCATGAAAATGAAAAGGGCAAGCTATGCAGCTCAGCTTATGCAGTATGAAACCGTTCTGTTGGCTTATATCAAAGCCAAAACTCCTGCTTACGGGATGTTTGAGAGGATGAAGGCAGATAATGTGTTCCCAAACAAGAGTCTTGCTGCGAAACTGGCTCAGGTTAATCCATTTAAAAAGTGTCCAGTGTCTGTTTTACTTGACGAATGACAATAATCATCCTATGTATTGAGCGAGCTGTTTTGTTTGTTCTGTTTGCTTCCAAGCTAGGAAATAATAAATAGAGGATTCGTTTTTCTTCCAAAGTTTCTCACTTTGAGGTCTGTGTTCTTGTGGTTTTTTCAAGTGACAGAAATGAATGAAATTGGAACTAAATTGAACCGGACAAGAGATACGTGGACTGTCGTGGAGGCACTTACCGAACTGAACCAAAAACTAGACCAGTATAATTTGGAGGACAAAACCGAGAGAAATTAGTGAAAACCGTAAATAAATAAAACACGTAGATCAGAAACTGACATGAACCGGGTCGGGTATCTACAAACCAATCGTGTGGGACCCAACAGCGCGATAAGGGAATAAAAAATACAAAATTGCGGTGAGCGTGGATCGAACACGCGACCTTCAGATCTTCAGTCTGACGCTCTCCCAACTGAGCTATCCCCGCTTGTTAACGATAAGACTAATAGCTAACGTCTATTTTCTTTCCTATTTTCTTATCATTCGCTTTGACTTCGCCGCTTGCTTTGCTTTCAAGAGACGGAGACAAAAACACACACGACGAAGAAATCTCCCGGTGGTCGAAGAAGATGAAATCGTTCAAGGAACAATACACGTTAGGTTTGTGTCTATTTCAAGATCGATCACCGTTTATATAATACTAATCGTTGGTTGATCAATAACCTTATCTCTTATTTGCAGGTGAAAGGCTCGCAGAATCGCGAGAGATAATCGCTAAGTACCCTACTCGGATTCCTGTAAGTTAATTCAAATTGATTTCTCTGATATATTCAATTATCAGATGTACCCTAAGATGATGATTTTGCTTTTCAATTTTCTGAACTCAATGTGTTGGATAATTTGTAGGTAATTGCAGAGAAGTATTGCAAAACAGATCTACCTGCGATCGAGAAAAAGAAGTAAACAATTTCTCATCTTAAGCTGTATTTTTGATGATTTGTTTTATAGGAAGTGTGATGATGATATGACTTGTTTTGGAATGTTTTAGGTTTCTGGTTCCAAGAGATATGTCAGTTGGTCAATTCATCTATATCTTGAGTGCTAGGTTACATTTATCTCCTGGTAAAGCGTTATTCGTGTTTGTGAACAACACTCTGCCTCAAACTGGTGAGTTTTTTCTTGCTGCAATTGGGTTTTACTTGTAGGCATAGTTTGTTTGATGTGTTTTGTTTTTCCTTTTCTCTGCAGCTGCTCTGATGGACTCTGTCTATGAGTCTTACAAAGACGAAGATGGGTTTGTTTACATGTGCTATAGCAGTGAGAAAACCTTTGGCTGAGCCAAAATGATGTTAGTGTACATATACTTTGAAACATAAGCTGTTCACTACATTGAAAGACACAAACTCTTGTTAAGCTTATATGACTGCTTGTTTTATCCTTAGACTTTGTTCATCTGTGCAAATGTTTCTACTACAATCTCAAATCCTACTAGTATTTCCCCAAAACGCTCTCTTTGTCATCATTGTTCATCTTCCTGAAAATTCAAAAGATCAATGGGTTGTTTTACTTTTACTAGGGGAAGAGTTTTGTGCTTCCTCTCCGGCAAGCACCACGAAGTGGCAATCAACCGGTAAGAGTTCTGGCTACTTTTGGAGTTATCTTTATTAGATTCTAGTTCAGGGGCTGGGCTGCAAACATAAGAATTAAGACTTGGCATACAATTCTGATAGTATATGTCCCAGTGTCTATGTATTTTTTAGTGTGGCTGTTTTTCTGTTCTTACACCTTTCCTGGCTTCTAATTACATAATTGCTTGTGCATTCAATAACTCCAATCTTCTCCTGATATATAATCATCTTCTACCACCTTAAACATGCCTTGCCGTTCCTGTTTTTCATATCATTCAAGAAAATGGAAGCTCTTCTGTTGAACAAAGGTATACTTTCATTACCATCAAAAGCCAGTGGAATCAAAAGGTGCTTGCATCCAACAAAATGTCTCAAGGCAGAGAAATTTGGTGACAAATTCCAAAGCCATGGACAGTGTTTTCAAATGTGTGCCCAAAAAGGTAGTATAAGCTTTGTTCCGAAACTTCTTGAATCCAACATTTGAACCACTAGGTATTTTTCTTTACATGTAAGGATGATTGAATATCAGTTTGTGCAAAGGAATGTCAGAAACCCAAAGAACAACAGTCAAACCCATATCTGCAAATGGGCCTTTAATGGGCTAAACCGGTTGGTATGATATCACACTCGTGATGTGATGTGATAATGAATGTTCAATGGGAACAAAAAGAAAAGGAAGAGAGAATCTTATTTTTGGCATGTACGTATGGTTGTGATAATACAAGCGGCATTGTGATATTCTAAAACGGGACCATTCATTGTCGTTCATCTACAAAACCACATGGAGAGAAGGATATTACAAATTATCGAAGCAGAGAGACTATGATTTATTTGTCTTCTTCGAAATATTGTTTTTTTTAGCTAAATGCATAGAAGCTTATCTAGTTATAGTCTCTTTCCACGGTCAAAATTGTAGTCGTTCGTGAATGTACTTTGCGTTTTATAATTGTTGGAAATTTTTCTATACAAAACAGCTACTGTTTGAAAATTTGTCAACAAAATGATCCTTTTTAGGTAATTCTTGTTTTAGACGACCAAAACCAAACTTAACTACATAATGTTGGAGTTTATTACAGTCGAAATCAAACTAAGAATGTAAAAACCTATATAGCAATTAATTGATAACACTAGAATACAAATACCATTTAGCATCTCAGAGTAAGACAATGACGAGTCTATGCATTAATTTCATTCCCTTTGTCATATATATAGGTAAAATATCTATATAATTGTTTTTAATATATATCGAGGCAAATCAAGAGAATTTGTCTTCATCCCTTCTCTTATCGGCACTTTCCTCCACAGCCTCTCAATCTTCTAACATTAGGATCACTCGTCTCATCTCTGATCAAAACCGTATTAAGATCATTATTGCATCTATTATTATACAGCTATAATTCATAATATAAAGTAAAATCTATACTACAGAAATATTCATATGATTCTAGTAACCTTCACTTTTTATTTTCTTAATCGAACGATGTCTTAGCATTAAAAGAGTATATATGTGATCAGTGGCGGAGCCAGGAAAATTAGTTATGGAGGTCATAATATTTTTTTGTTATAAATATTAATTTTATTATGAAAAAATATCATCACAATTTTTTTTAGGTTGCATAATTAAGTTTTAAACAACAAAATCAATAAGAAAAAAACTTAGTTAAAGCCTAACCGTTTGTTAAAAAGCACAACAATAATGTTGAATCTCAGTTAAAATATAGATAATTCCTAAAATTAATGATATATTTCTATTTCAAATTTTTTTGAGAGGGGTCAATAATATTTGAGAGGGGTGTCAGTAGTATTCTTGGACATGTGTCAAATAATTATTTTAACAAACTTAAGCTGAAAATTTTAATTTTATGGGTGTCATACAGGGGCGGACCCACTTACAAGAAAGGTGGGTCACCTGACCTGGGTAAACTAATCAAATATATTTTAGTGTATATAAGCAACAAAAGTTCCAACAGCATAGTTGGTATTTTCCAAGTTGTTGACACATCTAAACCCGGGTTCAAGCATCCCAAATGACATATTTGGTCTTTTTTTTTTTCCATTTTAACTTAAATGCATATCTTTTTGTCTTATATACTTTAAAAAAATAAAAAATAACAGCAGTTTATATACTCTTTTTTTATTTGCTTATGAAATTTTTTTTTTTAAATATTGACCCGGGTAAAATTTGTGATCAAAAAGTTAATTAATATACATAAACTGAATACAGAATTTGTTTTTGCATGGAACCTATATAGATATAAATCCGAAAATAGAATAAAACACTTTCTCATGTAGTCAATTCTATGAACTAAATAATTTTAGACCCATAATAAAATTCAAACTAAAATCAGAAAAAATGTTATGATTTGATTGTCGGTCACTATTAAGGCAGCTACGATGTAGTATTAATAAATATTGTGAATGTGTGTATCCGAAAATGAAATCTAATTAAATTCGTTCGTTATTTTCTAAAACTTGCAAAACTATTTAAAACAAAAAAAAAAATGGAATTTTGTGGAAGTCATGATTATGTTCTCCGATGAGCTTTTCGAGCAAAAACCATAAAACCAAACGTAAAAGAAAAGACCATCACTTCACTTTGCTTTCTTCTATATAAAACCATCTTCTACTCCACTACACATCGAGAGCTCACTGTGAACAAAAAACTCGAAACAAATGAAGAAAACACCTTCGCCGGAACCAGTCACCATCTACGGCAATCAGCAAGAAACCTTCGTCGGAGATATGGAGTACTACACTTACTTCGACGAATCTTGTATCCAAGACATGAACTATTTCGTCAAAACAATCACCGGAATCAAATCCAAAGGAATCAGACCAGACCTTATCGGTTCCATCATCGCTCATTATGCTTCAAAATGGCTCCCTGATCTCTCCGGCAACGTCTCCGCCATCATTTCAACCTCCGTGGAATCCAAGAACCACCTCAATGACACACAGCCGGAGAGCGTCACTGCATCTGTAATGAAGAAACGATTTTTCGTCGAAACACTAATCGGAATCCTCCCGCCGGAGAAAGACTCTGTTCCTTGCAATTTCCTCCTCCGTCTCCTCAGGACAGCGAAAATGGTCGGAGCTAATACGAACTACTTAACGGAGCTTGAAACCAGAGTCTCGTGGCAGCTTGACCAAGCCTCTCTCAAGGAGCTTATGATACCTTCCTTCAGCTACACGTCTGGTACTTTGCTTGACGTTGAGCTTGTGACGCGTCTCGTGAACAAGTTTTCTGGATTGGATAGTGAAGGTGTTAAAACCAGTGCGGCTCTTGTTAAAGTGGCCAAGCTTGTTGACTCTTATCTCGCTGAAGCCGCCGTTGACGGTGCTTTGGCTTTACCGGAGTTTATTTCCTTAATCACAGCTCTTCCTAGCCATGCTCGTACTACAGAGGACGGCTTGTACCGCGCCATTGATACATATCTCAAGGTAATGGTAAATATCTTGGATTGAAATTGAGATTCAAGATTCAAGATTAGGACTCATTTCAAGATTTGAATTCAATTGCAGGCACATCCTCAGGTGTTGAAGCAAGAAAGGAAGGAACTTTGCAGACTTATTGATAGCAGAAAGTTATCACCGGAAGCAGCTCTTCACGCGGCTCAGAATGATCGTTTACCGGTGAGAGCAATCATTAGAGTTTTGTTCACTGAGCAGACAAAGCTAAGTCGTCACATTGACTGGAATGGTAGCTCTATAAGCAGCACGACGAAGAGTCCAACAAACCCTTCTGGTTCACATTACTTGGAGGGAGGTTCTGCAGCGCGGTGCTTGTCTAAACGTGAGATGAATGTTCAGCAAGCAGAGATAAGAAGGCTTAGAGAAGATGTGGTGAGGCTGCAGAGCCAGTGTAGTGCTATGCATTTGCAGGTGGAGAGGCTTATGGAAAAGAAGAGTAGTGGTGGAAGTAAAGGGTTTTTCCGGTGGAAGAGGCTCGGGTTAGTACCGTCAATTCGAGGAAGTGTTAGCGTTGAAAAAGGTGAGGAAGAATCTGGTGATGGTGAAGGATTTGAGCCTCGGACTCCTGGGAATATGAAGACAAGGCTTGTCAAAGGAAGAACGACACCTTCAAGGTGGAGAAAATCTATGTCTTAAATCTTGAATTAATGAAAACAACACAACAAGCTGTTATTACACATGGAGGAGCAACAATGGGGAAGTCTTTTTATACACAAACAATGAATAAACCATATTGATCACAACACTAAACAAATGCATATATGTAGAGAATGTGGGAGTGTATCGATGAAAGCTTTCATCGTGCTCTCTAGAATTTGACAGCTCGTTTGATTGTTTGAAGAGAAGACTTGATGAAGTTGTTCTTAACAAGATACTCGTTCTCATCGTCGTTTCTTGAAACCACTGGCTTCTTCCTGATGCAGTCTATTCCCTTTTTCATTCCGAAGATAAGTGATGGAGATGATGGAATCCTTCTGAAGGTTCTAGCACTCTCTGATCTCTTCACAACTTTGTCTCTGCCACTCTTCTCTGGTGTGTTCTTTAAATCAAAACTCATTCTGCTTCTACGAGAACTTTCAGCTCTTGTTTCCACTTTGCTTGTGTTGTTGTTTGCCTCCTTAGCCTGCAACTGCAAGTCCACTTCTTCTTCACTAACCTTGCTTGTGTTGTTGTTTGCTTCCTTAGCCTGCAACTGCAAGTCCACTTCTTCTTCATCAACCTTTTCAAGAAAAGGGAACTTGTGGTCCAGTTTCTCTATCATCTCATCAATCTTCTTGCTTTTTTCGGTTTCAAGATGGTGTGGATCGCTTTTGTTATTGTTCTCCAGTAAAATATGAAGCCATTTCTCAACATTTCCTTTCCCTCGCTCTCTCCTGCTTTCCTCATCTTCCTCCTTCTCTGGTGCCTTAAAAACATGGAATGCTCTGAAGCTTCTGCTGCCTCTCTTCCCTTCTTCTACATCTAGCTTTTCTTCAACCGGTTTATTATCTTCCAACGCAACAAGAGACTTCTCAGCTTCCTCTGGAGTTTTTTGTTCCTCTTCCTCCTCTATTTCACAATGCTTCTTAATTTCAGCCTCAGAAGCTGCTGCTTTATGCTCTTCTTCAAAGTGTACCCTTAACTCTTTGTGTGACGACGTTTCCTCACTTGTTCCTGGAAGATACAGAGATAACTTCCTGTCTCTATCGTCTAGCAACAAGTCATCTTCATCATTCAGCAAAAGTCTTGATCTTTTCCTTGCTTTCTCCAATTCAGGCCTCACTTGATTCTCCAGTTCTTCTCTTTCTTTAAACTTCTTGTGAAGTTCTTTCTCTGAACCATCACAAATCGCCTTTTGCGCCTCTAATCTTGCCATAAGCGCACTACTCGCAGCCTGGTTTAACCTCACTTGTTCTTTATACACAACACTCCTACAAACACACAAACAAACAAGATTAAAGAACATTATAAATTTAGAACATATCGAAATGCAGTTGTGTATAGAATATCTCTTACTGGTGCATAGCATCACGGATCATCTTCTCGAGTGTATTCCTATACGAGCATTGAGCTTCTGCCAATCTCCTGCACTTTTCAGCTCTTCTTCTTCGCTTAACCAGCTCATTCTCTAGCTCCTGAATACTAAGCCGATCTTCACTGTTCTTTCTTGTCAAATCATTTGTTTCATCATCTAACTTTTTCATCTCGGCTCTCATATTCTGCGCTTCCTCTCGGTGTCTCAATGAGTCCCTCGCAGCAACAATGGCTTGATACGGATTTTTCATTAAGTCTGGAGTCTCATTCTCTTTGGCTGCACCGAATCTCATCTTCCTTGCTGCATCATACATAAAGTTGATTTAATACAACAATAGATACAACAGCTGAAAGGCAGAGTAGTAGTTACTATACTAATACTAACCAGGTGTTTGTCGATTGCAATCGAGTGATCTCAAGACTAATGAAGGGTCATAAGGATCTCTTCTAGAAACAACAACTGCAGCTGAAGCAAGCCCGAACTTCTCCTTTGATTCAACAAAATGTTGTGGAAAATGGTGTGACTCAACCATTTGTATACCGTTAAGTTCTTCGTTTTCGCCTTCTTTGAACAAGAATGAAAATGCTCTCCTCCTATAAAATTTACATTTGATTAAGATGTTTGTACATCAATGAAATAGATAGTGGTATTGGTATAGATCCAAAGGTTGTTACTTTATACCTGAAATCAGAACTTGAAGCAGCGAAAATCGACAAGAACTGATTCACTGAAATACCAACTTGAAGATCCCACCATGGTACTAAGAACTCAAGCTTGTCTTTCTTGTTCTTGCGTGCTTGCCATTGCACTATCCTTAGGTTGCTTGGTACTGTTAGACCACCTCCTACAAAAACAATTTAGATGCAGAGAAAAAGCTTTAATCAATAAGACAACAAGAAAGTCAAAACATAGAAACCAAAGAGAGATAATTGAAGGATGTGTTGTACTTGAGCAAGGGAACCAATGGTCAAAACTCCAAGCAAGAGGAGAAGCTGAATCAGCGTGGAAGTAAACAACATTCCCATATGGATCAATCCGAATAACAGCTGGATCAAATCCAGCATTGCTGCAAACATAATCATAATCATAAGAATCTGAATTGACTCTAGTGTATTAAGTGTGATGAGAGATTAAGCCCTTATTACCCTAGATGATTAAGCTGTTTCCAGAGGAGACTGAGGAAAATCTTGGGTTTTGTTGTTGGTCTCGCTTTGGGATCAATTACTGGAAACATCGCATCTACTTCTCTGCATCTCAAGCTCTTCAAGACAAACACAAAACAGTAACTTTTTTGTCATTACAGAGGAAAAACACTAATCCAATAGAATTGAAGAATTAGACAATAGAATTAAGATCTGAAAGAAGTAAAGTAATCCCTGAGCTTCCAATAATTCCCAAAAAGAAACCCTAATTTTGTGCTCAATGACCCCCAAATAAAGCAATTGTATGTAAAATTACCTCGTTCTGCTGAAGAATGTAGGGCATGAAAGTGAAAGGAGGACCATTTCTGTACGGAAAAACTTCAAAATCGCGACAGATCTTCGCGTAAGCTCGCGGATATCCCTGTGCTTCCTCGATAACCAGATCTTCTTCCGTTATACCATAATCGTCCATTTCTTTCTCTCTAGATTTTGTGTTTTGACAAAAGAGAAAGCAAAAAAAAAAGAAGCTTTTGGGAGTTATGAGTTCTGTTTTCAGGCAAGAAGAGGAATATAAAACTCAAACAACGGTCGGATTTTTCTGAGTTTAACGATGACCATTCATTGCCTTTTTAATAATTTAAAATATAATAATTACTAACAGCTATGGGAGAAGAAAAATTTAAAAAGGAGTGCCACGTAAGCATTAAAACGGCCGTGTGGGACTGTAACGGCTATATGCCACGTCGGACCCACGCTCCACCTCTTTATGGAAGTAGTAAGTTTGGTGGCTCTATGAAGAAAGTTGATGATCTCTCTTGTGACAAAAAAAAACTTTAATATGTAAGTCTTACCTACGGATCCTTTTTTGAATTTTTAAAAATGTGAATCAAAAGGATTAGTAGTGATTACAAATTTTTTGTGGTAACTGACGAAATCCGGTTAACTTTTTAGTGAATTTCTTATAGATCGATAACTAATAAACCGACAAAGTTTCTAACCAAATCTCCCCAATGTTTTTGCTCTTCTAGTATCAACATACCAGGGGAAAAAAAAAAAAAAAAAGTGTCAAGTGTGTAAAGTAAGGTTTTGGAATTTTTGTTTTGAATGAATGAAATTGGAGCTTCATTCTAAACTCTTAATATCTTCGTTAATTTGAAAAAAAAAACTAATTTGCAGAACTCCAAAATTACTTTTTTCGTTGGTTACATGAGAAGCAGAAATTTCAACATTGGTATTTCTTGTTGAAAAATACTTTTTTCTTCTTCTAATTGATATACTTAACCTACGGTTCTTTTCGATTATATAAGTTACCGTCTTAGTGGTGGTTATTTCGAAGTTTGTCCCTGACTATTGTCTAAATTATGTGGAAGATTGATTATAGCTTGTATAATCTGATACGAAAAGTACTGAAACTTAAGAATATTAAAGAAATAAACAAGACGAAGAAATGTTATTTAAACGCCAAGTTGGAATAAATAATGCAAGTTGACAATCATGATAAAATAAAATAAAAAAAAGTCGTGAAGATGGAGAAAAATAGCATTTTAACATCAAATTTAGGGTTTATCATAAATCTTTTCTTCTTTTTAACAACCTAAATCTACATAAGTAAATTGCTGTTTTAATTTTGTCTAATAACCAGTAGTAGTTTAATTTCTCTTAGTTATGAGCTAGTTGACATGCACATTGTATTTTCTCATTGTCGCCTAGAGTCTTTTTATAATACAAATTTAAGAAATTAGAGTTAAAACTTTAATAATAAAGCTTACATAGCTTAATAAAGGAGTATTGTTTAAGACCAAACTCATGTGTACACTTCGACGTTCTCCTCCTATATAATAACAAACGAGTTTTCAAGATATTCACAGAACACAAACACAAACTAAACTCTTAAATCTTGAAAAGGAATGACGATAAGTTCGAAAACCCAATTTCCCCTTTTTCTTCCGGCCATCGACTTCTCGAGTCAAGACCTCAAACCGGAAACCCTCGAATGGGACTCGATGAGAGCCCGAGTCCGAAAAACCCTAGAAAAATACGGATGTTTCGAAGCCTTGTTCGATGGAGCTTCAGTGGAGCTACGGAAGGCTGTGTTCGAGGCCTCTGAGGAGGTTTTTCATTTACCATTGGAGACCAAAATAAGTACAAAGTCAGACAAACTTTACAAAGGATACGCCGGTCAGGTTCCGACTATACCTTTATAGGAAAGCATGGGCTTGATGGTGCAGATAATCCTCAAGTTGTCGATGAGTTGACTCACAAGCTTTGGCCTCAAGGCAACATCACCTTTGGATTTTTCTTAGTGACAGTTTAAAAATACTAGAAATAAAATTGTTGTTTAGAAAATACTAAGATTTGTGAAAATTTTATATATCAGCAAGAATGTTCAGTCATTCGCGGAGCAGTTAATAAAACTAGACGTTAAGGTGAGGACAATGATCATGGAGAGTTTCGGGCTCGAGAAATACATCGAGGAGCATCTTAAATCGGCGAAAAACCACTTTCGTTTCTTTAAATTAAATATAGAGGACTTGACGACAACACAGAGGAGAAACTAGGTCTTGACCCTCATATCGATTGACATTTCCTTACCATACTTTGCCAGAATGATGTAGTCGATGGCTTGGAGATCAAAACCAAAGATGGTGAAGAGTGGACCAAAGCTAAGCCAACTCAAGACTCTTCCTTCTGTTAAATTTGGGCTAATTCTGGACTTCCAACTAAAAACCAATTGGCAATTAGTGGATTGGTCCTAACCCTTTATATATTATTGATTGTCCCATCAAACTTCTGATGTGGGACTTGGATTGTATCTCCAACAATCTCCCCTTCAATCTAAGGACCACATGGATCTTAACACACCTCCTCGATCCCTCACTCGGACCGATAATAAGCCCCTTTCTCGGGCCCCCATTACTCGGGTTTGAGGTATGTCCGTATCCACTTTTCTAGGTCCACCAGAATTTGAACCTTGGGCTCTGATACCATGTTAAATTTGGGCTAATTTTGGGCTTCCAACTAAAAACCAATTGGCAATTAGTGGATTGGCCCTAACCCTTTATATATTATTGATTGTCTCATCAAACTTCTGATGTGGGACTTGGATTGTATCTCCAACACCTTCATGGTTATAGCCGGAGCTTCACTTCATGTAAAGTCAAAATTTCTTGAGTCTCAAGATTCATCCTTATAGATATTCTTTAATTACTTGGCTTAATTATGATCAACATCAAATATGGGTTTTGAAGGTACTATTGAATGGTGGGGTGTTTCCTCCGCTTCACCGTGTGGTCATAACCGGAAAGAAAGATCGGCACGCAGCTGGATTGTTCTTGCTTCCCAAAGAAGGACTGATCATAAATGCCCATGAGGAGGTAGTAGATGATGTACATCCTCGTCTTTATAAACCTTTTGATTTTGAGGCTTATTTTAAGTTTACTTACACAGATACCAAGAAAAGAGATTTATCTGCTCTTAAGACTTACTGTTCCCTTTAAATATTAATGATGCCTTGCAGCTAAATTAAATATATATATATATATATATATATGTATCATTTGATCATCACTAGACATTAGGCAGCTATGCTTGTTGATTTTCTCCTGATGCTTGTTTGTTATATTTCCTTTAGTTTGTCTTGTTGACTCTTGAGCCTCTCAATAAAACCTGATCTACAAAGATTTCAGCTTTATGTTTCTGATTGATTACAACTAGAGAGAAGAAGTTTTCAACATGATTTTGATCACGACAAACTTAATACGTACATTACCACTTTTTGATCATGGAATCAATTAATAGACGGAGGTAGATTAGATGGCATTTCAAAGTATAGAGTATGTAATCAGAAATATGGACTTATTTAGTGTGGTTGATAACGATGCCATCATCGTTAATTTGGGCCAAGAAAAAAGGTAGAAGTGAGAGGGTATGGGCTGAATCTTTGCTGTTTCTGGTTTGCAACGCACATGGGTAGGTCACAGTTGTAACAAATCATATGGGTTCGTTTCATAATCACATATCTTCATTTTGATAAAACCTAGTATTTTGTTTTACAGAAAGACAAGATAGAAAAACAAAAACTAGGTCGACATACCGAACATGTCGGTGTTTTCTATAATTGATATTAATTGATATCAAAAGCAAGAGAGTGCATATATATTTAAAGAAGGGTGAATAAGCTTAAAATTTCTATAATTTCGTTTTTATTTTAAGCATGTATACTTAACAGATAATGAACTAATGATATACATCTATTTCGATTTATGATTTCATTTACTGAATATAGAAGAAAAAATAACGAATGTTTTACGTAGACTTTATCGATTTGCTTATAATACCCACATTTTTTTTCTTAAAAAACACAGTTATATATAACTTATCAACAATGAAAGATTCAAATTTTGGATGTTAAAAAAAAAAAAAAATTCAAAGAATAATTTTTAAAAATATGAAATAATATTACATATGTTTCCGAATAACACAATAAATTTGAAACAGATTAATGTTTTAACTCAACACTCAAGAAACAAGTAGTGTATATATATATAGCTGTCTTTCTGAAGATAATTATGCAAAACATAACTCGAAATTTTGTTGCAAATAATTACTATAACATATATTTATATAACATGAATAGGAAAAATGTTCTAAAGGATCTTGATGATCATGTTTAAGGTTAAATTAATTAACCAGCTTCTTGCTTCTTGTTCAAGTCATCATCACTCGTCTACGCCTCTAGGCTGCAGCCCAAACCCGGAAGCATCCGATCTTCTCATTATCCTCAGCCTCTTGCATGACTCAATAAACATCCTGCAAATCAAATATCCAAACTCATTACTTTAGTTTGTGATACATTTTGTTTTGCAATGAGATACAATCTTAAGTCAAAAGATAAACATACCCCCAAGGTACATCGCCGGCGAGCATCCAATCTCCATCTTTGTCCTCGTATATGGTAACGTATTCGCAGTTGTCACCATCTTTCAAGGCAACACCTGTACAAATATGTATATATGTAAATATTAATTGTGTTGATAATACCGCGATACATAGAAAAGTCTTGCTAATTAACAATACGAGTGGTGCATAAACTCTGATTTTTAGACTTTTTGTGAAAAAAACAAAAATGGATGTGAATTAATTGAAACCTCTAACTTTTCTATAATTGAAAATTTTCCGATATTCAGTTTGGAGAAAAATTACCAGTAAGACCATCAGAGATTAGGACTAGTCTTAGTCTCTTAGACCAAGTAAATATAATTCCTGAGATGACTAATAAAGATCTCGACCTATTTGTCCTTTCATATATAACACTATTTACTTAAAATCTATAACATTGCTATCACACCAGTACTAAACTGCTAACCTAATTATTTGTAATTGTATTAGCGTTGTCGTTGTATCATAAATTGGGGTGTTCCTTGTAGGCGAAAAAAGAAAGAACAGTACTAAAATACTACTCCATTACGTCTAAAACACTCAAGTTCTTTAATCGGATGTCTCGTATGTATAATTAGTTTTTTCCTTTTCACATGGTCTAATTACCACTCTACTTTTATGGGAAGAGAAAACAATTGTTACTAACCGATGCCACGGAAACCGAAGAGCTTGTCAAGAGCAAAGGCTAGATCATCATAGTCTTGGCTCGAACCAAGATCCATCTTCCTCAAATAAGGCACACCATCCATGCTAACTTTCACATACCCTAAACCCACTTTTGTGGTCGCAGCTTCCTTACAGCTGTTTTTCCTACGGTAAGAGCAAACCGGCGGCCACCCCACCACCTGACTTTTCGCCGCCGGCGAATCATTAACCTTCTCAACGTCACCACCAGATGAAACGACACCGCTTTCACATTGATCACTATTACTACCAGAAGACGTCATGTTCATCTCCGTGAAAGCTCTCTTCTTTATCATCTTCTCAGCCACATCTCTCCCCGGAAGCCCCAATCTCAGCTCCGTTATCTCAAGCCCGAGTCCTTCCTTCTCCATTTCTTGATGAACTTCTTTATTCTTCTCTCACAATTTGATACAATTATGAAATGAGAACTTTCTTCTCCAACACTTCTCTTATTGTAGTAATGGCACCGCGTCGTGCTTTTTATATGTTGCTTCGTTGGCCCACACGATACAACCAATGAAAACCAGTCAGGTATCGACACGTGGAGTCATTTGATATCTAAAGTCTTCTTCTTCTTTTTATTCAGTTTGTGTGGGGAGACAAAGTGGGGGCAGAGACAGGTCAACTGAGGATGCGGTGGTCGGTCACATGAGAGACATAAGTTTGGTGCTGTTTTTATTTTTTTCTCAAAATTAATAAAGACCGGCATTACAAGGTGGTTAAGGGAACAGATCCTACGCTTGTGAAATTTTCTTGTGATTTTTCTCTGACCGTTGGATCATTGGAATCCGAATCTCCTTCTCCTAACATCCCATGTGGTTTTCTTTTGTAAAGATTCTTGTTCTAACTAGTAAATCACAACTATAGTCTACTTTGTCTTCAATAAGTTCATGTTATTTTGTAGTGAAAAATAAATATAAACTTTAGTCTATTTGTTTGCATTTCTAATAAGAGCATGGGAATATTAAATCAAATCCTACCATTTGGGATATGTTCGTTATTTCTCTTTGCATCTCATTTTTAAGTAGTAACTAACAACATTTGGCTTAATAATAAGATATTTCAGCAATAATTTTGATTTGTCACCGCATTAATCTCACATGGAGAATATACACCAGATATACTAAATTTGTATGGATCGGAACCAAATATAGCAGAATTTAGTATGGATTGGAACAGGTAGTTACAAAGTAAAAACGTATCAAGTAACGATTTTGATTTAGTACGTTTTTGGTTCGACTTATAGATCGGGTTTGTTTTATTTTTTGAATATGAATCATATCGATTGAATTTATACAGCTTTATAACTACTTAAATCCTATTTGCAGCATGTAAACCAAATTCCCAAACAAATATATAGTCAATGGCAAGAGCTCTCAGCTTAGACTAACAAGACGATAACCGATGTATTGTAATATTAAGTTAGAGTTCTTCATGATACTCATCTCCAAAGTTAGTCTCGAACCAATATGACTTCAAGCGGAGTAAAAACTAGTTTCGAATAGGTTCAAACTCAGCCAGACCCGCATTGTTGGGTTGTTGTTAACTATCTTTAGCTCAGCATACCAATAAAACACAAGAAGTATAATGATGGGGTTTTAGAGACGTAGGGACACGAGAATAGAAAAAAAGATCGACCGTGTGTATGTGTGTGAGTGTGTGTGGGTTCACTCTTGTCTACCAACTTTGATCAATGGATTGACATAAACAAGTTGGGCCACGTGAAATTATATGAAATACAACCACATAAAGAGAGAGATGAGTTCAACACTCCCATATCTCTAGTTTACTTTTAATGTTTCCAATGGCTACCAAACGACATTTGTAACACCAAATATTTATAAATTCCATTTTTACAAATTTTGAGTGGGAGCAGTGTTTGGTTTTACATCTCAAATGCACAACTGTCATCTTTTTAGAAAACGTATTTTCAATAAACAAATATAATTAATTTGATCAAAAACTTCATCCGAATACCATGCAATTATGGATCTTTGGTCCATATGCACTAATGATACAATGCGCAAATCATATATTTCCATACATACATTTTTTTTTTTTTGATTTAATGTTAAGATTTCCATACATACATTTATAGCAGTTTAGACTCAAATTCGATTTCCCCCTTAAAATACGATGTTTATGTAGAAAAAATATCATGAAAAAATGAATATGATAGATTATGATGCTTTATTTCTGCATTCGAGCTCTGGAAACTCCACAGTTAGCAATTTGGAAAAATGCCGTTCAACTTGGAAATTTCAGGTCGTCCAAATAGAATGATTTCCAAAAAATAAAGTTTTTTCCTTGACAGCAAAAATAAGGCTTTTTTGCTTTAATATTTATAATGTCTAGAAATTTCATGTGCTTCTACTCGAGTTTTGATCGGAAAACTTTTTTAGTGATTGTGACATGTCTCTCATGTTTCTTATACGTTAGGTCGTTATCCACGATTCTCTTGCTTATGTTTTCGGTTAGTTAATAAAATATTACAAGTCTCAAGGATCATAATTATGTTCTAAATCCCTTATAAATTATTCACAATACGTATCTTTCAAAAAGAATCAATGGAGGTATAATTTTTAATTAAATGGACGACCAACTAAAAGTTAAATTACAAGCATGTTCCCACGTCCATAAGCAGCATAAACTAAATTATGAAACCGCAAACGCTTTTTTATATTATTGTCAGTATTTTTTTAATATTTTATGTAAAGCACATATATAGATATAAATTACATTTGTATAGAATCAGGAGAATACCTGGTTAAGCATGAAGTGAAATTAAAAACCTATCTTTACCAGAATAATTTCAGGCAATAATATAATAAGTATGATGAGAGGAAAAGAAGCCCTCTCCTATGTAGAAATAGTTACCGTTAATGAAAAATATTGATTCATAAGTACTTAAGTCAAATTATAGAACGATCAGTACGTAACTAGTAAGCCCTAAGCAGGATAATATCTTATAGGTTATCTTTTTAGTGTTTCTATCAAACTAATAAAAATGTTAGGATTGAGAATAACTTTTACACTTTTAATTATATTAATCATTTTCATTTGAAAACTAAACAATTAATAACTTTTGATTCTTCTCGACCTCAGAAACTATACAATTTGAAATGTTCAGTAAATTAACTTTTGATAATTATAAAACATTGTCCGACAAATAGGCAACAAGCTAAAAAAGGAAAGCACGAGTGTTTAGCGGACGCATTAGTCGAGCAAATAGTATTATTTAACTCGGATATTATATCTTTATGATTATAAGAATAGTCGTCGATCGGATATTAAGGGGAAAAAAATAAGTATCACTAAGATATGTTCGAATATTTTCATGCATACTAGTATCTTATTCTTAGTCTTACTAAAGCATATTTCTAAACAGGGGAAAACAAGAACAAATGAACGGCGTCAGAGACAGAAAATCTGTTTAAAGTACGCCAAAGTAAAAGAGAGTTTGGTTCGAAATCTTCTTGGGCTTTCGATTCTATAGCTTCCAACCCAATCTACCGACATATGGCCCGTTTCTGCGGATATAGTGTTGATTTTCTCTTATTAAACTTTGTTGCAGTTGAGAAAACCATGATGCCGGTGTAAATAGTCTATAGCACGAAATAGGATCTAAAATACTCTTGATCTTCGTGAAATCCGATGCGAAGAAACGCAGTTTTTGTTTCGAAGAGTCTATCGAGCCACTCTTTTGCCGTTAAAACTAAAACACACAAAACGATTTTTTACATCAAAGAATTTAATTTGTATACATAAGAAGAATAATTTGAATGATAGTTTAAATGGATGTTTACAAATTTTAGTGGCTAAATACTTACCTGGCGGTTTATTAGCAGATTCCCACCAGATTTTGGACACACTGAGCAATATAAACACGGTCATCAATACAAAATATAAGAGTTTAGTAGCCATTAATTAGTTGAAGATATATATGAAGAGAAGTGACGAGACTAGTTGATTTATATAGACATCTTCATTAGTTACGATATTATTATTGATGATTATTGATTACGTCAAAACTAATTCGGTCCTTACATTTGCCCCTCAAGACACGATGCAAAGACTTACTATTTATATTTTTGTCACAATACGAAGACTTACTTATGTCCTAACATTTTACCCCTTAGTGCTCGTTGAAAAAATATTTAGACTTTTCGTCCATTGGAGTATTGGACCCAACTTTACTTCTACCAATAGCGCGTTTAGAGATATACAATAATTATACATATGCAAAGACTGATGTGATATGATTTCAACATATTAATAAGTGGGTCTTCTAAGATACATTCACATTCGAATAGACGTTGTGAAGTGAAGAGACCAAAAGATTTTTTAAAATTATATATCTTGTTTGAAGTAAATAAATAATAATAAATTTGTATAGCATTTTTTTTTTAACACGAAAATTTTGTATAGCATGGTAATCCAAAAAAAAAATGGCCAACGTAATAGTGGTATGCACATTATTCGTGATAAAGAGTAGAGAGTACAAAGCTTTAATGGAATAGGCCGGAAAGAGAGGAAGATAAACCAAAACAAAACATATGCAACCGATTCCTTATAAAATGAGTGTTGGGTTTCTCTTCTCCCCATTTTCTTAAGGATCTAAAAATAAAATAAAATTTACTTTAAACAAAAAAAAAAAATTACTTTTCAATGGTTTTAAAACGCTTTTCTTACACCATCTTAAAGATTAAAATCACATAGATTCTAAACTTTAGTAAAAATTTAGTACTATTAGTAGAAGTTTTAAAATTAAATATTATATGCGTTTATGGTTCAAACAGTTAGAAAATAATATATTCTGTTATATTCATATCTAAATTCAAGCATGAGTTACAATATTTGGTTATAAATGAATGTTGCTTGAATATGTGTTATTGTATATTATCAATGGTGGTGCTTAAAAACATCATCTCAGAAAACCAGTCAGCGTTTGTCACACAGAGAGCTATTTCAGACAATGTTCTAATCACACATGAAGCTCTCCACTACCTAAAAACCTCAGATGCAAAAGAAAGATGCTACATGGCTGTCAAAACTGACATGAGTAAAGCATATGACAGGCTAGAATGGGATTTTATTCAACTAGTTTTGGAGAGACTTGGATTCCACAACAAATGGGTGACCTGGATGATGCAATGCATAGTGACAGTTTCCTACTCTTTCCTAGTGAATGGAACTGCAAAGGGACTTGTCTTACTTGAGGGAGGAATGAGACAAGGGGATCCTCTTTCCCCGTATGTCTTCATTCTCTGTGGTGAAGTCCTCTCTGGACTATGCAATAAAGCTCAACAGTCAGGAAGATTGGAAGGAATCCGAGTCTCAAAAAACAGTCCAAGGGTTAATCACTTACTGTTTGCAGATGACACCATGTTCTTCTGCCGATCTGACTAACAAAGCTGCCAAGAACTAGTCTCTATCCTGCAAAAGTATGAATCAGCCTCAAGTCAAAAGATTAATGCCCTAAAATCTGCTGTTACTTTCTCCAAGAAAACAAATGCTGAAACCAAAGAAAGAGCAAAAAGAGATCTCAACATTCAACTTGAAGGAGGTAAGGGGAAGTACCTAGGATTACCTGAGCTCTTTGGGCGCAAGAAAAAGGATCTTTTCACGAGTATCATTGATAAAATTAAGCAGAGAGCCCCCAGTTGGTCTTCTAGATTCCTTTCTACTGCGGGAAAAATGGTCATGCTGAAGTCTGTCCTCTCCTCTATGCCCACCTATACGATGACATGCTTTAAGATCCCCACTTCCCTTTGCAAGCGCATTCAATCCGCATTGACCAGATTCTGGTGGGATGCTAATACGGAAAAAAAGAAGATGGCGTGGATATCCTGGCAGAGAATGACAAAATCTCTGAAAAAAAGGAGGACTAGGGTTCAGGGACGTACAAAAATTTAATGATGCTTTGTTGGCTAAGGTTAGCTGGAGAGTGCTGACTAACCCATCTTGTCTCCTAAGCCGTGTACTATTGGGGAAGTACTGTCATTCCTCCCACTTCCTAAACACCCGTACCCCAAACACTGCCTCACATGGCTGGAGGAGTATCTGTATCGGAAGAGACCTCTTAAAGCCGCATCTTAGAAAATTGCTGGGTGATGGCACATCCACTTCAGTTTGGAATGAACCATGGCTATCTCTCACCCATCCTGCTACACCAATGGGCCCTGCTAATGAATTTAATCAACATTTGATGGTCGCCCAACTGCGCCATCCAGTCTCTCTAGAATGGAAGGAGCTGATACGACAGACCATACCAGCTCATGAACACGAAATTTTACTCCTCAGACCAAGTAAAAAAGGAGGACCTGATAGATGGGCATGGCTTCCTACTCCCTCTGGAATCTACACAGCCAAATCAGGTTACTATGAAGCTCTTAATGCTGAAGATCAAACACAGCAACCTTCCACACCACCTGACAACTATGAGTGGAAGACAAAGTTGTGGAACACCAAATGCTCACCTAAAATAAAACTGCTCCTATGGAAAGCAATGCAAAATGCCCTCCCAGTAGGAGAAAACCTCAAGAGCCGGACAATTTTGGAAAGTGCAAAATGTATCCACTGCGACGCCGAAGAAGAATCAATAACCCACCTCTTTTTCACATGTGACTTCGCAAGGAAAGTCTGGGAGTCTTTCCCGTGCACATCCTCACTGAACCTAAACCGCATATCAGACTTCAGAACATGATTTGAAGCGTCCAAACTACTAACTTGCCTCCCACCGATCGGTTTAGGAGAAGGATCTTTGTCTCCTTGGTTATTCTGGTCGATGTGGACAAACCGTAACAACAAAATCTTCAAGGATAAACACTTACAACCGCTGGATGACATCACTCAAGCAATCAATCAAGCAAAAGAGTGGTTCCTAGTCCAAGAAAGAAAACCCCCAATCCGACCGCTTGGAATCACGATGAATCAAAACCTAACAGACCCCCGATTCATCACCTGCAACACTGACGCAGCTTGGAAAGGTGATCAATTAGCGGTGTTTGGATAGATTTTCACAGATCACCTTGGATCGGAGATTGATCGTGGCTCCGAATCGGCGGAAAACATCAGCTCTCCCCTGATCGCAGAAGCTGCGGCGGTTCTTCTCGCGTTGCAACACGCCCGGTTTCACATACCTCTCTCTCGCTTCTGACTCGACTCAACTCGTCAAAGCACTTCAATCGAAGCTTCAAATTCCACGGGATTCAATTCGACATCCTTGATATTTGTTTAAGTTTCTCTGCAATTTCCTTTAGCTTTATTCCACGATCTCAAAACAATGCTGCGGATTCGTTGGCCAAAGAGGCCTTATCATCTTTTGTATTGGGCCTGGCCCAATTCTAGTTTCAATTAAATCATCCTTACCAAAAAAAAAAAGTTGTTGTTTAGAAAAACTTGAGAAAGTGTAAGAACAAAACATATATAGGGCATCGGTTTCGTGTATTACCTCAAGGTATCCTACTATAGATGGCAAAAGCAATTCAAATTCGTACTTTCTTATAATACCAAAATTAATATTCATGTTTATTTGTACCAATAACATTGCATGATTATAATATTATTGAAAGATAAAAATTTGACAATTAGTAAATTTGTGCATGTCCCGTATATATTGCTTTAGATCATTTCTAAATTTTATGTAACATCCTAACATCATGTTATATAAAATAACGTATAATTTTCCATATGGTGAATTTCCGTTTGTTTTAGCCTTTTCCGTTTCTGTTTTTGATTCGAACCATCAGATGGAGCTGAGAGATCAAACCTAAATGAGCTACGAAATGAGACTCTTTATCATTAGTTTTGCATGAAATGGTTGAACATAAATCACGGTTCTAAAACTTTTTGGGATTAATTAAAATAATATTTACAAACAAGTTACACTGCGAATTACCGATATATAAACCAATATGTTTAGGGATTATAAAATAACATAAGACGATGCAATCTCTTATCCAAACAAAAAAAAAAAACAAGTAGCCCGTGGAATTAAGCCTACCGTCAAAATTTAGATTTCAGGTTAATAGAATTAAAAAAAAAAAAAAAAAAAAAAACTAAACGTTACAGACGGCGTTTTAAATTCAGAAGAAACCAAAATTTAGGAAAGAGGTATAAAAAGATGTAAGGTAAAATATCAACGGTACGATTTAAGAACAGAGCCGCAAAAGCAGCAGATGATGGCTCTCCAAGATCTGCAATAAATTGGTATAAGACAGAACCTCGTCGAAGTCTTCATGTCGGCGATTCTTGCACCACAACCACACCGGGAACACGTTCCTGCCGCCGGTTTGCTTCCTTTTATTTTCCTCTTCTGGTCCACCAAGAAACAGAAACACACCATTCTTGATCCTTCTTCTTCCACTTCTTGTTTCAAAATTTTTAAAAAAAAATCACTGGAGAATAAGAATCTGATAATCACGTAGGATTGTGATCGATATCCGTCCTAAGAATGGTGTCTCTTGAAGATGCAGTTGGGTTAGAGATGTGCAAGATGATTGCCCTACTGATGCACATGTGTTAGGCGTAGAATGTAAGTAATTAAGAATATGCTTCGAGACATAAATATTTATAGAGATTATGATATTTAGAAGAGTTTTTGACGTGCGTACACACACGTACAACCCCCAACTTCCAACTGAATTCTTCATTTTATTTTTTTATGTTCTTATTCAATTTATATAATTATCTCCTAGTTTCTAGGAGTTTTGTTGTATATATGTTATTGCGATGTACGTCATTGATGAATCAGTGGCTGTATCTCTGTCAACGTGGGAAATTTTAGTTGGAGGTTGTGTCTGTTATTGTTCCTTATCGGAAATATGGGTCATGTAAAAAATCCCATTCTCTACCTTTAAGTGTCAAATTTTCTCATTCCAAATATTTAACATCTAAAAGCACAAAAATAAAAATGGGCCTAAAACATATTAAATTTGCACTCTTTAAAGTTCTGTATAGTTGGGCTAGCTTAAGAGCCCAAAGTTCTGAAATTTTTAATTTTTGTCCGTTTTCCTTATTAATGAATTTTTTCTTTCCTGTCGACGACTCAGAGTTTGCAGTCAGGTTTTCAAGAAACAAAAACAAAATTTTTACTTTTATAAGATTTCACTTGCATTTCAAGATTCTGGATGGTTTTACAATTTACATAATACTAAGTAAAACAAGTATACTATCCCAAAATTTTCTTTCCCAAGGAAATGGAAAGCTAAAAATGGTCACTGAATTCTGAATAGGAGTACAACTCCCAAGAGAGAAGTGTCCAAAATAACAATTCTGCATCATAAACTATACTGCGTAATTATGTACTTATATATGCATGATTAGTTATGAAAAAAAATCGTCACTTGTATTGAACTAATGGCTTAGTTTGACGTTAAGACAAGAAAGTGTTAGGTAATACTAATAATTAAATAGGGATGTTAGATTAATAAACAAATTTGAGAGTAGAGTTACTTACTAGTCAACGACGGGTTAGGTCGTTCTGCGTCTACCAACTAATCAGGTTGCTACTACATAAACTATTTTCCTCAAGACTTTTTAGATTCTTTCTACGGTTGCTTTTGAGTTTTGAGTTTTGGACGAATATCTTTTTACATATACGTCCTTATATCAGATTGTTTGTTTTGCATTTTGTTGATAATTGTTAAAAAATGCAAATATGCATAACAGGTTTCAATCATCTTTTTTGACAAAGCTAACAAGATTAGTCTTGATTTCAAACTCATGTATCCTTTTTCTCCTTAGACATATGAAGTCTTTCTTTTAATTACTTTCAAAAAGAAAAGTGGATGGAATTTCAAATGTCACATGAAACAACAAAAAATGATGTAAAAATGAAGAGATACAAAAACTAAAGTTTAGGAAATTGCTATCCATAAATATATGTAAAAAGGAGGTTATTTGTGTTCTCTTTTCCCTTTTAGGCAATGTAAATTACCACTACTAACCAAACAAAATGTTATTGACATTTGATAAGATTTTTAAAATATAACTTCATCTAGCTTAGCTGGTCATGTGAGTTACCAAAATCAAGAAATATTATTAGTTCTGTTTGGATTTGAGGCATCCCGCATATGTGAACACACTTGAACACCGACACTTCATTAAATGATTAATTGTTTTAATAATCTTAGTATTTCACGGTACTCTAGAGGATTAGTCCCCACACACACCCGAATCATTTTATATTTTATAGATAACTTTCATTCGAGCTCCTGCTCTTCTGGCAACCTTGTTGGCCATAATCAAAAGAATATATACAAAGGCACACACAAAAAAAGGACGCATGTAACGTAACTTACGTGTTTTTATATTCTTTTGTTACATAACTTACGTATTGCTGACGATAAATGTATCTAAAGGTTTCCATAGTGGTCACTGGTCCGTGTGATGATAACAGTACGTACAAATTTCCTTACTACAATCCACCATTTGACCAAGTCGCACGTACCTTAGTGATGGCTTTAGTTGGAACCACACTAAATCCAGGAATTACACTGTAAAATCCGGTTATTGGGCCGCGAGAGTTTTATCTCGTCCTACTTGTGACCTCCCTTTTCAGGGACCGGATGTTTCGATACTACAGGCACAAGTATGAAAGCTTAAAACTACGCGGAAGCTTATGCATTTCGCGTGGCAATGTATCTCGGGATGTCTGGCCACATCCCAAAGACTTGTAAACCGTCATATCGGTACAGACAAAGGTTGTCCTCGATGTGGCGGTGAGGAAGAATCTATTAATCATCTACTTTTTGAATGCCCGCCCTCTAGGCAGGTTTGGGCTTTATCCCCTATTCCCTCTGCGGGACATCTTTTCCCTCAAAATTCCCTTTTCTATAACTTTGACTTCCTCTTTTGGCGAGGCCGGGAATTTGGAATTGAAGAGGATGTGCTAGAATTCTTTCCATGGATACTTTGGTATATATGGAAAAGTCGTAATAGATTTGTATTCGAAAACATTAGGGAGCATCCCCTCGAGATTCTAAATTTGGCCTTAAAAGAAGCATCGGTCTGGAAACAAGCCTTTTTGAATGGTATGTCAAATACCGAGGCTCTTGATCGCACGCTTCTGAACCTCTCCCCTCATCCTCAGACATCGGAATGTCAGGTGGATTCCTCATGGCACTTAGAGGATACTTTAAGCGGACATGGATGGGTACTAGTTGATCAAGATCGGATCCTTCATCTCGGTCTCAAGAGTTCGAGAAGAAGTCTTTCATCGCTCCATGCGGAAATGGACTCTTTGTTGTGGGCAATGGAATGTTTGATCTCGCTAGGAGTCACCTATGGCGCCTTCGCAACAGATTGCTCCGACATGATATCACTTCTCGATAATCAAGAAGATTGGCCAACTTTTGCAGCAGAATTGGCCTCCTTCCGGTCTCTTCGTTGTTTTTTTCCTTCTTTTAGTATTCGTTTTCTTTCTCGTAGTTTTAATACTCGAGCTGACTGTTTAGCGAAAAAAGCTCGGACTCGGAAGAGTCTCTTTTCCCATGTAAGCAACTCAGTTCCTGAATGGTTCTTCCCAGCGGAGAGTTTGTCTTTCCGATAACTTAATTTAAATGGTGTTTGATAAAATAAAAAAAAAAAAAAAAAAAAAAACAATCCACCATTTTATTGGACAACCTTCATGCACTTTTTTCTTTAAATGTTATCGTATTCAATATTCGATATTAAGATTAACCTCTTCGATATGCATATGCAATCGATTTGTGGGAGCTATTGAATCAAACAAGACAATACAACAAATATATAGAACTTGATTTCGGCTATGAAAATATGAAAAAGAATAGTTATTTTCCGTCGTCCAAAATTCAATAGCTATATATTCGAAATAGTTCAATATCCTGCTAGATTTCTCCGGTTTTCAATAAGGATATCGAATAAATTATCCATGGATGGAGACGCATTTGCGAAAATAATAGACTTTTCTTTTGTTTTATTATGTGAAAGAAAAATGGTGTAGCAAGTAGGAACGTAAGCTTTAGACTTTAGTGTTTGTAATTCAAAAAGAGCATTTAATAAAGCCGGTGGGGTTAATGCCTCTCCTTCTGTTTCCCATACTCATTTTACGTTTGCTTACATTTCGTCAAACCATTGGACCCCAAAAACTCTTTATAGTACTATTCCCTCAGTTCTTTTATAAGTAATGTTTTAAGTTTCTAATTTTATTTTTATATAGATGATGTTTTTAATTGACGATTTATATTCTGTAGATTATTTTTTTATTGGTTGATTAGATAATAAATGATGTTTTAGTTTAAAAATAAATAAAAATTAAACGATTTCTTAATATACAGTATATGCATTCTCCTAAAACATCATTTATAAAAAAACGGAGAGAGTAGTATTTTGACTATTTTCTAATTAGGTTCTTTTGTATAAATAAAGAGTGTGAATATTCAGCGGGAAGTTTGTTTTTAAAATGTTTTATAAAAAAAAAAAAAGTGATCCATATGAGACAGCTGCGTCGTTAATATAACATCAAAATAATATACAAAACATACTATAAGGTTTGTGATGGACCTATTTGAGTAATCTTGGTTTAGAAACAATTGAAAGAAAAATAAGGTTACTTTCGGTTTACTAGCTGCTGCGGTAATTTCGGCGATTATGAAAAATTAGCGGATTTGTGTCCTAATAAAAGGTGAATAATTGAAGGGAAAATCAGAAAATGGAAAATAGAATCTAGTTGCTGTCTGATCTTAATTTACAAGGGGTCTATTCACGTAACAAGACCACGATTAGCGGAGAATCAAATATTGACATGTATGCCACGTGTCGTCCTGGAAAGTGGTGAGAGTGTAAGATGTACGGCTGCAATTTGATGATTGAACTTACCATTGATTTACCAAGAATCTTACGCAACAGATGTTCTCTCCCTTGTCTATGTCACCTCCTCTTTGTCCATCATTTGTTTCATCGCATTTCTTAACTATAGTCCGTTCCAATCAAATCGATATTTTCGCTTTGATACAACAAGAAACGTGATTAGATTTGGAGTTATAGTGATAATTCCTAAACTAAATATATACAAATTTCTATAACATTACTAAAGTATACTGTACGATATACCTCCATCATATAGAAGTATGTAGAATGTATTAAGGATACATTAGTCATTTGTAAATACCTAGGAGAATACCTAGTATCTCTCTCTGTAATCCTATAAGTACTCTGTACTTTATTCAGTAAATAAATAAGCAATCTTAAGCATTTACATGGTATCAGAGCCGTCGATACCTAAGACCTAATTTTTTTTTTTTCCAGCCTCCACGATAATATTCTTCTTCTTCCCTCTCACTTTCAAACTCTCCAATGGCTGCCTCAAACACCTCCACCAATGATGCAATTGTCTGCAATAATAAAACTCTCTTCAACGTCAACACCGCAAATGTTACCAAACTCACCAAAGACAATTACCTCATGTGGAGCCGACAAGTTCATGCCCTCTTTGACGGCTATGAACTCGCTGGATACTTGGATGGAACCACTGACGTTCCTCCGACGACCATCACCACCAACGAAGTCACATCTGCCAATCCGGATCATGCCTTCTGGAAGAGACAAGACAAACTTGTCTACAGTGCCTTGCTAGGTGCTGTCTCCACGTCAGTTCAACCACTGCTGTCCCGTGCTACAACTGCTGCTTAGATCTGGGAGAAACTGCGCTCCACCTATGCAAATCCGAGCAGATCACATGTCCGACAACTCAAGGATCAACTCCCGCTATGGACCAAAGGTAACAAAACCATTGATGAATATGTACAAGGATTTGTCACAAAGTTTGATCAGCTTGCACTGTTGGAGAAACCGATTGAGCATGATAATCAAGTGGAGTATGTAATCAATGGCCTACCAGAAGATTACAAACCGGTGGTAGACCAAATCGCTGCCAAGGACAAGCCACCGTCACTCACAGAAGTCCATGAAAGACTCCTCAATCAAGAAGGGAAGCTCATCGCCAAGGCAAATGCAGCAGCCTCAATCAATCTTCCAGCCACTGCCAACGTGGTCACTCATCGCAACAACAACAACCGCCACTACAACAAGTCCTCTCCGCGACCTAATAACCATTGGCAGCAACAAAACTATAACAACAAACAAGACACAAGAGCACCAAAGCCTTACCAAGGATGGTGTCAAATCTGCAGTGTCCATGGCCACAGTGCCCGCAGGTGCCCACAGCTTGCCCTACCCAGCCACCTAAACAACAACGTGCAGCCACAGGCCAGCCCATTTGTGCCCTGGCAACCGAGAGCGAATCTTGCAACAGCCTCTCCATTCTCTGCAAATCCATGGCTCCTGGACAGTGGAGCGACCCACCATATCACATCAGATCTCAGTAACCTCTCACTTCACCAACCTTACACGGGTGGAGAAGAGGTCCTCATTGGAGATGGTTTAGGTCTAAACATAACGCACACTGGTTCAGCCCTTTTACCCTTACCCTCTCGTAACATGTCTTTAAATAAAGTCCTATGTGTCCCAAATATCCACAAAAACCTAATCTCAGTTTATAGGCTTTGCAACGCTAATAGAGTTTCTGTTGAATTCTTTCCTGCGCACTTTCAGGTGAAGGATCTCAGCACGGGGGCCCCGTTACTCCAAGGAGTAACCAAGGATGAGCTCTACGAGTTGCCAGTGTCTCCATCGATTGCCAAAACCTTCTACGCGTCTCCATCACCTAAAACTTCTGTTGGGTTCTGGCACTCACGACTTGGCCACCCATCAAATTCTGTTTTAAACTCTATTGTTTCGCAATTTCAATTACCAGTTTCTCATTCTTCAGAAAAACACTTGTCTTGCACCTCTTGTTCCATCAATAAATGTCACAAACTTCCATTCTCAAACACTTCCATTACCACCACTGCCCCACTACAATACATCTTTACAGATGTTTGGACATCTTCAATCATATCAAACGAAAACTACAAGTATTACCTTATACTTGTTGACCATTACACAAGATATAGCTGGTTTTACCCTTTTAAACAAAAATCCCAAGTCTGCGAAACCTTCATTGCCTACAAAGCACTGGTAGAAAACCATTTCAAAACCAGAATCATCAATTTATACTCAGATAATGGAGGAGAGTTCATCGCTCTACGTTCATTCCTTACCGAACACGGGATATCACACCTCACTACACCTCCGCATACGCCCGAACACAACGGCCTGGCTGAGAGGAAGCACCGCCATATCGTGGAAACAGGCATGACGCTGCTACATCAATCCGCTGTTCCCAAGACCTATTGGCCATACGCCTTCGCAACAGCCGTATATCTCATAAACCGGCTCCCGACAACAATTCTTGCCAATATCTCACCATATCAAAAGCTGTTCGGACGCATCCCCAATTACTTCAAACTACGTGTGTTTGGCTGCCAATGCTTTCCATGGCTTCGACCCTACAACAAACACAAGCTAGAAGACAAGTCCAAATCATGTGTCTTCCTCGGATACTCCATCACCCAAAGTGCATACATATGCCTCGATCCTACCACAAATCGAGTCTATGTATCCAGGCATGTCAGCTTCGAAGAACACACATACCCATTCAAAATCCCTAACTCCCACTCCCAAAAACCCTCGCAGCCCGAAACCCAGCAATCGATGCCACTGGTCACTCCGGTTCCTCATCAGACTGTTGTGGTACCACCGGTGCCGCCCCTGAGCTCAGTCCTTCCACCACCGTCGCCGGAGAACTCTCCGTCGGCTGCGCAGGAAAGTCTAGAACCGTTGCCGACGCCGATAAACTCAGGTACGATTCCCTCACTTTCCTCTAATTCATCCTCTTCCAATACTGAGCCCAATAAAAGCCCATCAGAAACAGGCCCAACTGAAATCAGCCCACAATAATCTTCTTCCTCTCGTGATTCCCCGACATCATCCACCGCCGATTCTCAAAACCAGCAAATCACCACTGAAATTCAGCCACCAAACCCACCAAACAACACCCATGCTATGCGGACAAGATCCAAAAACAACATCACCAAGCCAAAACAAAAACTCTCCCTTACCACCATCCTCCGCCAAAAATCAGAACTCGAACCATCGAACCTGAACCAGGCGATGCAAGATCAGAAGTGGAGAAATGCAATGTCACAAGAGATTGACTCTCAACAGGGCAATCACACATGGGATTTAGTTCCATACAGGCCTAACATGAATGTGGTTGGTTGCAAATGGCTGTTTAAATTGAAAACTCTTCCTAGTGGTTTGATTGACAGGTACAAAGCAAGGCTAGTCGCCAAAGGATTTCAACAGCGATGGGGTATTGATTTCTCAGAAACATTTGCTCCTGTCATCAAGTCCACCACCATAAACCTCGTTCTCGGAGTTGCAGTGACCAAATCGTGGCCAGTCAAACAAGTCGATGTCAACACAACTTTCCTTCAAGGCTCTCTCTCCGAAGAGGTATACATGACGTAACCCCCAGCTTTCATTGATAAGGACAAGCCAGACTATGTATGTCGCCTAAACAAAGCAATATACGGCCTCAAGCAAGCTCCGCGAGCGTGGTACACCGAACTTCGCAACTACTTGCTGAAAAGTGGCTTCGTCAACGCATTGGCAGACACGTCCTTATTCGTCTATCATCACGGCACCAATCTAGCATACATGTTAGTCTACGTTGACGACATTGTTGTCACCGGAAACTCCACCACGCTGGTCACACAAATACTTGATTCACTGGCAGCCCGATTCTCCATCAAAGATCCGTCGGACTTACACTACTTTTTGGGAATTAAAGTAACTCGCACGGACCAAGGACTGCATATGATGCAAAGGAAGTACATCGTAGACCTCCTCACCAAAACAAAGATGCTGGACGCAAAACCTGTCTCCACTCCACTACCGTCAACACCTAAGCTCACCCTCAACTCCGGAGACGCTCTTCCCGATCCCAAAGAGTAAAGAACAGTGGTTGGAAGCCTACAGTACTTAGCGTTCACACGACCTGACATCGCCTACGATGTGAACCGTCTATCCCAATACATGCACCGTCCGACCACAGATCATTGGAATGCAGCAAAAAGTGTCCTACGATACCTTGCAGGAACAATATCTCATGGTATCTTTTTCAACAAAAATAATCCTCTCACTCCATGCATTTTCCGACGCAGATTGGGCTGGGGACTCGGATGACCTTGTCTCCACAAACGGATATGTCATCTATCTTGGAAGACACCCGATCTCATGGTCTTCCCGTAAACAAAGAGGAGTTGCACGATCGTCTACGAAGGCTGAATACCGCGCGGTAGCTAACACCTCCTCAGAACTCCAATGGATATGCAATCTTCTCACTGAAATGATGTCATCATCTCATCCACACCGGTAATCTACTGTGACAATATTGGAGCAACGTACCTTTGTGCAAACCCGGTATTTCATTCACGGATGAAACATATTGCCCTTGATTATCACTTTGTTCGCGGCCAAATACAGAACAAATCACTACGGGTCTCTCATGTTTCAACCAAAGACCAGCTTGCCGACACTCTAACCAAACCTCTTCCACGAATGCAGTTCGTGACAGCCATGAACAAGATTGGAGTGATCAACCTCCCTCCATCTTGAGGGGGCGTATAGAAGTATGTAGAATGGATTAAGGGTACATTAGTCATTTGTAAATACCTAGGAGAATACCTAGTATCTCTCTCTGTAATCCTATAAGTATTCTGTACTTTATTCAGTAAATAAATAAGCAATCTTAAGCATTTACACATCACCATGGTAACATATATTTACGATAAAAAAAAAACATATATTTACGATATCTTCATCGATCATGCATATACACATTTTCTTATTTATTTTTTTTATAGGAGAATTGCAGGCGATCTCGAATCTCGGAACACAGTGCATGCATGATAACAGACATTAAGTGAGATATTTCTAATTTCTATATTATTAAATAACATGAAATAGTGGTTTATGATACTATCTAGAAATTAGAAATATCTCACTTAATGTTTGTTATCATGCATGCACTGTGTTCCGAGATTCGAGATCATGATAACAGACCTAAATTATTAAATAACATGAAATAGTGGTTTATGATATTGTCATTACTGAGTAACCTTCCACATTTTGTATACTAATAGTCATTAAATCTACTGTTTTAATTTGACTGAAGAGCTTTAATAAGTGTTCACCATAAACAAGAGAAACAAAAAAAAAATTAATTAGCATTGGTAAAAAAAAATAGTACTAATTTTAAAAACATCCTACTTTCGGGCTTGAACTTTCATATATTAAAAAAAAAAACATCCACAATTATAAATAAAGGAAAAAATACCTTTACCAAAAAATAAATAATACTACGTATGTTATGTATACAGTATTTAATACTTAAAGGTATCTTAATTAATTTTAAAAGAAAAAGGTTAGCTAATGATTTTCTGTTAGCAACCTCCAAATTAAAAATCTAGCGACTTTACGTGGTTTTTTAATTCAAAAAAAAAAGAAAGAAAAACCAGTGGTTTGAAAATGCAGAAACCGACAAGCATAGAGTGAAAAGAAAGCGCGTGAAAAAATTGTAATTAGACCAAAAGTTGCAAAAAATATCCCTTTCCATAATTCCATTCTTCTTCATAAGTTCACTCTCTCACCAACATGTTCCTGTGACGACGATACTCTTTCACTTACCCTACACCATTTCTTCTTCTTCTTCTTCTTCATCGTCCTTGATCCACTCTCAGCTCAGGAATTGCTTGATTCAGTTTTTCAATTTGAAACTTCTGAGATCTGTTCTTGTTTCTAGAAGAAAACAGCTTGTTTTCACCATCTCTGAACCTCTTGGTACTTGCTTTTTTACTTTATTTGTTAGTTAGTGAGAGTTTGAAATTCGAATTTCAAATTTGTCGAGCTAATAGATCGGATTTTTGTTTTCTTGCCTCAGATTTTGATCGGAATCTGGAATCAAATGGGTAAAACCGCCGGAAACAGAGATTGGACTCAGATCTACGCTATTTACGGAATCGAACAATGGCAGACACTCGTCTTCCTTCTCTTCCATGCTTTTTTCTTCTCACTCCTCTCTGTTCTCTTCCTCATCTACTTCGATCAGATTTGCTTCTTCCTCGATTCCTTCTTCCTCTCCGGCGCCGCCAGGTTAGCCGCGGGTTTCACTGGCGCTGTTACCGCTCTCTCCGCGGTTTGTCTACTCTTCGCCGCCGCTAATTTCGTTTACTCCGATGTTCCGCTACAGTACGAGATGGCTCAACGCATGGTTAGCTCCGTCGGTGACTGGTCTTGTGTCAAAACTGCTCTCGATCTCGGTTGTGGCCGTGGTATCCTCCTCAATGCCGTCGCTACACAGCTTAAGAAAACCGGTAGCTCCGGTCGGGTCGTCGGGTTAGACCGCTCTAAACGCACAACTCTCTCCACTCTCCGCACCGCTAAACTCGAAGGTAACAACACTTCTCAGTTCAATTTCCTCCAATTTCAATCGAATTTTAGATTCTCATTGTTTGTGTGGTTCAAAATCGCGTAGGTGTGCAAGAGTATGTGACTTGCCGTGAAGGAGATGTTAAAACGTTACCGTTTGGGGATAATTACTTCGACGTGGTGGTCTCGTCTGTGTTCGTTCACACGGTGGGGAAAGAGCATGGTCAGAAGTCGGTGGAGGCGGCGGCGGAGAGAATGAGAGTGCTCGGAGAGATAGTTAGAGTTGTGAAGCCAGGAGGTTTGTGTGTGGTTTGGGATCTCTTACACGTGCCGGAGTACGTGCGGCGTCTTCAGGAGCTGAAGATGGAAAATATCCGAGTCTCCGAGCGAGTCACGGCGTTTATGGCCGGTAGCCACATCGTGTCGTTCCGGAAACCCAGTGAACTCGTCGCCGGACCCCGTGAAGTCCGCCTCGATTGGAGATGATGACGTGGCGTTCAAAACGGCTGTGTTTTGTGTCGGTTCGTTCTATAGAAAACGGCACGTAGTCTAAGTCTGGAGGTTTGAAACTATAATTGTGATATATTAATTACGAATCTACTGTACTAAACTAGAAAATCAAAATGTATGTGGCGTCTGGGGAGGCGAAGCGGAACCAGATGCTTGATGAAGAGGCATAACGCTGCGTTTGCGTTTTTGTCTTGTATTTGTATAAGCTATAGTTTTATTAACAACATATTAAGCTGAATCTGAATGTGTGATTCAGAGAAATAGTCTTTTCACTGTTGCGATTTCAAACGCGTGTAAAAAAACTAACGTCGTGTAGAGAAGTAGCGACACTTTGAAACTGTACGAAAAAAAAAAAATGGAGCTTTGTTGAGTGAATTTCAAGAATGTCGTCTAATCTATGTAGTAGATATGGTTGGGGCATTAAATGACATGTCATTGTCACTTTCACGTCAATGTGATATCTGTCCCCTATTTATTAATTTATTTATTTTAGTGTACTTGGGCCAAGCCTTCGCTAACTTTTCTTCGTAAAACACACGGCACAAGCGAATTCTCAAAACGTTGAGTTGTTTGGCAAGCATCACTCTCCATCGTAGAACACCACGCCGTTTTTTAATATTCACATATCTCCACGTAAGCGTCTCGAAGATGAGGCGCGCCAAAGAAGAAAGCAAGCTCATCGTTTCTCCTCCCTATCCTTGCCTCTGTAACTTGCAAGCTTCACATCAATGGCTTCTCCTTTGTCATCTTCCACCGTCGTCTCTCACCGGATTTTCTTCCTCAACCCTTCGCCTCTCAATCGTAAATTCCTCTTCGTAAAACCCAAATCACCCTTTAATCGAACCAATTCCGGAGATTTCCGCATGCAATGCTCTAAGAATGGCACTAAGGTCGGGTTTAACATTCTCTCCAATGTGCAATGCTCTAGGCTGACTTCAAATTAGGGTTTTACTTGGTAGTTTATGGGTTTTTAGTGTTCTTCATCTATATATAGCGTTAGAATCAAAATTCGATTTTTAGGGTTTATGGATTCGTGATAAATTTGTTTTCAGCAGTGCAGGAACTTATACATTCCTGCAATTCTTCAATTGATTCAAAGTTGAACCCTTTTGAAGCTGGATCTAAAAACCTCGAGAAATTGGTTGCAACGATATTGATATTTGTTCAAGTTTGGTCTCCATTGCCCTTGCTTGGTCTAGACTCTGCTTACATTTCACCTGCAGAGGCAGTTCTTTACTCTCCGGACACGAAAGTTCCAAGAACTGGCGAACTTGCTCTAAGGAGGGCTATTCCTGCTAATCCAAGCATGAAGATAATACAGGCTCGTCACTGTCTTAGACTTTCTATTGGTTAAATGTGGTGAATTTTCTTTTGGAAATTATTGATTTTGTTATACTATTATGTTGTTCTTGTTCCTTAGGCTTCATTGGAAGATATATCATATCTTCTCAGAATTCCTCAAAGAAAGCCTTATGGTACCATGGAGAGCAATGTAAAGAAAGCTCTAAAGGTAAACTTTGTTACTCTTGTTTATTGTCTGTAGAAGCTTCTCAATAGTACTTTATTGATCTTGTTTTAGGCGCTTAGTTTCATATGTTCTGAGAGACTCTTGATTGATTGGCATTGAAGTTATGGACTTACTTCTTGATTTATAGTACGTTTGCTAGAATAGTGGAAGCATAAGATTGAAATTTTTTGATGAAATTGTTCAGGTGGCTATAGACGATAAGGATAAGATATTGGCTAGTATACCAGCAGACTTAAAAGACAAGGGCTCAGAACTGTATGCAACTCTGATTGATGGCAAGGTACGTGGGAGTTAAACCATAACTCTGTTCTCAAGTTCATGGACTGTAATTTCTGTAACAAATTCATAACATTTAGGTGAAAGATGATCTGGTTTTATTAAATGAAAAGTTCTCTTAGTTTGCAGCTCATTACAATTGGCGGTTTTATGTTTTAGATTCATTTAGTTTTGAAGTGGGTATAAAACCTTATGTTTCCTTTGTTTGATAGGGTGGCCTTCAAGCACTTAAAACATCTATTAAGAAACAAGATCCTGATAAAGTGTCCCTTGGCCTGGCAGCATCACTAGATACTGTTGCGGATCTGGAGTTATTACAGGTACGTGCAATTCTTCTGGCCCCCTCATCTCTTGTGGGTAGGTTGATGAAACACATAAGCTCAAGAATTAGTTGCTGACGTTAAAGAGTGTTGTTGCAGGCATCTGGGTTGTCATTTTTACTTCCTCAGCAATACTTAAACTATCCCAGGTGAGTCCAATTTTTCTGTCTCTCTGAGTTAAACTCCTCTTATTAGCTGCAAAATAAACAGATCTTCTGTGGTTTTGTAGGTTAGCAGGAAGAGGAACTGTGGAAATCACCATTGAGAAAGGTGATGGTTCAACATTTTCAGCTGCAGCTGGGGGTGATCAAAGAAAGAGTGCTACAATCCAGGTATCAGAGCTAAATCTGATCTTATATATGCGGCTGTTGTTGCCTTTTACGCCACAATTACTTGAGCTGCTTTTTCACGAAATGCTTGCTTTTGCTTATATTGTGGATTCAGATCGTTATAGATGGATATTCAGCACCTCTAACAGCAGGGAATTTTGCAAAACTGGTAAGGTAGTTTACCCTGACTTCAACCTTTGAAAGCTCCGGATCTTGAACCTAAAGAGACTGTACTCTTAAATCTTGAAATGATGATTGGGCACGACAAACTCTTGCTTCTCGGGTTTTTTCAGGTAACTAGCGGTGCATATGATGGAGCCAAACTCAATACAGTGAACCAGGCTGTTATCACAGAGGATGGGAGTGGTAAGGTGGAGAGTGTTAGTGTTCCATTGGAAGTAATGCCTTCTGGACAGTTCGAACCTCTCTACCGAACCCCATTGAGTGTCCAGGTATAACAAAATCGCTTCTACTCGCAAATAAAAACCGGAAAATCTGACTTTGCATTTTGACATTGGAAGGATGGGGAGTTACCAGTTCTTCCTTTATCGGTTTATGGAGCTGTTGCAATGGCGCACAGTGAAACCTCAGACGAATACTCTTCTCCTTACCAATTCTTCTTCTACCTATACGATAAAAGAAATGTACGCATCACTCCAAAACTTCCTCAGCTTGATTCCATTTTTGATACTAAAGGCGCTTGCTTTTGGATTCTTGTATTTTCTGCAGTCTGGCTTGGGAGGTTTATCCTTTGACGAAGGGCAGTTCTCGGTTTTTGGGTATTGGCTTTTAGAATGTTTCCATTCAATTTTTGAGAACTTTGTATTTGGATTAATAAATTTGTTTTTGTTGGTCAAAAATTCTTGCAGATACACAACAGCAGGAAAAGATATTCTTGGGCAGATCAAGACTGGAGATATCATCAAATCTGCAAAACTAATTGAAGGCCAAGATCGCCTTATTTTGCCTGCTCAAAACAACAACAACATCAACTCATCCACTTGATTCTCCTCCTTTATTCTAAGACTTTCTTGTCCATAAACAGAGTGCTAAGTTTCAACTCTCTGCAATTGGGTCTGATTCTTATTGGATTTCCATCAATACAAGAAAAAGAAAAGCTTTGAATTCTATTTACATTCAAACAAAAAAGTTCTCAGCCTTGATTTTTGAGTCCCAGTTTTATGATCAAACAGAAGACATTTTACAGAGTCGGCTAGGTGTTGGCCTGAAATTCAACCACCGGAGATTCATCCGCCGGATCGGAGGTGTCAAAGCTCTCCTCAACACCTCTCTGCTTCCGTCACTCGCCTTCTGCATAAGCCTCTCATCGCTTGGCACCATAAACCCGTGCCGTGCACACTTCGTCGAACCAGGCCGTCCTGAGCACGTGCAAGCTACTCGAACCCTCAGACCCGAGCCGTGGCTTCTTCGTCTGACCCGATTCGTCTCTGATCTTCCCGGCATCTCTACGCCTTCTCCTGATGGGATCCTTCTCGCAACCTGCATAAGTAACTAATGTCTCTCTTGCTTAGAATTTTGCAAGAAACGTTTCTTTATAAACTGGCTGTGAGAGAGAGAGTCAAGGGAGTCTTCTTCTCTATATTAAAGAAACACAAGAGAACAAGACCACTGACTTGGTTACATGTTTTTGTAATGGAGAGGTTGGTCTAAGTTTCAAATTCTGAATGCTCTATTTGTCAAAGTTTGAATGTTTGACAAATTCCAAGTTCACCAACAGGTCAACGGAAAACCTTTTGGAAGAACAAAATGAGAAAATTCAAAGGCCAAATTCTATTTCCTTTATTCTTCTTTTTTTTTTTTTTTGGAACAAAGTAAATTTCCTTTATTCTTTTACCCGCTTACTCTCACACAAAGGCCAAAGCTAGGCTGGTTTTTTTTGGATCCAATCTACTTTAGAGTTTAGACCATATTCACTATTCAGAATAAACTGAAATTTAGTGAGGTCCATATAAAGTTTCACACCTCCGAAAGAGGTCCATGTAATTTTAATAATTGGTATTGTCATTATATCATATTGGATATTAAAAAAAATGGGCTTCTGCATCATTTGGATATTTGGATCTTTCTAATTTTTTCCTTCACTTGTACCATTTTGTGGTTCTTTTAGCTACAATGGAATGTACTTGTATTTGAAGCTGTAAACCTAAATATATTTGCGCCAAAATAGGAAAAAAAACAAAAAATAACAAAAGTAATTGTTTTATCCAATTTGTCTTTTTTTTTTAAATAAAAAAATGATGAATCCGTCTGTCCAGGAGTAAAAAACAATATATATATCATTTTGCAAATTTTATTTGAAGACTAAATTTAATATCATACAAGATAAAACAAAACATCAAATTCATATAAATTAATATGACGGAAAATCATAAATAATTTTGGAATCAAATCCTTGTACGTTGATGAATCCATCATGTAATGATGACTCACATATATAACTGAAATTGTGAATAAAGTGTTTATTATCCTCCTACGATAGTAAATGATTTTTATTAAATAATTTTTGGAGGGTTTCTAAAAATTCACTCCTATCGTAATCAAAGGATCGTCATGTAGCCAACTGAGAGTTGAAGACAGCGTTAGTTCATATTCCCCGATCTGTCTATATTTCATCTCTTCATTACCTCTCCACCAACCAACCCTTATTTTACCTTCATTAATATTTCATCTCTACTAATCCACAATATATATATATAAATATCAGCAATTTATTACATAAAACAGTAAACACACACGTACACATTTTCTTCTGTATGGCAAAATAACATAAGATGTGTTTTATCAGTGAAATCAATTGCAGTAGTAATAGATTGATACCGCTTTGGTGCTCTTTTGTTTTCACTTTTTGTTGTTGTTTTCATTAACAATGGTTGTGAAAGTAAATTTGAGTTGTATTTTCCAAATAAGTATTGACTTGTAAAGATATTTTTTTGTGGAAAATTTTAGGGTCTTATTGTACAATCCATTACAATGAAATGTATTTACTGGTTTTCATTTAATAATCTCTCCACATAATGTAACGGTTGTTTTTGCTTTTCTATATACATAGCTGTCCTCGATCTTCATTGTGCATTTTCCTTGCCTCTTGCTTTCTTTTTTTCTTTTCATCTTAATCGCTTTTGATCTATTTAATTAATTATTTTGCTACTTCTGTTTATACAGAATCTTTCTTTCTTTTTCTTTCAACAACTTATGAAGTGAAAACAACAAGGCACCGTTTTCCTTTTGGGATTTTTAGGACCAAATTGTTACGAGGAGAGAAAATATAGATATTTCAAGGAATTGTATGAGTCTCTAAAGATATAAGAAAGAAAATAGGAAATGTAAAAAAAAGATAAGTGTGTGAAAAATATGGCAAGTGTAACCTGAAATAAATACTATAGGTTTTCTAAAACTAAGTGCTATGGATATAAAAATTTCTGAAAGGTGGTGTGTACTTATTATCCAGAAGAGGAATGTAGTTAAAGGCGTCTTTAATTTCTTGGTTTAAAGATAATGATTCCTTTTGCTGATGTAGAAGCATATGGCCCATTGCTGGCCATTTTTTTAATGTACACACACTGTTTTTTTCCAATATATCTTTTCATTCTATTTTTCTTAAACACCCAATTTCTTTACTTTTTTGCAGAAAATTTGTGGACGACTAGTTCTATGAAAAAGAACACATAATACGATATATAAAATTAAAAATAACCTAAAACTAATTGTAAAGGCGTAATATGATTTACGTGTTGAAGGGTCCAAAAAATACGCTATACCGCGATATCTCAGATAACTTCATCTAGTTTCCACGAGATATAAATTTATTTATTTATTACGAATCAAACTTTTTAGAAGAACTCGTGACATAACCACCAGATAAATACATATTGCAAAAATCATGTTCTAAGAATACTTACTACCTCTTAGTGTTTATATTTTATTTCAAAAAAATCATTTTCATCTTTTAATTAAACAAATGTAATATTTCCTTAAAGTTGGGATTTATTGTGTGTGCTTGTAATTGTGAGTGTATGGCCTAATGGTTAATGGAATATATTTGGCGATGTCTAATCAAAACCTAAGTTCCCAGCAGGTTGACAAAAAAAAAAAGAGGTTGTGAGCGGAAAATGACATCCACGCCTGAACATATCTGGAAACACTTTTAAGTAGGGGGTTATTTGTTCAAATCATATAATTAATTATGATCAAGGACAAAATTACTAAAGTTTGAGGTAAGATGAATATGAAATAAATATCTTAATTTATAGATTCGATTTATTTTATTTACGTTCATTTTTAGATGTTATAAAAAAATGTTTGTCTTAACTTTTAACTACTCTAATACAGTAAACAATTGTAGACTGCTAGATTATAACCATGAAAACAAACGCATAATTTTATCTCTAAAATAATGAAAATCTCTTCTTCTCCCTTTTTCAGTTATCCAGTTGCGCGAATTTGTTTTGCTCTTGCTTCCAAAAGATTATGGGTTGATGAGACAAATAATTTTCTAGCTAAAAAAATTGAGGATTGGTTTGGTATGAATTTAATGATACAAAAACAAACAAAAAATATATAGAAAATAAGAAGAGAAATCGCAATCAACGTGAGATGGCCCTCGTATATATAACATATATAATATAAATAATACATTATATTTATAACTTTACATGCAATTATTGAAATTTCTTATCTACACAAACGTAGTTGAAGCTTATCATTACTTTTGATCAGTTCAGCTAGTTCAGGATGTTTCTAAAGAGGATTGGTTTTAACTATCTTTTATAATATAAAGTCTATATAAATCTATTTTTTAATGTGTATAGGCCACTGCGTCGTTATAGAAGAAGTGGAATATAAAATTAGGATGCATGGGCTTGAAATAAGAGAATATCATCATTATAACTAAATAAGTACATAATTTTCTTTTAAAATTGATAGTGTAAAATATTATTTTCCAAATCCAGTTAATACACTACTTACTTTGATTTAAAATCATGTATGGGAAGAGTTCTTGTTTAATTTTGAAATTATACAATTCTTTTTGTTACTCTGATGGTTCTCTAATCACACGGTTTTAGTAAAACTGACGACTAGTGAGTATATATGCGTTTAATGCTATCCAGATACAATTGCTTAGTGCCCCCATTTTTTTTGTCCAAAAAAGCCATCTAGGCTTTAAAATATGAGATACCATCGACTATTCTCATTAATTAAATTTATAAAATGTAGTAGAAGTTTTTCTTAATATATATAAATTAACCTCCAAAATTTCATAAGCAATAACTCATTCCAAAAACATCATTGATGTTGAACATATGTGAAATACAATACACATTTACACAACTATTTATTTTTTTCGATTTTTTTAATCATTTCCTTTACAAGAAAATACAATCTCAAAATATCATTGAGAAGACTATATGCATCTATACAAACAATATAAAAACATCTAAGTATATGATTTATACATTCAACTATTAAAATTAAGAAACAGTAATACATTTTTAATCCTATGTTTTCTATATGTTGTTGCCTCACTTCTTCTCCGCTCTCTAAATAATCTTCTTCCTCTAACCCCCTATGACCAAATTAATTAACCCAAAACATATACACAAATCTCAAATTTATATAATGCAAATGTCCCCACCAATCGGAAAATTTTTTCACTCTCACCGGAAAATTCTTCACACCGGCAGCGAAACACATTTGATTAAGAAGAGTACCAATTTAAACCGGGTAATTGGTACGACGTCGTTCTGAACAATCCATCTCCTAACACACCACCTTGTTGTTGCATCAATGGTGGAGTCTCTTCCATCATCGAAGAAGACATGTTCGAACAATCTCCTCCTCCTCCACCGCCGTGAAACCTCTTGCTCGGAGATGCATCTTGCTCCTCCTCTGCCACCGGCCAATACGGCACCGGAAGAGCTCGTTTCAGACTCGCCATCATCATCGGACCTGAAGACGACGCATGATTCAAACCAACGACGTCAGCGTTATTGTCGTGATCCACTGAGTCTGTACCGATGTTGTTGATCATGCCACCGCCGTCGTATAAACTCGTGTTACCTCCGTCAGAGAAAATCCCGTAACCACCACCGGAGAATTTGCCAGGGAAGAAATTCATTGATCTGGAGACATTATGGTGATGATGGTGAAGTCCTGTAGCAGCAGCAGCCATTGATAACGGCGGAGGAATCTTCCTGAAAATGTAATCGATCATATCATGATCCTTATCGTTATCAACATGTCGACTTGCGTTGTTCTTCTTGTAGATTCTACATAACACCCAATCATCAAGCTACACAAGAAAAAAAAAAATCCAAAATCAAGAACTCAAGAATCAAGATTATTTGAAGTTGAATCATTATATGTTATGAATTTATTATATACTCTGAGTGAGTTTTTCTTGTTGCCGAAATCACAACCAGGAGGTCGATTGTTTGGTTTGTTTTCGATGAGACGATACTCATGCATGATCCAATCACTTTTCACGCCTTTTGGTGGTTTACCACTGTAGAAGACCAGTGCCTTCTTCACGCCCACCTTTTGGTTACCGTCGGAAGCAAGTACCGGTTTATCTGTACCGGTCGCTTTCCAATATCCTGAAGTCGCCGCTCTGTTTGGTCTTGCTCCGTTTGGATACTTCCGATCTCGAGGACTGAAGAAGTACCATTCTTGTTCTCCAAACGACGCTTTAGCTGCAACAAAAAGAATCCACAAACCAATATTAAAATTTAAAAAAAAGATCATAACGTCATCATCACATAGATGATCTCTGGGAAAATAAAATAAAAAAACTCACAAATTCAAATAAATTGAATTATACTAAGAATAAAAAGTTGTTGACGATGATGATGATGAGGTTGTACATACCGGGAAGTTCCCATGGATCGAATTTATAGAGATCGACTTCGGCGATGATGGCTACAGGTAAAGGAGCAGAGGCGGCTTTGCGTTTGAGGTAGTGAACTACAAGCTCTTCATCGGTTGGGTGAAACCGGAAGCCTGGAGGAAGGTTAGGTTGTGGCGGTGGAGGACCACCAGAGGAATCGGTGCTCTCCATTGTTCCGTTGTAAAATATCTAGAACTGTGATCGGAGGTTTCTAAGATTGTAGGAGAAGAAGCTCATATCACTACTCTCTCAGAGATTATTCTCTCTTTTTTTTTTTTGGTTTCTTGGATTTTTTTTTTTTTTTGTGTGTGGGAGAAGGAAAGGAGGAGTGCTGAAAAATGCTTCACAGAGTCGGCGTTATCATTCTTTTAAATGGGATGGTATAAAACGCCAATTCGTGGGTTTTAATCCTCTGTTCTTTGTTACTTATTTATATACACCCTCGGATATTAACGTAATTATCCAAAACTAATTCTCTTACAGAATATCTAAGTTACTATTATTACATGATGTAGTGTACATGTAAAAATTGTGTAGTTTTGTTCTCTGTAGTAATGTAAAAAAAAATATTTGCATGGTTTCTTTTTCCCATTTTAACACGTTTTTATTTCAAATTGATACATAATTTATACATTCTTGTCTCCGTTATTTTTATAAAAATAGTTACCTACCATGTTGATTCAGGGAAATTTAATAGAGATAAACTATGATAGATTAGCATCGGTCTTTAATAAAGAAGAAAAAAAAAAGGACAGATTAACAATGGTATAATCATCTAAAACTACAAAACATCATAGTTTGAAAAAGAAAAAAAAATAGCACTTGTCTATGAAAGCTTTGTAGAAAAGAGTCAAACATTAATTACCATACACTTAATTACTAAAATAATTTAGAATCATATATTTGATGTTAATGAGTAATCAGCGATAAGTAAAAGGTACAAGATGCCCCATATTTCAGCCGATTTTAGTGTGGTTTGGTTGCACAAAAGGATCTGAATGTGGCGACAATGCGACACATATACAAAGCCTGACTAATCATGTCGAGTATTTGTAATTACTAAATTAACCAAACTAAATAAGGGTAAATTAGTCATTGCGAATAACATAATAGCTATAATTAACCATTGAATTAAATATCAAAAAAATTTGTCTGCGTTTATGACTTTTATGTATAGCCTCGCGACACAGACGAACTACGACAAACGGAGAGGAGGCTGGAATTAACGTCGAAAACGATATATCTTAACAAAACAAAAAATATTATATAAGCTTTAAAAGATATATATCGCTTTCGTCATTAGTCGATGACAAATTCACTAACACATAAAATCAAATACTCGCTATATCTTTACTATAATACATAATTAAGACGATATAAACAATATCGCAAGAAAAAAAAAAAAAAGTTGAAGAAATTTTCTAATTTCCATCTTGTATGCTGTAATACGATTTTATTAATTTTGTGTGGTTACTGGTCTAGTTGATTTCCAATGAAAAATCGACACGTGTGATTCCTAGTGGACGAAATATTCACACGTGGCATCGATAAGTAGGACCCACGGAAATCGCCACAGAAGGTTAATTGATGACGTGGAAAGGGATGGCCGGGTGGGTGTGGGAGAAAAAAAATGTTTTACGTTTCAGATGTCATATGTCACGCTTTTGTTATTGAGATAATCTCACCACCAGAATATTTTTGAATTTTACATAATAAATATTATGGAAACAAACAAATCGACCCATTTCATGTCATTTTTAAGTTTCGATTACTTTAAATTGTTATAACTATAAGGTTTATTCCTCTGTTTTTTTTTCCAACGTCATAAGATATATGATTATAACCCATGCATATTTTTCGACCACTAAATTACGTTTAGTGTGCAAATAGTTTGTTTATTTATCAGATTCCTAGGAGTGGTTTATTTTATGACTTTCTAGTTTTGACTTCTGACCATGAGATTCCTTGTCTCTCATAGCTTTTTCTTTATGTTTAAAACAAAATATTGATAAATCAAATACAATTTGTTTTTGAGTTATTTTAAAAAAACCATTAAACGTAGAATGCCTTTCGGATTTAAGCACTTTGGTTTATGTCTTTCGGATTTAGGCACTCTGTCCATAGGAAATGTCAGTTTTACCCTTAACTAAATGACGTCTTCTTCTTTTCTCTGTGCAACGAAAATCCAGCGGCTCTTCACGAACCTCTCTCTAAGCGCCTTCCTTTCTCTAAAATTCGATGGAAGTTTTCGATAGCCGCCTGATGGTGAAGACGGAGAGTATCTGATGTCGAAGCTCTAGGGAATTTTGGTGATGCAAAGATCTCACAATTAGGATTCTGCCTCGCCGCCAAAGACTTTCATGATCTCCGGAATCAATCTCGCGATGGCCTTCCTTGATTCTCCTCTGATGATTTTCCATCTCGCAAGGCATACTCTCTCTCTTTCTCTCATTGCTCGGTTTGAATTTTTGTGCGAGTTCAATCAAAATAAGAATCTTGATGAATTTTTGCTAATTTATTGTAATTTTTAAGAATTTTCTGGTAAATCACGATGAAATGATACAATTATATATTCTGGTTAACTATGTTGCGTGAAAGGATAATATTAAGCTTCTCTTAATGTAAATTATTATGATTATAGGGTGGAATTGTTCGTCTTCGAGACTCTGAAAAGTAATAATTACATTTAAATTTGTTATGGGCATTTGGCAGTGATGCATACACGAAATCTAGAAGTTTCCATCTGAATTGTCTGTGTTTGTGTGTATGTGTATGGATAGTAAACCAAGAAGCCATCCTTTCATGAAGATCATAGTAACAATTGGTACAGGTTCTGATCTCATGGAACTGGAAATGTATTGCCATTAGGAGTTGTGGTAACTACACCAGAAATCGTAAGTGTTTTAGTTAGCAATATTATGTTCAACACTTTTTGGTGGAAATCAGGTTTGTTCAGCTTGTGGACTTGCTGTTCTAAACGTTATTGAGAAAGAGACACACCAAACACATTGTGCTAAAGTTGGTACACACCTTATTCAATGTTTCAGACATCTATATACAATACATGATAGTACACACCTTCAAACACTCTTTTTTTAAAAAAGTCCATTAAACATCAATTGTTTTGGATACATCTATCTTTGACTAAGATTTAGAATTTTTTCGGTTAGACTATTTAACATCTCGTAAGGTAGTTAAATTATTGTGTTGGGTTCCTTTTTACGAACTAATAGGGTTTAGTTTTCCTCTTTTAGATATTTTATTAATGAACATTCCATTGTAGATAAATCCGGTTTGGGTTTACTCGTCCTTAACTAGGGTTTAGCGTTTTCTCGTTTAGCTATTAGCATCTCGTAAAGTATTTAAAATATTGTATTTTCGTTTTTCATTTACAGTTTGAGTTTGAGTTTTCCTCTTTTAGATCTTCTTAATGAATGGTCCATTATAAATAAATTGGTTGTTGTTCACTAGTCCTTGATTAGGATTTAGCATTGTTTCGTTTACACTTTTATTATCTCGTAAAGTAGTTAAGACATTGTGTTTGGGTTCCCTATTTACAATCTACTAGGGTTTAGTTTTTCTCTTTTGAAAGTTCTTTTATGAATGGTTCATTTTATATTAATCGTTTTGGTTCCTTATTTAAGCTTAACTTTTTCCTTACGACTGATTATATATCAATGTGTGTTTTCATGAACAATTTTATGTTCATGGACAAAAAGCCAATGTCTGTTTTCATGAACAATTTTATGTTCATTGACAAAAAGCCTTTTGTAGGTTTCTGTCGATGTACTAAATGTCGTATATTTTTAACGAGTAGTTCTTTTTAAATGTTATTGTTTTCATGTTATGTGTATCATTGTATAAGTAATAACGAAAGAATGCGAAAATTGGTGTAAATAAATTATGTTGGAGGGTTTTAAAACAAGAAATGATATTGGTGGACTAAAATAATCTACTGAAGAGGCGCCACACAACCACCACTGCACGAGAGAAGCCACGAGATAAGCTTCTTGAAAATCTTTGGGATAAAATCAGTTAAGCAGCTACGCCACCACCGCCAGATCCAGACCCAAACACATCCACTCCTCAAACAACTCCATGAGCCACCGCCTTCTTAATCTGCCGTTAAACAGAGCACCATCCTCTAATGCCTCAGATCCCGGAGGTAACACGCCGGAGGAGACCTCGCCACAAACAGGGAAGAGTCCACCGTTTCTGAGCACCACAATTCTTCATCATTCAAGAGAACTCCCTCTCTCTTCTGACCTATGACTTAATATCAGTGAGAAACAGGGGATAAGGGCAAAATCGTCTTAGCTTGTGCAGTTTTGATGGAACTATTTACGTCTACAGTAAAAAAAGCTCAAATCCGAATATGCCTGCCGAAATGTGCCTCTTTTGACAAATGTCCCTTTGTTTTTTGGGTTGGTTCACAAAATCAAATACAATCTGATAATCTATTTCCACAGTTTTGTCTTTAGAGTTTAGAGCACTTCGTTTGAAAAACAAAAGGACAAAAGCAGTAAAAAAGAAAGAAACGAGAAATGTGGACCATATTTACACACGTTGTACCAACCAAAGTAAATGCCTGCCTCTAATTAGTCAATTTAATTACATCATTTTTTGGTCACATCCATCAGATCAAGAGACATCCTTCTATTTGCATTCACAAAGATTTCTAGTGCTTTACATGGTTGCACACCACTTCTTTTTTGCTAGACGTTCAGAATCTCAACAACAACGCACATACACACCCATTTTTTCATTTATAACAAAACTTAAAGAGTTTTATAATTAAAATACTTTTCTTACCAAAAATATACACTCGAAACTATTTGTAAGGGGACCCTATTTGTAAGTGTTATCTTCAACATAACGTGGTTTACTGAATAGTGGGCTTATCCCGTATGTCAATGTTATGGTTTAGTTTGAAAAATCAACATATAACAATCTTGATTGATAAAGATACCAAATAAATAACGATGTTATTATCGTGCAATGACACACAACATGAATATATAAAATGCATAGATTTGTAACAGTTGAAAGTGTTTTATTTTCCATAACCAGAAGTTTTCAAACAATATAATTTCATTATAATTTTGAGTACGTTGTGTGTATTTGCAGTAGTTTAAAAGTGTTTCTATCAAATTATATCATTGTTATGGACCAATATAATGATGACCACTAGCTAGAATATCATTATTTGCTTCAGTCGAAATGTCTTTCAAAGTGTTGGTCGTAATCGTATAAACTCTACTTTTTTAATGTCTTAATTTTCTAATCTAATATGAAACTGTTAGATATTCAACTAAAAAAAACTTGTTAAACATGAGATAATCCACTCATTATAATTATTTTAAGTGAAAAAATATTCATAATTTATCAAAGATGTGCACCAATCAACTGATTACCA